TATTCTTCTCGTACTTTCACTCATTTTTGAAAGGAATTTAATACTCTATAGAGTGTTGTATTCATAAAATGCTAGACTACAAGTACCAATTTACAGAGTGTAATATTATTGTGTTTTAGGGAAGTTATATATTTTTTTTCACCTGTGCAATACTTTTGTCATATACTATATCTTAGAGCTACTGTAAAACTACTCAGATTAGTTAGTAATAATACTTGACTGTCTAAGTAAAGATTAGAATGTTGTCTAGATACACACTAACATACTCTAAGTTAATCAGATCTGTAAGAATGTGATTCATGAATGACTAGAACATTGTAAGCAAGTTAGTTAGTTTAAAGAATATTATAGTTAGTTTATACAATTTGTAATTAGTTTAGAACACAGCCTTCTACTCATCTCTGACTTAGATCTGAATATTATTGTACCCTTACTAAATGTCCAACTTAGTAAAAACCCTGAATGTATGTGTCTTATTAATGAGCTCCTGAATTAGGAGGGGTAAGTACTTGTTTTTAACAGTACCCTTATTAAGACAATAATAATCCTAAACTAGATAAAGCTTTCTATCTTTCTTTTTGACAAAGAAGAAAGAGGAGACTATAAAGGACTTTAAGAGTTAGATCTGACTGTTCTAAAGATTTTCCTGAAGGAACTTATTAAGCACCTTCTACTTGTTTCTGTTAAGTAGGTAGACCTTACAATCCTTAGGTTGGAAACTCTTAGTCAATTCAATTGTATAATTCTAGAGATAGTGTTTAGAAAGCTAGTTGAATTCCTCTTTACTAAAGACTTTAGAGAACTCTTAGACAAAATCTGGTAGGCTGAGTCTATATGTGTTCTAGAGTAGAGTTGTTCTGAGAGGGTTCTAAACTGGTTCTGTCTCAGACATTCTTTAGATTGACTCTGTTCTACCTTAACTAGAATATGTGTTCACATATTTATCCTAGTTAAAGAAGAACAACTAGTTACCTTTATTAGAACTGTTAGTAACATTAGAACTGTTTACATCTACTTAGAACAGTAGTATAAGATAGTTGTAAGACTTGAGACACTAATTAAACACAAGTGTCTACTCTAACTAGTTAATAGTAGGGTTGTAAGCTTTAAACTATTCAAATCTGATAAAGATGTCTGTCTTTCTAAGGTTAGTAACTCTAAACTTAATACTTTCCTCATAATCCTAAATAGTCATCTATAGTTGAACAAACTTAGTAATCTGACTATTCTGGTTTAGGGTTTTATTTATATTGTATACTAGAATCAGAAGTAGAATACATTAAGTAAAGAGGTAGTGTTCCTACACAAAAGTCTTATTAATGTACAAACTAGTGTATCTACTGTTTACTAGAGTTATTATTCAGATCTGGGGGGATCCTAAGAAGAGAGCTAAGAGGACAGAATCCTGGAACTAGTACTTAGAATGTTCTCTAATAAATTACTACTTGTTCTAAAGAGAACATACAGCTTGTGTAACCTTATTATTTAAGAGAGTAAGTATATACACTAACATTTCCTTATTAACCTCTCTTTTTTAACAAGGACAGACCTATGTCCTTAACTGTAAACTCAGCTAAGACTATCCCTACTTAATACTATAGACAAACTACTAAGTAGTAAATAGGGCTAGGTAGTATTCTAAACATTCTAAGATCTTAGAATACAGAAGTAGTAGGTCAGATTGTACAGATTTAGACTTAGATAAAGTGTGAAGAGAAGAATCAAAAGAATCAGAAGAACTAAGAGAACTATCTACTTTTGTTTTTAACTTTTTCTTTTTAATAAATAATTTTGTTAATTTACTTTTTCTACTTTTTCTACTTTTTCTACTTTTTCTACTTTTCTTACTTTATTTACTTCTAATCCTACAGTGTCTATTGAATCAAAAGTGGCTATTAAAAAATCCAAGTTATAGTCCTTTAGTGTTACATTTACTATTAAGTCTCTACAAAATCTTAGAGTACATAGTTAGAGTCTAAGAGTTCTGAGGTGACTTCTAGATTTGTAGAAAAGACTTCTTACTACAAACTCTACTCATTACTCATTATTACTCTAATGACTTAACAGATATACTATTACTTCTGTAGACAGTTCTTGATTTAGTACTCTGACTTTCTGTTAACAAAGTATACTCCTTACTTTCAAGCTTCTCTAATGTCTATTAGAACAGATTGATTACAAATTATAAGTAGATTGATTTAAGGGCTTAGAACTGTTAGAGCTAAACACATGTATAAGTGTTCTACACAGACTTAATACATTTAAGTTATAGCTTAGTCAAAGGAAATAGTGTGTGTCTTCTACTTAGTGTAAGTAATTAGTTCTAGTATTATTCTAAGAATCTTACTAACTAGTTCTGGGTAGAGAGCTTTTTCAAGCATTCTAATAAGGACATTATTAAACCTAAGTACAAATCCTACCTTCTAAGCTAAGATATTAAACTCCTGAAAGAAAGTATTGACAGAATGTTTGCCCTGTTACAGAGACACAAGCTTGTTCTACACATTGTACTTCTTATTCAGATTAATAAAGGAAGTACAAAGCTACTCTATGAATTTCAAATACAACTCATTATTCTAAAGTCAGATTAGGCTTCTAATCTGATAGCCTTCAATCCAGTTCTAGACCTAGGTGGCTGTGTTGTCTTCCTTTATGAAGGAGAGGACAAATAGGACACAATCAAGATCTAAGAATAGATTAGTTAAAGTAGTAGCTATATATAGTTCAACTTGGTACTAGAAGTCCTTAAAGTACTACTTATTAAAGTCTAAAGGGTAAACTATATACACTTTCTTTCTAAAACAGGTTACAACTTCTAGAATGATTGGAACAGGTTCTGAGAGGGCTAGAGGCACATAGTTAGTAAAGGTCTTTTAGATAAAGGTTTACACATATTAAGCTAGGTCTACTTGTAACTACTAATCTAGTAGGACAGTAGGGGTGACAGTTAGTGTAAGAGGGTTTATGTTTACACTATAAAGGAATCAGTACTAAACTAAAAGGGGTAATGAATAGAAGAAGAGTAGTAAAAGTTTAAAAGGGTTTAGAAAGTTTAAAATTTAAAAATGTAAAAGGGTTAGGACAAAGAAAAGAGATTAACACAATAGTAAGTACTAATGTCTAAAATGTAAGAGAGTTATAAGATAGTAATAAGGAGTCTTGATCTAATGTTAGCAACAGTGTAGAGGGGACCTAAAGGCTTAGTAAGGGGACTTAGACTATAACTATCCTACACAACAGAAATACAGAATGTAAGTACTAGAACATAGTCAGAACTTGTAGAACAGACAGAGAGAGAGAGTGAAACAAGAGTAGAGTATATAGAGTAAGCCTAAGAGTACAGGACTACCTAGAGTAGACAAGATCAAGACTACAGAACTAGTCTGATCTTGTACACCTATATATACTAAACTATACAAGAGTACTTAGAGAGTATAAGCTACTAAGAATAATAAGCTATAAAAAATGAAAGAAAGGAAGGTCAAAGATAAAGGTACAAAGAATGAAGGGATAGACAAAGGGTAAGAGACTATAGAATGAACAAGGAATGAAAGGGTAATTAAAGGAATAGAATGATGAAGTAAGAAGGGGTAGTAGTAAGAGTTAGCACACATATAGTCTATAGATAGCACTCCTAAGAGACAGAAGTCCTAAGTTCTGGTACAGAAGGGTGTAGAACCCTCAGAACTGAAGGTACAAGAGTAGAGAACTGTAACACTCTCCTCTTTCTACAGCAGATTTAAAAATCATTAAAAATCATTTTTAAGTTATTACTATGTAAATCTCAAGATTTTTGTGAGGAGTTTTCTTGTATTTCAACATTGAACAAGATATGGCTGATTTACTACTATCTTACTAAAAGAAATGCTTGTATCTTAATAAATAATTTTTTTAAAAGAAATCCCTCACATAGAAATGTAGAGTAGGATAGTATTAACATGAAAGAGAAAAAAGAATTAAAAAATATAAGATGTAGAATTTCTAGTCAATTTAAGAAGAATTTTTTATTCTTGTTTAAACCTGTATACACTCAGCCAAATTTATTCAGACACATTAGTTGGTCTACTACAAATGCTACTATGAGAAACCAACTTGTTAACTTAAGTTATCAATTAATAGAGTGAAGACAATTTAACTCATATTAAAATTTGGTATATTTAGAGTATACACTACTATATTATAAACTGCCAACTTATTTTGGTACTGTGATTTGAATTGAATGTTGCAGAAAATTCATTACTTTATTTAAGAGTAGTGACATGTAGATTGATGGTATCTACTATATAAGGTGCAAATATAAGCTCTGACCAGAAAAGAAGTGCCTGTGCATCAATTGAGTAATGCCCCATACTCTGCCTCATTAGTACAACATGGCTTCAGTGCAACATGAAACAAACACTGTTGCCTCACCATTACTTACTTAATTTAAGCCTTTCAGATATCTGTTTAAATCCACTACCAGTGCAAAGTTCAGCTATACTCCCTTGTGAGCACCCTACTTATCTTTCCCTTTAGATACCTCTATACAAAATCTGACAAGAAATATCAATTTAAAGTCGATAAGCTTTGCACATGATGGCTTTGGCAGAGTGCATACAGCACTCCTCTCCTCAGCCAATACTGGGCAAAGCCAGATTGTGCGTTCTTTGCTTTTTCTTCCCATCCATCTCCTTATCGAGATGTATTTAGGTTGCTGTGAAATTCCCTGACCTGTGCAACATTATGACGACTGACAGTGTCGGTGTCGAGTGTGGCGAGTATAGGTCGAAGATGTTGCAGGTATGTAGAATAACTTCTTATCACTATTTCATGCATATAAATAACCTAAATATCCAAAGCGCTGGGAACGCGAAATTAAGGCTGGCCAGAGCGTGCTGCATCCTAATGTCTTGCAATTTTTGGGTTTCTGCAATAATCCTGATCCTGAGTGTTCGGAATTCAAAGGCCTAGTCCTGCCTTTCTGTGTGCATGGAGATGCAAGGAAGTACACAGACCGTCATCCTAATGCTGACCGGATGAGTATTGTGCGTCCTATGGTTCTCTCTGTACATCACAGTCGAAGCTCACTTTTGTGTTACTCCCAAAGTTGACTGGTGCAGCAGCTACAATTTTCGCTCTCCATTTGGCCGACCCGCCTGTTGTGCACGGAGACATTAAGTAAAGCTGTGAGACTTTCGAGGTTATTTTTCTTTGCGCTCGAATACTCAAAGACACTCGCATTCTCCACTCGCAGCAAAATGTTCTAATTGGCAGCAATTGTCAACCTCTGCTCTCTGACTTTGGCCTTTCTCGCATATGTGAGACAAAGGGATTTACTACTCGGACCTTCAATAACTCAATCCGCTGGACGGCTGCAGAACTAGTGAGGTCATCTGTCCATGATGATACACTGGTTCGAGCGACTACAGCTTCGGATGTCTGGTCATTCGGAATGCTAATCCTGGAGGTAAGTAAAGTCAGTTTACGAAATCCGTATAAAAACGAGTAATCTATACAGGTCCTAACGGGAAAGCCTCCGTTTTCCGAGCTTCGGCGTGACGAAGCTGTTTTTTATAGACTTTATTCGTGGAATGGTCTGGTTGAAAGACCTGCCGATCCTTGTATCACGGAGGCGCTTTGGATGCTTCTCAAAGCCTGCTGGCGCGGCACGTCCTGATGCCTGTCACGTCGGTCTAACGCTAGATCTTATAAAAGGCCACAGTAGTGAACGACTCGATGCACTCATGATTTCTGATATTCTCAACGGTCGATTTGATAACGTCCACCTGTACTCTCCGAATGCTCGGCGTCCCTCTCAGCCTTACAAGTGCAAGTGGCCACACTGTTTCAAGATGTTTGCTGACATTACAGTAATGACTTGGTTGTGCACGAGTATTTCGAATTCCAGGAACGACGAGATCTCGTTTTGTCACGTTTATGAAGGGCTATGTTTGATTTGCTTTGATCGAATTGTCTTACGTGTTTTGTTTTGTTGTGGTTCTGCTCGCACACTGTATTATTTTGCTCTTTGTACTGCTTTAGCTTCGTGCTTCGTGTATATACTGTCATCTGCCCAAATCTGATCGAAACACATAAGATGAACACGTACACTTTGTGCCTCTTCACTGTCGAGGTCTTAACTCTCGCTCAATCTGAAAAATAGGGCGAAAGAGATTGGGAACAGCACGCGGAGTTTGTCCGCAGTTGTGAGCGACTCCGCTGCTACGTACATGTTATCAATGTTGACGAGATACCGAGAACACCGAGTTGTAGATCACGAGCCGTCACGCGACTCAAGCTTCCACCACGCTGACGATGTGACGAAGATGTCAAAACGTTGCGTTGGGATCACCAGCACTGGATCATGGATGTTACCAAGCACGCGGGCTGTGCGACCGAGTGGTTCGACATCGCGAGCATGTGCGATTACGCTCTGGACTCCAGCTACCGGTATAAATACACGTGCTCTTTACACTCTTCGTTCCCACCATCGCTCTTGTCCAACAACGCTTCATCGTGACTACGATCAGCCTCCGTATCCGCAGCGTAGACGCGTAGACAACCTTGCTCTGAACCGCCAATCGTCATTTCTACCTCAAGGCCGAACTAGAGCCCGTACTTTTCGCTCAACGACGAGAAGAGATATGACGAAAGGTGTTGATTTCTACAGTTTGAGTGCGGAGTTGCCTGGTGGGAAGGTGTATGATTTCGAGGAGTTGAGGGGGAAGGTCGTGCTTATTGTCAACGTCGCGTCAAAATGGTGCAGAATTTCTCCTTCATTTTCCCTTTCTGGAGGAGAAAGCTTAAGTACTGAATATAACTTCATATAGTGGCTTTACACCACAGTACAAGGGTCTCGAGAAGCTTTACCAAAAGCACAAGGAGAATGGCTTTATTATCTTGGGTTTCCCGTGCAATCAGGTACGTCTGTGTTTTCAATCACATGCATTTCTCAAACTACAACTTGTTGACATGTAGTTCGGTGGTCAAGAACCGGGTACAGACGAAGAGATTGGACAGTTCTGCCAGTTGAATCACGGGGTGACGTTCCCGCTAATGAAGAAGTCTGACGTGAACGGGGATGAGACCAACGAAGTGCGTCATCCTTGTTTTCGTTCTTTGAAGAAATTCACCTAGATAATCTTAAAATTTACAGGTCTACAAATGGCTGAAGGACGAGAAGGCAGGAATCCTCGGCTTGACGCGCATCAAGGTGGGCAAGATGTTCATACTGACCAAACAATTCACTAACTCATTTTGCATGTATAGTGGAACTTTGAGAAGTTCCTGATCGATAGAAACGGCAAAGTCGTGCAGAGATGGGCCTCGACGACCTCTCCGGAAGCGATCGACACAGAGGTGCAGAAGCTCATTGACGAGAAAGCGTAATGTTAGTGGGGGTCCGCTTTTCGGTTGTGAGACGCGGTCGAGCGGACTTTGAAAATTTGCCATTTTAAGCCGAAATGTGGTGATCAAAGTGTCTGCCTTGCTTATACTTAACTTGAAAAATCAGTAGTCATAACAAAATCAATATTAAAAGAGTATATTGATACATGTTATACTTATTAATACAATTCATGTGTTATACTTGAGAGAAATGTTATACAGAAATTTATTTGGCTAAAGTAAAGTGTAAGCTACAAGTGAATCAGTAGTGATCAGCAGTCTATTGCAAAGGAACGACGCGAGTGTGACAAAATATCAGCCAAATTCTCTGTGACAATGTGTGACTACAGCCATTCTGGCCTCATTCTTTATTTCATTCCTCATGCAGAGGTCAGTTAATTCACACAAAAACATTACTATAAGTCAAAATAAATCATTATTAAAAGATTTACAGAAGGATTTTGTCAGAAGAAAATTATTGCTCAAGATATAGTTGATTTGGAGTGTAAAACAGTTATATTTTAGCTAGTTTCTAATAAAATCAAAATTCCTTCTGTAAAAAGTTTCTTTATCATCTTTTTAATACTATTCATATTTTTTTGTCAATTTAAAATACATGTGGGGAGCAGAAAATCTTTTCTACAAGGACAATTTTAACCCGGACACTTGTCTATCAGTTTACTGCTTAGTTTGCCGCTTAGTTTGGTAAGTTTTCAAACTCCGCAGGACCGCGCGTCAATAGCCCCTCTCAATTCTGTTGAAATGGCCGATTTATTTTCGGCATGGCAAGTTTTAGTAAGGGTAGAGTAAGGGTCGATGTAAGAGACCCTAGTCAGGCACATGTAATTTATCCTTTTTAAGACGCATTTTTTTCAAGCGAATTCAAGAGCTCGAGAGCTCTTGAATCTCGTCGGACTTTCAATATGAAGATTACATATGCAACTCAAGTAGCCTAAGCTAAGTAAAACTGCTCTCATAATTAAGCAACAAGAGTAGTGAGTGCACGTAATACAAATAAATCACATGCCATTATTTGATATTTGTTTGTTGGTGTTATTCGTGATCGCTATTCTACCCACTAACATTGGGGGTCCGCTTTTCCCTATTAGCCCCTCTCAATTCTATTTTTTTTTTCGATTGAAATTTCGCTGCGGCACAGGGATAGGATCTTGCGACCCTGTGCCGAGAAATGTAAATCAACTGATGAATTGAGATTATCAGTTGATTTTTTCCTTCCGTGGCTTGTGTAAATAATAGCTGTGCTCAATTCTTGTTTTTGATGCTCTGTATTTTGTTCCCCGGCACGTCACCGGGAGTCGGAAGAGAGTAGAAACCGGTAAATACAGGGAGAGAAATACAGCTAAGAAATGAGCACCTTAAGTAGTGCAGATCCATCATTCCATTGGACAATCAAAAGTGTAAATAGAGTAAGCAGACCTAATATAGAGATTTTGAAGAAAAATGCACATTTCTGCTCTATTTTCTTGTGTCTCACTGTCGACATGGAGCCTACAGACCAATATTTTATATGTTAACTACATACCTGAGATGAGACTTAAACCACCTAGTAGAATAATGGTGTAACAGTTTATACATGTAATCATCAGATTTGACAGCTGTATATCAGCCTCTTGGCCCACTTTGTGGTCGAAGTTGATATGCAATTAAAATGAAAATAAGGCCTTCCCAAGCCTCTTCATCAGTTTCAGCATCTAACAGGACAAGTAGACCAAATATTTTCAGAATATGCTGTAACTTGGCTAGATGGTGGTAGCAGGGCATGTTTTCGTGTGTGTCTCAATTATTCTAACAATTATCTATACCTACACTCATGTCTTAGATCTATGTAAGGCTGCCGGACCAGCCGTTCTCTTAGTTTCATTCTCTGACGTGCAAAATACACGAAATACACCTCCTCAAGGTGTGTCTGCTGTTTCTAAGGCACGCACGGAGATCCTACTCAAAATGGAAGTAGACCCTAGATCTACTATCCCTAACATTCCTTCTGCCGAGGTAAATATTCGTCAGATACAAGAATTGAGCAGGGCTAATAGTTAAATACAAGTTATAAATATTTTCTAAGTAAAAGAAATTTATTTTACTTATAATTTTGTTAGATTACAGTAAGGAGACTTGGTATACTGAATATATACGCAAACACTTTTATATAAAGCTGTGTCGATGATCAAAGGAATAAGATTGAGTTTTATGACGTCATAAGCTGTGTCTTGGAGGATCCACGCTCATCATCCGTCCCGCGTCCATTTCTCGCTTTCCAGCTCCGCAAACTTGCATCGCATCGGAACTCCAGCACCAGAAGGTACCCTGGTCTGGATCAAACCCGAATAAATACATAGAGATGGCCACTTCTCTCCTCCGCACTCCACTCTCGAGTTTCCTTCCGTCCTCATCCCCTCCACTCACTTGCGCTGCTCGAATACTACGACATCTACAGTTTCTAATCAGCGGTATAACTAATGTCTGCGACTCTAGCACCGCACTCGGGCATGCGAGAACCGGCAGCTACTCCTGTCTCGGAGAAATGTGTGTATTACGACGCGAATGACGCAAGCACTGAACACGTCGCTCATGCTGGTCCTCCCACAGGCGACAGTCGAGCGGCAAATCCCGGGACTGGCAAAGGAGCGACCGCGGTATCTAGTGCGGACGTGACTAGAAAACCGTCAGTCGCAACCGGTGCACTTGAACCTCGCGAGCCTGCTGATGGAGGGATACTCGCCAACGCAGACGAGAAGCCAAGAATCACCACTACCTCCCCTACCAACCCTACTTCGTCACCCAGAGAACACAGTGAGAAGAACCGTGGTGCCACTGGTGGAAGTGTAAGAGATAGCGGGTACGCACCGGGTTCAGACACCAAGGAGCAACGGTCGATCGTATCTTTCAGGGCACCACAAGATGTGAAACACGAGAAAGAAAAGGAACCTACGGCACATGAGGACCAACCAAGTCCTGCATACGATGAGCAGAATGAGACCTTCGGAACCGCAGTTAAAACAGGTGGACCTGCTCAGCCTCCGTCCGATTCTCAGACACGGACGTCTGGCGAAAAAGAGCACCATGTTACTGGGGCCTTTGCAAATGGCGCAGCAATCACTAGCCCAGATGCCGTTCCAGATGAAGATATATCACAACACCAACGTACTGCAACAGCTGAAAGTCTGATTTCTCCAGAGGCAAAGAAGAAAATCGCCAAAGCCGAACGTATGTTCTTTTATCACGCATCCTGAATTATATGTCATAGTGCTCATACTCTTCCTCATTTCACAGAGAAGGACGCAAAGCGTCTCCTCAAAGTAATCAAAGCCGAAGGAAAGGTTCAGGACGCCAACCTCTCCGCTTTCCTCAAAGAATTCGCCAAGCTACAACAAGTGCAGAAGCAAGCCTCGAAAGATGAATCAAAGGTTCTTGCACAACACAGCAAAGCCTCCGCACGTGAATACAAGTTACAAACTAGTTATCTTGCCGCCAAAGCCCAGTATGAACAAGCTGAAGCGGACTTACATGCTCGGACGGAGGCGCTTGAAGCTGCGCGTACACATGCACAAAGGACGACAGCGGACTTGGCCGTCAAGACGCGTGAGGCTGAGGAGCTGAGACGTGCGAAGATGGTTGATGATCGCGAGCGAGCGGCGAAGAAATCTGAACTCAAACAGATCGGGAAACAGACCCCGAAGCGCTAGGTGCTTCATCATCGAAATGAATACTCCTGTCTCCTGTTACTCTATGCTATTCAGTCACCGTCGCTTCAGTGCTGCATTAATGTCTGTTTGTCTCTTCTTTATTTCGTTTGGGTCTTGCTGTATTCTTTGTAAATCATGTATTGTATTAATTACCCTTTCCCAATGTACATTTTCGCATACTGGCCATCATGATCTTCATTTCGTAATAGCATTAATCATACACGACTCTGATGAGTCGTTCGATCATGTTTCATGAATTCCTTTCAACAACCCAGTTGAACGGATTTGTGTATAGAGCTCCCGAAGGGGACTAGCCTTCAGAATCCGAGTCCGTGGCTGTGTATTCGGCATCCTCGTCATGTTGGCCGTGCTCCTCAGAGATGAGTTTCAGCTTGCACACTTGCGTGTTGACAAAGTCATCGATGTCGTAGCCATAATCGGGTTTGTGCATCACGCCCGCTTTTACAAGTGTCCTAAATAGAAAGCCAAAAATATCTTCCGTCAGACAGAAGGTCAAAAAAAAAAGGGTTAAAAAGGGCCTACACGCTTGTATCCATAACGACTTTCTCCGGAATCACGGCACAATCCTCAGGATACGCAACAGTCTCCAGCCAATCCTTGATGTCTTCCTCCTCATATCCAAATTTCTCTTTAATGTACTCCACACTTGGACCAGATCGAGCTTCAGGAGTAGAGAAAGCGTTGACATAAGAAGAGAGAGAAGAGAGGAAATCTCGAAGTGCGGCAGGAGGAGCACGTGTCGGGGATGGGTGAGCAGCGATGAGCCAGGACGGCCAGGGTGTTGGAACACTCCCAACCTTAGAGTACATTTTAAGTGGACGCATTAAACATAAATCAAATTGTTAGGAAACGCACAAAGCGCACTGCGCCGCTATCGCGGAATGGTTTCGTGGTGAACCATTCCCACATAAACGCAGATGTGCTACCATCGTTTACTGACGCGATTAAGCCGTGGATATCATTGTTCACTGTGTGCAGATAATAATATGTATACAATAAGTCATTCTTGAATTAAAGGAGAACTACGAAAAGGACAGTAAACGGACCTTTAAAGTCAAGGGATTCTGGGTCCCAACCTTGCTGAAGTGCCATTACTTGGGCCATCGTTTGGCTCCCACTGCAAGCATACAGCGAGCCAATCAGGATGTGCGAGTGCAGAAAAATACCAAACCCATCCGCACCTCCCGGGCCTAGAGATACCCACTGTCGTGTCCTTGAGGTCCAGTATCGAGTTGTACTTCAAGTCCTTTCCAGTAATCACCGCCCTAGACAACAGAAGTCAGAGTGATAACGTTATCAGACGCGCATATACCCACCAGTTGAGTGGAGTTGTGACGTAGCTTCCGATAAGCTTATATGCGGACGAACCGCGAGCGATACCCGCAATGAGCGGGTCAGTTAATGCGCTGCGATATTATTTGCACAAACGAGCAAATCGAAGTGGGCAAGGTAGCAGGAGGCCACAGGAAGCGGCAAGACGCACATTGCGACGTCAATTTGATCCTCAGCAAGTCGTGCGATAAGCTGTCCGGTTCCACCTATGTGACGGGGCAGAGCAGAATAAATAAGCGAAAGTGAAGAGGAAAGCTAAATCGAGGGGTGCGTACTAGGACACTCAACAAGAGTGCAGGTCTTGCCGTTATCTGCCTCTGCGAATTGGAGGAGAGGGGACGAGAAATGCTCCCGGACTAGCAATCAAGAGTGATTCGTAAGCAATTTGAAGGCAGAAAACTAGTTTTGAGTGGGCACCATAGCCAACTCGGAGGACCATGTTTCCTGTGCCACTGAGGCTCGAGAATGGATTATAGTGTAGTGGTAGCAGAGAAGGAACAGACTCGGTCACTCGGAACCACGATCGACGATCATTTGGGAAAGTTTGAGTGGTGGGAGATCGGCGGGATGACGTAATGTCTCAATCTCTCTAAACGCATGCCTCTGTTCGTCCATGCTTCTTTAACTCTCGCAGTCATGTACGATGCTGCCATCCGCCCTCTTCTCTTATTTCGTCGGTTGGCTCTCTACGTTTGTATTTCTTGATAAGACATCGGAGCTAGAGACGCAAAACAAACGACTTACCTTCCATCTTCGCCACTTACACGCGCATCAAGGCTCGCGCGTCCTCTTCTCTGACATTCCTTCCTCTAACGAAGATTTGGATTCAATCGCACCGCCAAATGACGGATATACACTTCAAACTCGATCGAGAACATCACATAAGCCGCGATCTCACTCTGACTTCCTGGAGGCGCGGCGACGGTCGATAAGGCATGCGGAGTCCGCGCCTATTCTATGGAATGCGGAGGAAATTGAAGCACCCGATGTCGAGCACAGAGAGACTCTCCTGACGCTCGCGAAGATGACTTATAACGCGTGTGTTCTTTGTATATGTCGGGTTTTGTCTTCTCAAGAAGACCAACATGCTCTTCATCTCATGCATTAGGTATATTGAGCCAAAAGACAAAGATTGGTATGAGCTTGGTGATAAGTGGACTGACGTAGGTGCTGCTTCCTTGCTATTATCAATGCTCAACACCTACATTTGTAGAATTATCCGTTTGGCTGGGAGCCCGATGCGGATGGGTTCCGAGGTTATGTCTTCTCTGTAAGTGCATACTGTTCTATTAGCTTGTACTACTGTGACACGGGTGCAGACTGCAGACAACTCAACGGTTGTCCTAAGTATAAAAGGCACCTCTGCTTCATATTTTGGAGGAAGTGGCGGCCCGACAGCAAAGAAGGACAAGCTGAATGGCGAGTCCATTATTCCTCTACATACGCATTAGTCGTTCAATACTGATCATCCTCGCGGATCTTTTTTCTAAAAATGTAGATAATCTTCTGTTTAGCTGCTGCTGTGCGCATGTTGATTGGACCTGGACGGAAGTATGCAGCTGCTATCGTGGTGGTTGGAACTGCGACCTTAATTGCTTACAAGGATCGCTCGTCGAAGAGAGTTTGTTTTATCCTCTTGGCACTGTGCGTGTGATTTCAGACTTCTGAACGATTTATCAAGCAAACTGACATTTGCACGAAGAATATATACTATAATTTGACTTACATGTACCCGAATGCCAATATCTGGATTGTGGGACATTCGCTTGGTGGAGCGCTCGCTTCATTGCTCGGTATCACCTTTGGTGTGCCCGTCGTCGCGTTTGAAAGTCCTGGAGAGAAAATGGCTTCTCAGCGGCTGCACCTACCGCAACCTGTAAGCACATCGTTCCATTTGAATCCTAAGTATCCTCAACTGATCCTTCCCGAAAGCCTTCAACGCAACACGTAACGCACGTATATCATACGGCAGACCCGATTGCAATGGGTACATGTAACGGTATATTCTCGTCATGTGCTCTCGGTGGATACGCAATGGAGAGTCGGTACGTTGTACCTCAGTCTTCTCTATTCCACCACCCGACTCTCAAAATTCTGACTTAAACCGTTAAGCTGCCATCTTGGAGAATCAATAATTTATGACACAATCTCAAACCTATCATGGGCCTCAGACGTCCGTACACATACAATCGCGACTGTTATCGAGAAACTGCTTTCAGCACCATGGGCGCCTGCCGTTGAGCAGGGACGGGAGGTTCCAGCACCGGAGATCGATGAGGATTGTGTGGTAAGTTGCTGCGGCATCTTCGTATTTGTTAGCATGATTGCTGATTTACTTTCCTGTCATTGTTGTCCCGCAGGAATGCTACAAATGGGAATTCCACGAGTTTGTAAACGGAACACGTTAGATAATTTTTTTTACGGAACACGTACTATATAGAATCCATCTTTCATTCCTCGATTAATCTACATGACCAATTACAATACAAATGCATCTAGGTTGATTGTGCTAAATACGTCGAATCTCTACCTCTACGAACCCATCAACTCGCGTTCCTCTACGACCAACACGTCTTGATGATCCGGGTAAATGGCAGTAATGACTTCGCGTTCCGACCATTTGCGCTGGGCTTTGTCACCCGGCGAGGGTTCGGATGGTGATAGTATGTATTGTATCGATAATGCTGAAAGAGTACCGCCGTATGCATGTGAGATGCCTGTGTCGATGATGATGACTTTACCACCGCAACGCGAAGTGATATGCTAATGATACATAACAAGATCAATAGATTAGTTCCTTGTCGTTCGTTTCCTATGTTAGACAGGCAGATTCAAGGAGAAAGACAAACCTCAAAGTTTGGTGTATGCCCCATAACAAGTCTCCTCACACCTGTACGTGTCAGCACATCGTCCACTTCACCACACACCTCGTTCTCACTCTTCAACGCCCAACCGCGATACCACAGTGGCCCATCATCCGCATATAAACCTTTTTCTGCATCGGTTGCGTCTGTTGGAAGACCTGCGTATGGTGCAGGAGGATGAGGAGGAGGGAATACACGAGTCTGTAGGCGACGGAGAAGTGTACGCCCAATGTCGTTTATGGAAGAGGGGTACGGCGTTAAGTGTGCGTAGGAAGGTGAAAGGCCACCGTGTACGAAGCTTAGTGTTGCATCTGCTAGTGGGTCTTCTTCTATATTTACTTTTCCGTCTGCTTTCGATTCTATGGGGACGAAGTCGATGGAAGAATGTCCTAAGGACGGGTTGTATGATACTGAGGAAGGAAAGGGAGACAAGGGTCCCATAGGTGGATGAAGAGCAACTCGAGAGGTAACGCTGTAGTTTGCTGCCCAGGCGCGCCCGATACGTCCTGTTTGGAGCATCTTTTGACGAGCGGCGACTGAGCCGAAGGTGGCTATTTCTTTTGGGTAGACGTATCTGAACAAATAATTCTGTTCAAACAAATTAGGTCAATTGTCGGAAGAGAGTATTGCGTACCGCCAGTCAGCTGGAGGATATTGTCAGTACAAGTATAGAAAATTAGGATGAATGATTATGGACCTAGGAGATTCATCCATTCATGGTTCCCGAGGTGCGAGATGACGTCGCCGCCAGCAGCGCGTGCTTGTGATCGTAATTGTTCCATCCAGAGAAATAGTTTAATAGTATCCACTCCTCTATCGAATTAAATTTATTCCACCCATAAAGTATGCAGATGCATCATTAGTGTCAAGGAGTAAGTATAAGTAATACGGTAGACTCACCGATCAATAATATCACCCGTCTGCACAAACAAGTCCACCTTTCCAGACCAATTTCCCGACTTATCAACTACGTCAGCCATTTGTAGTACTTTTAGGGCATTCTCGTAGTCTCCGTGGAGGTCGCCAACTGCTACTATACGACGACTGTATTGTGGAGTATTTTCCGAACTGAATACGGATTGGGTGGTGTGTTGCAGGTGTTGTTGCACTGGAGGAACCAGTTTGAGGACAGCGGAGACGAATACATTTTCTCGGAAAGCAAGGAAGATGGCTGCAAGGAGGAGAATGGCTGGAAGAAGTCTGGACAGGCGTAAGCGAGGCATTGTTATTTTTCTATTGCTTGCAATGAGACCATTCGTATAGGAGGAGTGAGAGGAGATGATCGACGTTGACGCGGTACCGTGCCACGCGTCAGACTCAGAGATGACCATTTGTGGATGCAATCATCATGGTGAAACTTTGAACGCTCACTCGACTATGTAACTAGTGCACGTACAGCAATATTTTCACATCTCACCTTTAGCTTCGTATAAAAATACGCGTTGTTTTTTGGCTATCAAAAAGCAGGAAGGCTGTAAATGATTGGTATGGTGTTTAGAATTCCTCAATTCAATTGCAATACGACGTCAAATTCATCTTACCAGCACCTTTTGCCATGACTGTAGTGTCTATCACGTCTATCTCCCTCAAATGGGCTGTAGTTGAATATGTATCAAGTGAAAGTGGTCCTTGAAGCTGTACAATGTCAGCTGCCTATAGGATAATGACGAATTGGATGCTGTTCGGGTCTGATTGCTCATCATTAAGAAATTGCCTACCAGGTATGCATGTCTTTCAACTATATTGTAAACAATTGAAAATTGCATATTTAGGCAACAAAGGTAACAAAATATTGGCCTTCTTAATCCTGCTCTCTGTCCTGGCTGGGTATCTTCGCAAATCGAGAGGCCCTGTCAAGTTTCAACTACGTTTATTGACCCAGTGTGGCGGGATAAACTCAGCTGCTTTTGATTCCTCAGTGGGATGAAACGCATTTCAAACAGGAAGGACAAGTTTAAATATGGACCAGTATCTGGTCCTTTCCTTAGCCGGATTTTGGTTGCCGCGCCAAAGTTACTTTGCTTGATGATGGGACGCCGATAACCCCTTAACTCTCGTTTACGCCACGTTCAATTCTTCCATCTCCCCCACCACTTTCAGGCGGAGACCTTTGCTATTCGCGACGGAGACGAACGATGGAGCTGACTTACCGTCAACCTGCTGGGTCAGTCCACACAGAAGGCAGCACGTCTCGTGATAGTAGGGGCAGATTAGGCCGAACTCGTACTTATTCAGATGTAAGTCATTTTCCAGAGCTGCCAATTGCGCAAGGGCCACCAACGGAAGACGGGGATGTCTCCGTTAGACGTGGCGTCAGTCGCCAGCATTTCTTACCTCTTCTGTTCTCGTCTTCTGAAGCTGATAAATGACCTACTAGTCGTATCTTTATGGATGTATTCCTGTTCATCAAGCGACTCTACAAGAGGATTCTCGTTCCCGCCCTCGACGCCTCTCACATGATGAGACGCCTTCTACATCGCGACGCTTTCTTGTTGATGTCGACGAAACCATTCGAGTCCTTCTCGAACAGGAAGATACAGATGGGGATTCCCGGATTAGTATCACTGACTCGGGTCCAAAAGTCTTGCCCCTCGGAACGGCTACGAGCAATGGCTTCAATAGCTTCGACGTTCGAGTATGTTGCTACGTTGCTGAAGCATGAGTAGTACACTCACTGATCGCACATTCTTCCAGGGTACTTACAGCCTGTCCAGTCTCCTGCAGGAACTGGCACTCGCTGCTAGGAACCGTAATCAGAAGACTATTGTCCTCGATGAAGCACAAATAACCGAAACCCCGGTCGATCGGATCTCCCGTATGATCAAGGACTCATTCTGGTCGTCGTTGACACGAAGGATTGACGGTGATGGCTTGGAAAAAATCTGTGCAGACCCGAAGAACTATTCAGGATCAACTAATCTACGCATATATGTTCCTCACGACGAACCTGAAATGGTAGAGTATTATAGAAAAGTGGCGCATGAGAAACCGCATTTGAAGCTGGAGGTGCAAGTACTCCCGCCGAAGACTGACGATCCGGTATATATGAAGAGCTTGAATGAGAAACCTGGAATCCTCGCGCTTGCTATGGAGCGGGTTGATGATGGAAAAGGTGGTAAAATTCTCAAAGGGATCCCGTTCGTCGTTCCTGGGGATGTTTATAACGAAGTTAGTTAACTTGGTATTGTGCGGTTCTAACCATGACTGATTTGATAACGTAGCTGTACAACTGGGATTCGTACTTCATCGCCCTGGGGTTGATCGTTGATGGTAAAGTGTCGCTTGCCAAGGATATTGTCGACCACTTCATCTTTGAAATCAAGCATTACAACATGGTAAGTATGATGCCAAAATCCAATTTCTCATGAACCTCTGCTAATTTTTCAACAGATCTTGAATGGCAATCGGACCTATTATTTGTGTCGCAGTCAACCTCCCTTCCTTACCAACTTGGCACTTCAAATATACAAACAACTTGACCCATCGAAGGCAGATGAAAATCGTGCATGGTTGAAGCGGGCTATTCAAGCAGCCATTAAGGAATATCATAGTGTCTGGATGGCGGAACCGCGTCTTGACCCCAAAACGGGACTGTCCCGTTATCGTCCTGATGGGCTTGGCATTCCACCTGAGACGGGAGCAGCGCCATTCTTGCATATATTTGAACCTTATGCAGAGAAGTCTGGGCTGTCCGTCATCGAGTACATCGAGAAGTATGACAGCGGAGAGATTCGTGAACCTGAGCTAGACGAGTATTTCATGCACGACCGAGCTGTACGAGAGAACGGACACGACTTGTCGTACCGATTGGAGGGTTGCTGTGCGAATATTGGGACCGTCGACCTCCAGGCGCTGTTGTACAAGTACGAAATCGACATCGCAACGACTATTCTGGAGGTGTTTGGTGATAGGCTTGAAATGGAAGAGGATTTCTCTCTTTCACCATTCCCTATAACACCCGAAGCGTTTAAGAACCCGAGCAGGCGAAGCTCGATTGCGACACCCCAGACGAGTGAAGAATGGTTCAAGCGTGCTGAGTTCCGGAAAGAAAGCATCGATAAATATCTATGGAACGAAAGCGAGAACTTGTACTTTGACTACGATACTGTTAAAGAAAAGCATGGTACGTTCGAGAGTGTTACTGCATTTTGGATGCTTTGGGCTGGTGCGGCTAGTGAAGAGCAATGCCAAAAGCTTGTGTGAGTAGTATACGAGCGTTCATCTCGAAATTCAAAATAGAGTTGACGAACTGTGTAAAATAGGACCCATTCTTTAAAGAAATTCGAAGTTGCTGGAGGCTTGGTATGTGGAACAGAAGGATCTAGGGGAGAGATTGGTCCTGACCGTCCGATTCGTCAATGGGACTACCCGTAAGCCAATTCGTATATTCAGTTATCCAGTAGTCACTAATATTCCATTGCCGTAGATATGCATGGTGAATACAATCATCCGACTCGGGTATACACCATTGAACTCCTTACTTATGCATCGTTTCCCCTTAGGCCACCTCATCAGATCCTGGCATGGGTAGGACTGGAACGCTATGGCTACCTTGAAGATGCACAACGATTGGCGTATCGATACCTCTTCATGTACGTGTCTTTGAGCGTTCGCTTATTCATTTAACGCACAAATTCATATCCCTTCAATTCACAGGATGACCAAAACTTTCGTCGACTTCAACGGTATCGTACCTGAGAAGGTTTGTAGCATTACTACTTCCCCAGTCTTGGATAAACGAGTTTAATGTATCTATTTTTACAGTTCGATGCAGTTAACCTGACTCACCTCGTCAACGGAGATATTGGGAACCAGGGTACCAGTTTTAAGATGGTTCCCGGCGAAGGCTTTGGCTGGACGAATGGTGAGAATTTTTTCCTTTGATCTTTGATACGTATGCTCATGAATCATACTCGTGTACAGCCGCATACCAGGTGGGGTTAACATTCTTGACAACTCATTTGCGCCGTTCTCTTGCTGTCTGTGCACAACCGGAATTGCTGTTCCGTGGTTCCGAGGCCACTTAAGCCTCCATGTGGAAGTGTTCACGCTTTCCAACTTAGTACTCCTTTAGTGAATTCCTATTTGTTGCAATGTAAAATGTATGATCCGAATGCGGTGGACCTTTGACTACTCTTCAGATATTCACCGCAACCTATCTTCCGGGGAAGTGACTCTCATACGATTGGCAATTCATCATGCCGTACACGAACGCCACGCGCTGACGCCCATCCTAAGGCGTGTCTCTGATTAGACATCAAAAAAATATGTTCCGAAGGTTGATTCCAACACGCTCCTTGTATTGATAATGATTGTCCTTTGGAAATGCGGGCACATGGCTCTGGACCTCCGGCTCTTTACACAGTCCTTTGCGTATCCCCGATGCTAATTGGTCTCTGCTTAATAGTGAGTTGCTATAGACATACAGTGCAGGGTGCCAGGATATTGGTTGTGTACGGGTGCCCTGCATTCCTCCAGCACATGAGTATTGTGACAACATCAATACTGGTAATAGAGTTCGTTGGTTATGCACGTAAGAGAACCAGCAGAATATGAGCGCGCCGCCGCTTGAGTGCTGACCCGGTGTTGCTCTGTTCAACTACTCCCGAAATTCGAAGTGTTTGCGAACAGATCGAACTGGATGGGTTGTCCCTAGAAAAGGCGGTGTGAATTTTTCAGATTTCATTAAGCAGTTAGTTTCTACTCATACCATTGTCTCACCTATACTATGTTCCCAACGCCTGCCCTCTTCATCGTTGCTGGACTGACGGTATTACAAGGTAACACACCGTCCCCAATATATCCTCCACACATTCATTTTACATGATGTACATCATCTAGGCGTTCACGCCCAGCTGACCACCGCGACTTTGTTGCCTGGTCTTCCTGACGTCGGCCAGCCCTTTCAAGGAGAGATCCTAGGTACCGGTGCTGGCGAGACGACTTATGCTATTTCAGAAGTTATCTCTGGAACTCCCTTGACTGGTATGTACTGCCCATCGCACACGCCAATTTTGAAAAGCAAAGAGTAATGCACCATATCTGCTTTACAGCTACTCTGGTGGAGGATGCCACACATCTATCAGAAAATGTTGCCGTCAGCACGGCAGGCGCATTAGTAGATACCAATTCGGATTGTAGTTTGAACGAGAACCACGAAGGCGCATGTAGTGTCATTGTGAGCTTCAGTTCTGGTAGTGTCCAAGCTGTAACATCCGCAGTTTTATCTGCATCGTTCTCAGAGCACACAGTCGAGTTAAAGACTAGTAGTTCCAGTTCCGACGTTGCATTGTCCCGTGCGGCTTCATTCTTTGCCTTTATACCACTCATTTCCCTCGGTTTGGTATTCTGGTGAGGATCAGAATTGCATCATATGTTGAAAGGGTTGTTCTCCAGATATAGTAGTGTTGTAGGTGTGTTCTGAATTGTCCATGCACGAAATATCTATGTTTTCTGCTGGTTACAGAAATCCGTGATCTCTAATTCTCTAGTTTAGGTAAGGTCAGGGGATGTCAGAGCAGCCAGACTCGCCCTTCAGAATTGTCTGAGAGAATGCAGTGGGTACAGGTATCGCGCTACGAAGTGACAAGTCATCAGCGTCTGCAGAACGGAATCCCGGCCACGATCACGTGATTCAGCATTTCCATTCAAACAACTTACTACATTTCACGAATTGCAAATCTATTTATCAGTACAGACAAGTCGCACCATCCTGCTGTAAATGATGTATTATTGCCTCATTTAGGATCTCAGGCTCAACAGGACTTAGCAATCTCAATATTTTGTGTCTATGTTTGATCCAACTGTCGCCGAAACTATTACATAGAGAAGAATATAGTAAGTTAGAGAGAACACGTTAGGAAGCCTCTTCATTTTTTGTGCCTTGTAGGTCTGGATTATCGTTAACTGGGTACTGGACGATTCACCTTCTCGATAATCTGTTTTTGTCGCTTCTAAAGCAAAGAACTCATGCACTTCATTATGTCGGTTTTGCTTGTTGTCAAGGTTCGTGCAGAATCGAAAGCGGAAACTCACATAGACTCTTTTACTTAAATAAACCATGTATTAATTTGAGTATAACTACAGCATGTATCAAGATGCCTTGTAAATGTACATCGTGAAGAATTTCCCATAAGTTAGGCATGATCCATTTCCACTCTAATCTGCATCCAGTCCTAGCACTCTATTAACTGCTTCTTCCTCAAGTCGCTTGGCACGTAATCTTCCCTCATTAAGTCTATCAACACCACTCCTTATGGCACGCGCATGTACTTCGACAGGTATTTCATCGCCTGCAAGTTCCGGCGTCGATGCTCGCTCTCGGAGTTCTTCCATGTTTGCGGACAGCTCTTGTAATGCCTACGCAATCATTAGCACTCTTGGACGCTGCTTGAATTGAAATGGTGAATGGAAAGTACCTGCAGTGCTGCAACAACTCTGGCAAGGGCTTGCGCTCGATATCCGCCAAGTTCCTTTAGTAATTGAAGATTGCTCGCGAATCGTACAACTTTAGCGCGGTTGCCTCCCAGACGTGTCCATAAAGCAGCAAGCAACTCGGCGTTTTCAACTGATAGAGTGTTATCCTCACGAGACACAATACCGTGTATCGTATTTAGCTGCTCCTCGAGCTTATTCAACGAGTCTAAAGAAGCTTCCGCGGATAAAATCAGCCGTTCTAACGAGGATGAAAGAACGGAAAGCGATTGCGAAAAGGTGGAAGCGAGAAGCTCCTTATTGGACGTGTTGGAATTAAATGGCCAGATATATTTCATTAGTGAGGATTTTTCGGTACTCCTTCCTTCGATCGTTTGCAATGCAAAATCACTGATGGCTAATATACTATAGATCATGATGTTAGAATAAACTAATGGGTCAAATACTTAGAACACTCACTTATCTACTGATCCGCTTATTTTTGCATTTAGCTTCTGAAGGCCACGCGCCGTTTCTCGTGCATCGTCGACAAAAGAACCTAGTGCAGTCGCGAGATGGTCTTTGCCTCTCAAATCGCTCATCCTTACAAGTATAACGAGATCAGCTGTGGCCATCTCCGCTTTCTTGATATCCAGTGCGACGCTTGTGCTCCCGACACTCTCGTCCAATAGTTGCTCGAATGTCTTGCTCTGAACTTCCACCATCATTGGATATTCTGCACTGTTATTATAAAGGAATTAATCACCTGTCGTGATACAAATACAATATAAAATAAAAGAGCTTACTGCTGGGGTTCCTTGATATTGCCTGTCTGTAGTTTTCTGGTTGCGCATATGTCAAAGCGAGAAACGCCAGGAATAACACATAGTGGTGAGAAAGCGGAACGGACGGTAGCGGAGAGAGCACTGATGATGATCGTGATTGTCCACATAGTGAGGAGTAAAACCAAGGGCCACTTGAGAAGGGAGAGTGTGGAAGTTACAACGTCATATATGTATTTAGCCGATGACCTGGTTCCATGGGTAAATGCCGTGTGTATTTCTTCCCCAGAAACAAGAGGTGGTCCAGGTAGGCGGGTGGCACTGGATGCCTTTGTTCGTGGAGGTGGCTTTCTAGGAGATGCGCCATTGGTGGCGATGTAGATGGTCCTGGTCACGGTCCTTTGTCCTTGTCGGCGCTTTCGGGGAGTACCGGGGGTCGACCGGTGCGCTGTTTGCAGACTTGCCATCTTGTCTAGTGGTTCAGCGGTCAAGTCAGTTGCGCCTTCACGCTGTGAGGTTGGTAGGTCTTCCCATTCGTGATCTTCAACCATATTGTCTCTTTCTCCAGAGCTTTCCGGTTTCTCAGTTCTGTATAGTGCGGTGGAAGAAATTAGCACTGGAATAGATCGGTGACATGGCAGAAATACAAACCGTTGAACTTCTCGGCTTTTCATGATGCTCGGAAGGGCCGAAGATATCCTTCTCAGTTATAAGGCAGTGTACTCTCGTTGCATGCGATATAAACGTTGCAAGTGTGTTCCTTTAATTAATTAAAAGTGAATGCGGAAGCGATGCGTCCGGCACGCGGTGAGCTTAGGAGAGTCAACACGAGGATCAGCGCGAGACGCGACAAATAACGCCAAATGTCATCGGACACGAGGTCATGTGACGGAACTTGCTTATATCATCAAAAGTGTACGCGTCTCCCTCAATTTCGCGAGTGGGAGATCTACATCCGCCTACCACAACTTGTCCTTCCCATCCTTGCTCCCTATAACCACTCATGCCTGACACACCTCTCCCGGTCGCGCCTATCCCTTCAAAGGACCCAAAGAAGAAGAAAGAAGAAGAGAAGGATGAGAAGCTTGATGAGAAGGGAGAGAAGGACGCGTCTAAAACCAAGGAGGGAGATGGAGAGGAACTGGTATGTTGTCCATCCATTGCCTTAGCTCAGTATCTAATGTGGCGGACAAAGTCTGAAGAAGACATTCAACTCCGTAATGAACTAGAGATGCTCGTTGAGCGTTTGAAGGTATGGACCTTCTAGACTGGTCTAGCAAATACACTCACTACCGCCGCAGGAGCCCAATACCGATCTTCATCGACCAGCTCTCGAAACCTTACGAACACTCATACGAACATCAACTTCGTCAATGACATCAGTACCAAAACCGCTTAAATTCCTCCGCCCTCACTATCGCGATCTGCAAGCTCTCCTCGAAACCTGGCCAACGTCAGAGAATAAGAGCCTCTTCGCTGACATCCTTTCCGTACTTGCAATGACATATTCCGATACTGAACCTCGAGGCACTCTGAAGTACCGCCTTCTTGCAACCTCTATGTCGACTCAACCTTCCGATCCTGGATCCTGGGGCCACGAATATATTCGTCACCTTGCCGCTGAGCTCGGTTCCGAGTACTCAATTAGAATGGAGAAGGAAGAAGATAAGACTGAGAAACATCGAGCTATAGATGAGCTTCGTTCACTCAGCATGGAGTGTGCCAAATTCCTTCTACGACATAATGCAGAACCAGATGCAGTTGACCTTCTTGAGGAGCTTGAAATTGCAGAGCGTTTAATAGGTCTCGTGGATGAGAACAACTATGCGCGTGTTTGCCAATATATGCTAAGGTGTGTGTTGCCTTGTTTACTCTGTTGTGCATAGACTTTTTAACTCACAATGTGGCATATAGCTGTGTTGCCTATTTAGCACCGCCAGATGATCAAGCGTTCCTGCGAACTGTGCATGAACTCTACATTAAGCACAGCAAGTTCCCCGAAGCGCTAGCTGTTGCCTTACGACTCTGGGACCAGGATCTTATTCTTCACGATTATCAAAACGCCGGCAATCCGTGAGTTTTCGACTACTTTTGAATAATGAAGTGGTGTTCACTCGCACTTCTATAGCGTCATGAAGAGGCAACTTGCTTATCTTCTGGCACGTGCACAGGTGCCGTTAGAATGGATTCAACCCGAAGGCGAAGAGGAAGAGGAGCCAGAGGAGGAACTTCTGGAGTGCTTGAGCAACACGCATCTCTCCGAGCATTTCAAGGAGTTTGGCAAGGAGCTTGGTGCAGTGGAGCCAAAGAGTTTGGAAGATATCTACAAATCGCATCTCGAGAACACGAGTAAGCGGCTCGGTGCATATGCTATGTATTGTTGAATGTCCTTATGTATTTTGCGCTAGGACCCTCCGGACCGAATATCGACTCCGCCAGAGCGAACTTGGCGGGCTCTTTCGTTAATGCGTTTGTGAATGCAGGTTTCGGTAATGACAAGCTCATGGTTGATGCACCGGAAGGGGATAGTTGGGTGTATAAGAATAAGGATCATGGTAGGTTGATTCAATGGTATCTCATTTCTTTGTCCTGAAAATCCCGCTTTGAGGCATGATGAGTGCTGCAGCGTCTCTTGGTTTAAGCTTACTTTGGGATACAAATACCGGATTGAACACGGTTGACCGTTATACGTATTCAAACGAGGAATATATCAAAGTAGGTCCTTCTACAGGAAATGCTATTGCTCTATCTGATTAACCCGAACATTCCTCTAGGCTGGTGCATTCCTTGCTTTCGGTATCCTAAACTCTGGTATCCGCACTGAAGCGGACGCTGCGCTCGGACTCTTAAGCGAGCATCTGGAAAATGGATCAGTTCCCTTGAAGTCTGCTGCTATTGTTGGCCTCGGACTTGCGTATGTTGGTTCCCAACGAGAAGAACTTTCCGCCTTGCTTTTGCCTATCGTGGCAGATGAAGGAAATTCTATGGAGATCGCCTCGCTTGCTGCCCTTGCGCTTGGGTTTACGTTTGTGGGAAGCTGTAACGGCGAAATTGCAGGAACCATCCTACAGGCGCTCATGGAGCGGGATGAACTTTCTCTTAATGAGAAATGGGCTCGCTTCATGGCACTTGGTCTTGCGCTCTTGTACCTTGGCCGACAAGATGCATCTGATGCGACACTTGAGACGCTCAAGGCTATTGAGCACAACGTCTCAAAACAGGCGCAGATTCTCGTCGAGATTTGCTCATGGGCTGGTTCTACAAACCCTCTCAAGGTTCAGGCAATGATGCATCACTGCAGTGACCACATTGAGAAGAAAGACGGCAGCAAGGAGGATGATACGTACCAGGCTTTTGCAACTATCGGGGTTGCTCTTATTGCAATGGGAGAGGATGTTGGTGCTGAAATGGCTATCCGCCAATTCAACCACCTGGTAAGGATTAATTGTCTTCAGCTAATTCACTTACTTGACAATGTTGATAGATGCACTATGGTGAACCGATCATTCGCAAGAGCGTCCCGCTCGCTCTCGGCCTCATCAGCGCTTCAAATCCCCAACTACCCATCCTTGATACACTCTCCAAATACAGTCACGACAGTGACCTCGCCGTCGCACTCAACGCCATATTCGCAATGGGCCTCGTCGGTGCTGGGACTAACAACGCGCGTCTCGCTCAGATGTTACGACAATTAGCGAGCTACTACTACAAAGAGCCAGACTGCCTGTTCATGGTTCGCGTGGCACAGGGTCTTGTACATATGGGCAAGGGGACGATGACTGTTAACCCATTCTTCTGTGACCGAGCGATTATGAGCCGAACGGCTGTTGCTGGATTGTTGACCGTTCTCACTGCTTTCACCGATGCCAAAGGATGTAAGTCGCTTACATCAAAGTCTAACTAAAACGCGTCGTACTGATGACATTTTAATATCTAGTTATCCTCGACAAATACCACTGGATGTTATACTACCTCGTCACCGCTATGTACCCACGCTTCCTAATCACGCTAGACGAAGAACTCAAATCGAAGCCTGTAACCGTTCGAGTCGGTCAAGCAGTCGACGTCGTCGGACAAGCTGGCAAGCCACGTACGATCTCCGGGTTCCAAACTCATCAGACGCCCGTACGTCTAGGGACGCGCGAGCGTGCGGAACTGGCTACGGAGGAGTTTATTCCTTACGCTGCTGTACTTGAGGGCTTTGTTATCCTCAAGAAAAACCCGGGATATGAGAAGGAAGATAAAATGGAATTGTAGAGTCCTTTTGATGTTAGGTTGGCGCAGTGGACTTCGTTTAGAGTCTGGTTGTGTGGTGTAGAAGTAACTACCAATATCTTTGTAAATACGCAGCATTCTTAATTATTGTGCATTTACAACTTCCACGACTTTGCGACGTTTATATGTCTATTCGACCATCACAAGGAGGAAGGTGCACAACGTATTTAGCGGGCACAAGTATCACTTTTCTGGTATAGATACTGAAATTACTTTCAAACACTGAGGGACGAAAGCCAGTCAAACGAGATTTCAATATATATTGCACAATCATGCATAGATAAGAACATGGCTACGACTTCACTGAATGAGTATCATCCATGCCAGAATGAAGTAGAAGAGACTAGAAAAGTCAGGTAAGTGCTTAAACAAATAAAGCTATTGAGATGAAGAAAAGGCACTCACAGAAGAGGGTATACCGCAAGCAAAATTCGCTGTTGTTCGATTTTCGTTCCGTCAAGGAAGTTGACAGAGGCTATAAAAAGGGAATAGAATTCAGAATTCAGATGGAAACGAGACGAGATAAAGACAAACCCCAAATACACCAAGCCCACGCGCCCAAGGAAAGGGGTATGCGTACCCAGATAATATGCACGAAATACGACACGAGCGCTGCGATGTCGAGTGGTGCGACGCAGTAGCCTAGGACACACAAGGCTTGGAAGAATGATCTACATACGTTATGTTTAGTAAAGAAGTCCAGTATTAGAAGAGGGAAGAAGCTTACACTCGTCCACCGAGAAGCTAATTGAGGATATAAGAAAATGGGTGAGTTACATGAGTTTACATGGCGAAGAGGAGAAGCGACTTGCTTACCTTTGCTTGAATAGTCACAACGACTGATCCTAAACAAATCAAGACGACGACAGCAGTGAACACTCCGAGGGATTGTTCAGCTGGTGCCTGTAACGTCAACACAATAATTCAGCCTCAATTCCACCGTTTGCGAAAAGGAGAAAAGCGAGCAACATGAATGAAGAGAAAAAAACTCACACTTAAGCTAAGTAGTATTCCCAAAAGCAAACACAGTATCAAGGGACCCCATAAGTCCCAGTCTCTTAGTACTTCCCGACCAGCGCCAGATCTTCGTGGATAGAGGACCTGGACCAGTTTGATTGATATGGAGTGGAGGTCTCGTGCCTGTTATGTGTGTTCGACGATTTTGGTTTTCGATAATTCATTTATGAGGAAGGTTGAGCCACAGAGTAAGTGTGAATGTATACGCACGATGGTAGCTGTAACAGGTTCGTCTAGCGTTGCTTCTCCTGTATATCTATGTATCGAAATTAAAACATGAAACAGTCAGTAAGACACAACGAATAGCAATTTAATGAACACCAACGCACCTCGTCTCAACCCTCACACCACCAACCATCCTTCTCGACCCCTGTCCTCCCGCACCACCAGCACCACTCGCTCCGCCTCCGGAACCAATGTTCCCTGACAAACCCTGCACAGCCGAACCAGAAGAATTCCCTTGTTGATTTGAAGGTTGTGACTGAGACTGAGATTGCGATTGGTTTTGAGATAATTGGGCCCGACCCTTCCCCTTCCCAACAGGCGAAACGATAGGTTCACCACCGAACGACGGCATGGCGTCTTCGTCAAACTCGTCATCGTCTATTCAATTTCGGTTCCAGTACCACCGAATACCAGCGCAGGTTGGTTTCGGGTTTCGTTTCGGTTTGGAATATACAGTCGCGAATCCCACCATCACAGTTGCGTTTCACCAATATAGGTATCCAAAATAAAGTGACAAGGCCAAGGTGAACCATGAACGTGGCGTCAGTCAGTCCATAATCTCTACATGCACATGCAAACAGAAACAATCATACGTACCTGCTTGAATGAACTGAGACATAGCTGTATTCGGTGTATGTGGCTCCATAACTATCGCTTCCTCACTTGTTCTCGAACCTTTCTGTCTCGTTGCGTTTTGGACAGCGTATCAGGCTGCAGGCGCGTACTGCGTACTTACACGTTTGCGCGCGTGTCGATTCTACAGATGAGCTAAAAATGGTATACAAGTTCCACGCTCGAGTAAGTATCAAACTCTAATTTTATTTATTGATTTCTCTCCTCCAATCTAAACATACTGCTCATGCTGTGTGTATTTTTAAAAGGCAGTATTAATAATAAAAAATAACACAACAAGTTTGTTTAAGTACAAACGTATCCCATAGATTCACCCAATATGTTTTGGCCTGTTCATGTTATTTCAGAGACTAAGACCAAGACTCGCTTCGTAGTCTGTAAGGATGTCAGGTTCTAATTATAATCTATTCTACGTTTTACCCTCATGCTCAGACAACTATGAAACAGGAGATCAGTTTGTCCATTGAGTCGTTTTCGCTATTTCATGCCAATGTTGATTGACACCGTGGAGCTTTTGAGGATATGTGTATAATACAAGTGCAGAACACAGTATGACTTTTGCTTAGCGTTTTGTGAGATTACAAAAGAAAAGTAGCCAATCTCTAATAGGAAGTAACATATATACACTGAAAACGATAAATCATCACAACACCAAAGGTCATCCAATCAAGCAACGCTCAACCCTTCCAACCCAAATTCCCCACCCCCCAACGACCCCCGATCAAGCTCGTTAAACGGATCCCTCGCACTCCCAGTCTTCGCCCTCCACAACGCCCTATACGTATTCTTCAACTTTTGCAGCTCCCCATCTAGCGCGGCAGTCTTGTTCGCGAGCGCGACGAATGAGGCGTGTTGGGCTTGGAGGGTGGAGGTTATCGCTATTTTGTTGGCGTTGTTGTTGTTCGTCATCGTTATCATGTTCGATTATTGTTTGTTTCGTATGTTTTTGAAGGAGTGCAGGCATGTGTTCATAAGATGCGTCGATCGTTTGGTTCGTGAATCCGGTTGGTACGAATCGGGGTTCCCGGGAGAAGCACGGTAACAAGATACGAACGACCACCACCACACCAGCGTATCAATTGAAGAAGAGAAGTCCGAACGACACCCGACGTCGGCGTAGAAACATCATGGAAACAAGCACATGTGGGTGGCGTAGACATAGAACAACACGAGCGGCCGCAGTTGCATTGTTTTAAACGTAAAGTTCGTCGATCGAAAAGCCGCCCAAAATACGATTCGTTTCCCGTTTGTTTGTTTGGCGGAGGAATTAATCATAAGAAGGGAAGAAATAGATAGATCGTCAGTAAGTCAGCTTCCAATCCAAAGTTCAAACATATCACAAAGCCCGGAAAAGACGGTTTCACGTGGACCGTGTTACGAAAACACGAGCCAGAACCCGACCGCGAGGCAACTGCGCAGCACATCACGGAGCTTAAAAACAATCCCTTCCATTGTCAAAGGACAGGGAAGAAGGGTAGAATAATAGGAAAGCCTTGAAACCCGGAAACACAAGAAAAGGAAACTCACATTGAGGAGTGATCGAGACATGATTTGCTTCCGACACGAGCCTTCGTTCAATTTGCTATGGTGCCAAAATCGTAATCATGACACGCGCGAGACACGCACACGACCGCGTTATCGTATCAAACGCAGCAGATATTCATCAAGCCAACCACAGCAAAGCAAAAAGTAAGGCAATATATCCCAACCAACATAGCACAGACGGAGGTCACGGGCCGGAGAAGGAACGAACGAATTCGAAGTCCATAGACAGACGCCCACGATTGATAACGTTGGGATAGAGTTAGGCACACAAAGACGTTCGCATTCGTTTCGTTTGTGTTCGTCGAATTTGATTTGATAGATGCGAAAGTGTGAGTAAAATTCAATGGGCGAGAAGAGAGAAGAGGTGGATATTCAATGCAAATTCCACACGTCGGACAGTTGCCGACGGAAAGAGAGTGATAAGATTCGGTACCGAGGGTTTAGGACGGAAGCGAACCAGAGGATTGTCCGGCGGTACCCAAAGGAATAGGCATTAGTGGTAAGTTCAAGGTCCGCGATTGGGGTAGATGGATCCCGTGGATGGACGTGGCATCGTAAGAGCACCAGGCAAGTGCAGCGAGACATAGACGAAAAACACATGAATTGATAAACATAGACATCAGGCATCACCGGAAGCGAGAGAAAGATTAATAATGACGCACCTCAAGCGTGTTGTTAAACCACTGTAACCGCTCACGTAGTTGCTCGGTGACTCGTGTAAAGAACCTACGGAGATAAAAATGAAACAATCACAAGGTATTAGGGCCAATAACGACATCCTCTGTCCACATTACGGAACGAAGTTAGAATGAAAGGACATACTCTAATGGGAATCCGGCGTAATTCTTCAGCCAGACAACCTGTTGACTCTGGGTTGCCTGCCCACTTTGCCCACTCTTAAAAGCGTCAATAATCCGCGTGGCAGCGATTGTATCTTGAACGGCTTGGTCCATTCGCGTGCGAAGCTCGCGCATAGCAGCGATGTCAGCACGAAGTTTATTAATGCTATTGACAAGATCCTGCACATGGAGAAAAAGTTCCGCCGGTCAGTGAGTCAGAGTTTAAGATCGGCCGAAAGAATACGCCAGGTGGGAAGATACACATAAATGCAACTCAAAGGAAAGTGTGACGAGAGCGCTCGCGGAAGGGCTTGGTGATGATATTTATTCAAAGGTTGTCGCTATTCATTCCAATCCAGCAGTGTACTTGCCACTTTCTGGCGCCGTTCTCAAGAATTGTTAATAGCACAGTGGTGAAGAAGCGCGAGAAGACGGTGCGGGAATAAAGTAGGCACATAAGAAGCACAGGCCACGCAAGAGAGCATACGGCTCCCAGACTGGCAAGTGATCTCGACACACACATGCATGGCTTCGGCACTCGGAAATAACTCCGCAGGAATGACGACAATTCGACCAGATCGGAGAAGCACCACGCGCTCCGGAACGACAGGCCTCGAGGATGGACGAAAAATGAGTGGAAAAGAAGAGAGCGTACCTTGTGTACGACCTTGATCTGTTCGGCACCCTTCTGCGGCTCGTCGCCGAGCCTATGCTGCTTCAATTCTGTACTGATCTGCACACGGCCTTGTATGTGTGTACTAGTGGCACGCAGGGGAAAGAAAATGACAGCGGAAGCGCAGGTGCAGATGGAGATGGAGAGCCGCGGAAGGAAGTGAATTGAGACGGGGTCTGTCACGCGAGAAATGCGACGAGAACGCACTCAATCTGCTCAAACTTTTTCCTAATGTCTTCCGGGAGGTCATTGAACTTGGTTGTCCGAGTGAACTGGGGCGCACTAGGCCAATTGGGAACACACATGGTCAATGAGCACACGCGTTCCATTGAGTCAAAGACGCGTCTTTTGTTCAATAAAGAATGAAAGCACCCACGCGGTGGACTGTTGGGGCTGTTGAAACTGTGCAGGCTGGCCGAAAAGGGACGGAGCTGGTTGGTTCTGTTGGGTAGTCGCCGTGGAGGCGCCGAAGCCACCAAAGGGATTTGGTTGTGTGGGTTGAGTGCTGCCGAAAAGAGAACCGGTCTGTTGCTGAGGTTGAGAGGTCGCCGTGCTGGCGCCAAATAAGCCTGGGGAGACATGAGCTGAATTGACATTGAGTTAGGGATAGGCAGCGAACCGGAAGTAGCAGGCTGTCCAAATAGACCGGTTGATTGTTGCTGCTGTTGAGGCTGAGTATTGGTTGAACCAAAAAGATTTATTGTTGGCTGAGATGGCTGCGACGCGCCGGCCGCGGTATTTGTCGAATTAGCAGTGTTTCCAAAGAGCCCAGTGCCAGTGGACTGAGTCTGACCACCAAAGAGCGATGGCTGCTGTTGCTGTTGAGGTTGCGGTTGCTGTTGCTGTTGCTGTTGTTGTTGTTGCTGCTGCCCGAACGCGCTAAATGGATTGGTGGTTGGCTGCGTCTGCTGTGCGGGGGTTGTCGACGAGCCAAAGAGTGAAGTCTGGGGCTTCTGTTGCTGCTGTTGTGCGAATGAGGAGAAGAGGGACATGATTGCAGATGTTGAGTTGAGTTGAGAGAAGAAAGACGCGCCGATCAAGGCTAGCATATGCTACCCTGCTCTCATCGCAGTCTCTCCACATGGTCTCTTTCCCTGCTATTCCTTTATATGCTGCAACAACTCCGCCTCCCTCTTCCCCGTTCCTTCCTCACGACAATGCCTCGACGTCCTCGTCCTGGCCATGATCCATGACCTCCCCGACGGCGAGCATGGAGACTCACAGGATACTGCCTCAATCCACCCGCCGCCTAGCTACCGATCGTCCTTGCATCTCTCAGTGCCACGCCCGCCAATCTCCGGGTCCCGTCGCACTTCAATCCATCCCTTGCCCTCTCGTCCACCCGTCGAGCACGTCTACTCTCTCTATGACTCGCGCAATGCTCCTTGGGCAACACTCAAGCTCATCTCAAACGTCGCATCTCCTAGATTTCTCCCTGCGTACTTTCAAGGCCAGACTTTGCATGGCGCGCTTGAGCTCGATCTACGCAAGCCGGAGTCTATCCTAGGCATCAGTATAACAATATCTGGCACAATCATAGCTGCAAACGCGCCAGAGCCTCGTATATTCTGGGAGCTTTCTCGCGACCTATGGAATACTAGCATGGGAGACCCGCGCACCTCGGCGCAGAGCACTGGCCAAGACTCCACCCCACAAGTGGCACTAAAGCAATCAAAGGCAAAGGGCAAGTCCAGCTACAAGCTTGTCGGAAAGTACTCGTGGCCATTTGCGATCCCGTTACCCTCAGAGTGTACCGTCACCTGGGGCTCAAAGCTCCCTCCCGTCACTCTGCCCCTCCCGCCCTCTTTCTCGGAAAAAGGAGCATCTCAGTTCATCAACTACGAGATCATTGTGCGTATCCGTCGTGGTCCTCTTCGGATAGATAGCAAGTAAGTTCCGGCTATCATCTGCCCCCACAACTCATTTTCACTCTTTTCTTCCCTCCCCTATGTTTCCTCCCGTTCTTTTCGTCTCACGCTTTGCTCACATATTCAGCAGACTGGGCACACAGCTCGGATTTGCACCCCGCACCCGCGCTCCGGCGCCTTCATTGCTGCGGCAGTTGGCATACCAGGAAAACAGGCCTCTTGTAGGTCCAGAGGGTGATCCACACGGCTGGACAGTTCTTCCGCCCATTCTTGTTCGTGGAAAAATATTTGGCGCGCGCTTCGTCGAAGCGGTTTGCACTGTAAGGTTATTACAACCATTTCTGAGGTACCGCTATTCACTTGTTACTTTGACAGTTCGCTTTAGCCCTTCCTGTCCGTCTTTTCCCATATGACTGTGTCTCTACGCTTCTTCTGACGCACATTTGTCACAAAGCTATCTTATTCCCGCGGCCAGCCCGTGCCCTTGATGCTTACAGTGAGCTGCAATGATAGCCAGGCACTCGATCTAGTTTTTACCCCGCAGAATACGTCTGTACATTTAATCCGGGAGGTATGTTATGACAATGGTAATCCAGATTCCCGCAAGGTATTGGACCACGATTGGGGGAACGGGTTGGAGAGCTCACCGGCAGATAGGTCGTTGGGCTTTGTCGCATCATCAGCAAGTAATCTCGGATTCACTCCAAGAGCATTTCTACCACGTGCTGCTGCTCAGCAGGCCTCCTCTTCGTCTTCCGCTTCTGCCACCAGTACTATCGCCTCGCTGGCAAGATCCCAGTCTATGTACAGCCAGCCATCCGCGTCCGCTTCAACTCCGGCTTCCAATACGTTTCCCCAGATGGCTTCCTCCCATTCCCCTCCTTCTTCATCGGGCTCCGCGTTATCTGCCTTTTCGTTCAAGACGTCAAAGGCTGAGAAGAAAGCGAAATCAAAGTCCCCTAAATTGGGATCTAAACTTGCGCTGCATGGAGCGCGTACGCATATAACGAGTGCGGTTTGGTGGCCGAGGTCGGGGATGAAGTCCGAGTCGGGATCATCTACAGCAACGACGCGGAGCCGACGAATGGAAGGCGAGATCTTGCTTCCGAAAGATTTGGTACCGAGCTTTGAGTTTGGTGGGTTTAGTGTCAAGGTTTGTTCGACCATTTGTTTGTTTGTTCATTCGTTACTTCCCGCCACATTTCTACGCGGATACCGTTTTCTGATTTTTATCTGTGCTGTTTATTGACTAACGTGACTTCTGTTTATATTAAACAATAGTATGCGCTCGCCCTCCTTCCCTTCCAAGCACCCGGGTTCGAGCTGATGCCCACCTCTCCCTCCTCTCCCTTCCCTTCGCACTCACCTGTCGAGTCGTCACCCTACTCGTTCCCCTCACTAACTCTGACCTCGGAACCGCTACTTCTCTCTTCGAATGTGGAGATTGCAACGCTACCCGCAGCGCACAGCGTAGCTGCACATGCCATACCTAGTTCACGCGCCCCGCCAGGACTTGATGTACAGGGTCAGCGCGCGGCACATGCGGAGAGGGTGAGGAGACCTGTTGTGTGGGGTCTGTTTGATACGTTTTCGAATGGTGCTTCGAGTGCTAGGGATTGAGGGCTCGAAAAGGAGAATTTGTTGACTCGACTCAGCCTCTCCTGTTTTTCCCCTCTTTCTCTTTTCGCTTTCTCTGGATGGAGAGAAATGCTTAAAGTTGGTTTTCTTTTTTCCACCTTTCCCCTTCTAATTGCGTGGTTTCACGACACTCCACATGGATTGTATATATGCGTTGTTGGACCTTGGTGCACATACACAGACGCAGACACAAGGCACAGATTCACATGTATCATTTTACATTTTCCTACCATCTGGACATGTAACTCGTATTACATGTATGTATTGTTAGAGTAGAAATCGTAGGTAATATTCCGTTATGTGCATCTGTAACAACAGCACAATACATATTTATGTAAACAATTATCCCTTGCAGCGTAATGTGTTCTTCAACAAAGGAAGTGTCGAAAGTAAAATATGAATAAGAAAGAAAAAAGTGAGATGTAACTTATGAAACGTGGTCCCTTGTGTATCATGCAAGAGTGGGAAGCGACGAAGAAGAAGAATTACTATAGTAATTAATACCTTATGAGTCAATACACACCTGATACTTAAGATCCATGCCTACTTATTCAATACATTCGAAACGCGGAAATAGAAAGAAGCGGATGCATATGGACAGGTCAAAGACATTATGGGCTGTTATAGTAGCAATCATTCAGAATATTTACTGTAATGCATTTTTCTTTTGTACATGCAGTTTGTAGCTGCTGTGCGATACTTATTTTAAGGTACTATTATCCTCTACCATCTCAACAGTTCCAATCGTTGAAGGCAAGTTAAGATTGTAAACGTGGCCTCTCGTGTATTACGCAAGAGCGGGAAGCGACTTAAAAGAAGGGGTTATTATAGTAATTTATACCCTATGAGTAAATGCAGACTGTAAATGCTCACCAGATACTTATAACTTAACTTAAGGACGCGCGTTACATAGATAAATTCAAAACATGAAAATAGAAAGAAGCGGATGCATATGGTCAGGTCAAAGAGAACCGACAGAATCGACGGAACGTATTTCAGTACTATTCACTCTCATTCCCGCCGGCGATCAGCGTTAAGAAGTGAAGAGAACAGAACAGAACTTGGTGAGCCGACTTCCATTTTCAATAATTTTTATAGTTTGTTTTATTGGTGATGTACGTGGGTGGGATGGTACGTATATACGGGTAAATACACATGCGGAAGTAGATGACGAAAAAAGAAGGAACTGGAACAGAAGAACTTGTTGCACGAGTACGCTTCAGCCAGCTCCATCGTGTAATGCGCAGCATACCACGGCTGCAAACAAAGTCACATCAGCATCATGAGGTAGCAGAAGAGTTAATGAGTAGGAGCGCTCCATGGGCGCACAAGGATGCGCGAAGGGAGGAAGGGAGGATAGGGCGCGAAGGAGCAAATAACAAAAAGGAAAAAACCTTCGAGTAGAGTAGTGAACACTCGACACACGTACCCTTGTGATGGCCGTTATACTGGCGCACGGTCTCCCCGGACTGCATCTCCCAGAGACGTGCCACGTGGTCCGAGGAAGCTGGTATCATTCATTCGATTATTGCAGAGTGCAAAGCCAAGAAATGTATCAATATGACAGATGTCGACGTGGTTTTTTGCCGTTGACATTGGCCATACGGGCAGAACATTACACCGTGCATATCAACGGAATAATAACATCCGAAAGAAGACCAAGGAATGCATGCGGTACACCAAAGCCGCGCGTATGGAAAAAAAAGGAGATCGTTGCGTTAGTATGATGCACGTGCAGGTAAGACGTAGAGATGAAGGAGAAGGAGAAGGGGCGGGAGCTTTTAGTTGGAGTCGAAGAGATCTATGGTGCAACGTGTGTGCTCCAGCTAGCCGGCAAGAGGAAGAAAGAAAGGCGAGGGTGTAGTTTGGGTGGCAGAAAGGAAAGAAGATGCGTACCGGTAACGAGGTAGGCCGAGTCGGCGCTGAAAGCACAGTCCCAGACCCAGCGCTGGTGTCCCTGCAAGATCTTCTCAAGCTTGAACTCCCAATTTCGCCCAATTGACCAAATCTTCACAGTTGTATCCGCAGAACACGTGGCTAGATACCTAATCACCATAAGTTTCGAATATTTTAATTGTTTTTAGCGACCAGCGTCTAATGAATGAACATGAAGTCAGGAAAGGCGTGACAGGACTTACCGAACGTCGGGACTCAGAAGACAGCGAGTGAGATATTTGTTATGCGCTTGGAACTTCGTGATCGCTTGGAACCGCGGGAGATCTGAAAGTTCCTCATTGATCTTCCACACGTAGCATTTGCCCTTCATTTAATTTTGCTCGCATAAATACACAATTTAGCTAGCTGGGGATTTGAAAGGACCGACCTTATTATTACCAGCCACGAGACACGATCCGTCCGACGCAATCGTCACAGACCGTATGGGTACATCACCCGCCGGAGCCTATGAGACTTTGATCAGCACCACATTATACTCCAAGGAAGAACCTTCAGAATGACTCGACTAACAAGATCAAGCATGCAAACATTCTCCGAAAGATCCCAAAGTTTAATGCTTCCCGCTTGGTCGCACGAAATCAGTTCCCCTTGATTGGGGTGTATAACCACGTCGTTAACTGAGCAACGGTCAATGTTCTGCCTCGGGCGCAGTTAATGGGAGAATACATACCAGCAGCACCGTTGTCATAATTTCGGTGGTGAGTGTTACTCCTGTAGATCATTAACCTCTTGTTTATTGCCTCCTGGATGACTTGCCTCACCTTAGATCCCAAACCTTGATAGTCCCGTCTTCGCTACCAGTAACCACCCACTTTCCTTCAGCGTGGAACTGGACTGCTGTGACATTTCCGGTGTGGCCTTCAAACGTTTGGAGCTAACAATAGATAGTTAACAGGATACGATACAGAGCAAAAAGAGGCCATGACTCACAACTGCATTAGACATATTTGCTATCTCATATATGTTGACCTTCTTGTGAATAGCAGCAGCAAGTAATCGCTTACTAGAAGAGTGTCAGCACTTTCAGTATAGACAAACCCAGTAATAGGCTTACTCCGGAGATATAGCCAATCTGTTCACTTGCTAAACTTCAAATAAGCGGCATTTCAGAAACAGACATCTTATACTATACTCACGCCTTGATCACCAGAGCGAGCTATAGTCCTTGAGCATATACCACTCCATGCTTCCCAGAATCGAATTTCGTGGTCGTATGAGCCTGTGACGAGGATAACCGACAGGTCTTGACGAGCTGCGCTAGCCTTTGTTGATGTCTGCACTGGCATGCTACCTTGACATAAAAAAACACGTCAATGAATATTCAAGAGTCAAGCAAGTGGGGAGCAAGAGCTGTAGAAGTTGCTGGAGCATGTCCATGCCTCCATCGAGTCACGTGACTTAGATCTATTTTGACAAGTTTGGCATCATGATCGACGTGTAATCATTTGCAATTCAGTTGTTCACGCTGTCGAACCTTGGGAGCAACAGTCCTTCTATGGGTTATCATCATTCAAACTATATCTCAATGGTGCAGCGGTTATCAAGAGCTAGTGAAGAGCTGATTTGTGAAACTTCTGGCTGGGTCGTTCATGAACTGATTCTGAACTACTGCTTTCTTGCTCTTGGGGGCTACTATTAGTTATGGTATCCGCCAATATGAATGGAGAGAAAGTTGACGACGGAGAACTCCCAAGCTACGCCGACGTACGCGAAAGGTCTGATATGCAATCTGGAAGCACGCCTCTTCGGACTGAACATGTGTATTCGCTAAACAACTCGAAAGGAAAGGCTTGGCTGAGTCTTCACCTCGCTAGCCGTGCACCCACACCAAAGGTGCTTCCGGTTTTCAAAGATGGAGATGAAATATCCGGAGAGGTGAAGATCGAGCTTGAAAAGCCAGAAAGCAGCAAGGGCGTTGTGATTGGCGTGAGTCGCTATCTGGTTGGATTCATCGACCATCAGCTTACCACTTCTGACCTGAAGATTGTAGCAGAGAACACATCAGTTGGCCAAGAAGCCATTAGATTTGTCGATGTATCTACTACACTATGGGCACCTTCACCTTCATCGACGAAACTTGCTGGAACCCTGACCTGGAGTTTCAAGCTCTCCTTACCCAAGGAAGCTTTAGCTTCAGCCTCATCAAAGGATCCATTGAAGAGCTATCCACTCCCACCAACTTTCAGTGAACGAGCAAGTCCTGCATATATCGACTATAAAATCATCGTCACCGTGAAAAAGGGTATGCTTAAAGTGAACCAAACGTAAAGATTATTATTGTACATTACCATGATCAGTACGCTGATCCTCCTTCGTTTCCCAAAGATTAAGCACAAGCTTTGCGTACGTTCCGCGTTGGGTTGCAGAACCCCCATCCCCATTACGCTTGGCAGCTTACCTTGATGGGAGCCCATTAATCGGACCCGAGGCCGATCCGGAGGGATGGAGGATTCTTCCTCCCGTTAGAGTTAGCGGCACACTGTTCGACACGAAGAACATCGAGGTTGAAATGACTGTGGGTAGCAGAAATCACATTAAGCAGAGCTCTACTAGTCTCACAGATTAATTGTTTATTTATTCCTTTGGCAGTTGGCTCTTGCCACTCCTGTAGGTGTTTACGTACCTGCAATAATAATACTAACTCCAACGCTCAAAAATAGCTTTCATACGCGGTTGGCTCGCCTATTCCTTTACTCCTCACTCTCAAGAGCACAGACGAACAAGCACTCGACCTCCTCGCACAGCCCGCCGCACAATCCATCTTCCTCACACGCACCACAGCGATTGGATCTACAGCAACGGACGAAACCGCCCCTCGGCGCAGTAACAACACATTCCCAGAACATCTCGGCCGAGCATACTGGTGGCCGAGTGAGGAAAGCACTACCACGCAGAGTAAGGAAGGTAGTGAACGTGTGCTCCAGGGTGAAATTGACATCAGTAGGAACTTGAAACCCGGCTTCGTCTTTCCGCGGCTCACAATTCGGGTGCGTCTCTTCTCTTTCTTCTCTCACTTTCTTTTCCCTTGGCAAGATGCATTCAACTGTTTAACTCACTCACGCATGCGTATTTTAACTTCGGCATCGCTTTGCGAATATGTTCGCGTGCGTTTGGATGTATTCAGTACCACATCTCCGTCTTCCCATTCTCGGCAGCAGGCTTTGTACCCTCCATTCCACAGGACCATCTTCTACTCTCGGAGAAAATTTCCATCGTCACGGAGAACGCACCAGGTGTCGTCCCGCGCTCGCATGCACCTCCGGGTTACGTCAAGCCCGCAGAAGGGAACTACAACAACTCGATGGGGTATCTGGAGAACGGAAATCAAAGGTTCTATCACCACCACGGACGTTAGGAGGCTCATTGCACGTGTAAACGTTACTTACTGTCTTTGCCTTTGTTGAGCGATTTGGTACGGCACGTTACGTCAGTGCTACTGCTTCATATGCGTATAACTACGGTTTGGTCACCAGAAGGCAAGGAATTTCTTGGAAACGCGGGAGATGCTCCGCGAAAAACTGCGGAGTGTGTTTCAAACCTTCAGTACGACTTCTTCATCCAGATCTCGTGAATTGCAGGAGTGAGATGAGGAAGTCCGAAGTTCGAAGTTCCTGTCACTCTTTTCTCTTATGCATGCCATACCGCCCGCATATGAGAGAAGTATTTCTGAATCACAAGCAACGATACGGATGGAACTTTAGTGATTCCATACCACCATTCTCGCCATTAAAGTGCATCAATAATTATGGCCACCTCAGCCACATGCAGGCACGTACGGAGCGTGAGCGGAGAAGAGATCATATGGCACATACTCCGTTGAGATTTGGATCCGACTCAACGTACATTACTTATAAATGCTTTTAAGCTACTGGGAAATGGCTAGAGATGTGCAAGAACATATGATGGACGGAGTGGAGTGCTAGGAAAAGCGTGATGATGTACGATATCTGTAATTTAAAAGGACTGCTATGCAAAGTGGACGTCTAGAAAAGGGATTGTGGTAAAATAAAAACCATTCGACACGATTGACTCTATACGTCTATGATCAAATTAGGCATGCGGAGGAACTAGTGAACGTTGGAAAATCTAAGTCCCGGTATGTCACGCAACATAAATAGGCGGAAAGGTAGGTAGTGCGGCGCATAAACTCAAGATGGGTTAGACATCGTGAGCGCCTCCATTGCCAGTCCAAGAGCATCTGTCTTGTCACGAGCCTGCGGCACAACGTCAGCGGCCTTGGAACCACCGAAGAATACCTCCGGACTCGTGCAGGCAGCCACAGCGCGACGCATGTGCGTTGTCAGGAAAGACAACCCCACCTGGTATGCAGCTGTACACGAAGTAAAATTCATGAGCACATGTATCGCGAATCAGAAAGTGCATCCACCATTCATCCAGCCGAAGCCTTCACGGGGGACCATCTTGAAATCAATACCCTGGTTCCCATACTCTGCGTCGACGAGGTGAGATAATTTGACCGCATCAAACTATGAAATGAGAATGTGAATTAGAAATGTTTATCCGAAACGCGGAACGATGATAATCTTGGACTAGGTTACTCACCTTCTCAGGTACGACGCCGTTGAAATCGACGAATGCAGTTGTCATCCTGTGTGTCGCAAAATGCACATGAGTTCACATGTCAATACAAAGTGTGCGTGCCTGAGAACGCGTACATGTACAAGAATCGATACGCCAATCGTTGTGCGTCTTCCAGATACCCATAGCGCTCCAATCCCACCCATGCCATGATCTGGTGAGGCGGCCTGAGAGAAAAAATGCGTAAATAACGGACCCAACGGCAAAGGCACTTCCAGCGGCTGCATATGACCACTCACCATGCGTAACTACAGCATCGCGCAAATACCGTGTCAATAACTATAAAGGAGTCAACCTTAGGACTGCACTCACGGGAAATCCCATTGACGATTCGGGCGGTCAATTGAAATCTTTCCCCTCGATTCTTCAGTTCCAGACACCAGACCTCCAATGACCTCAAACTTCTGCAAGGAATGGGCCCTGCCAAGCATCACAACATTCGTCAGCTTTAACTTCTGATGAGCAAACTCCAGGATTACGTACACAAGCTTCCAGCATTGCTCCTCATCAGCTGCGCCTGCCCAAAGCATCCAAAACGCCGTAACACTCTCGTATAGACTCTGCTTCTGCTGAACGGTGTCATAGTCAAAGTACAGGCTCTTGCTTTCGTTCCAGAGATACTTGTCTATAATTTCCTTCCGGAATTCAGCACGCTTGAACCACTCTTCACTCGTCTGAGGTTTAGTAGTTGACCTTCGTCTGCTTGGATCCTTGAATGCCTCAGGAGTTATAGGGAATGGAGAAAGCGCGAAATCTTCTTCAATGTCGAGCTCATCATCAAACACCTCGGCAATAGCAGTCCCAATGTCGATCTCGTACTTGTACAGTAACGCTTGCAAGTCAACCGTGCCAAGGTTTGCGCATCGCTTCTCCAATCGATACGTCGTGTCATGTCCACTTTCGCGTACCGCCCGGTCGTGCAAGAAATACTCATCAAGCTCAGGTTCTTGCAGCTCGCCATTGTTGTACTTTTCACTGAATTCCAGAACCGAAAGACCATGTTTTTGCGCGTAGGGTTCAAGGATATGAGTGAAATGGGTTGCTTCTGTCTCAGGAGGAATACCAAGACCGCCGGGGCGGAAGCGGGACAAACCAGTCTTTGGGTCAAGGCGCGGCTCCGCCATCCAGACTGTGTGGTATTCCTTGATGGCAGCCTGGATTGCGCGTTTCAGCCATGCACGGTTTGCTTCCATGTTGGAGCGATCAAGCTGGTTATAGATCTGAAGAGCCATATCGGTAAGGAACGGTGGCTGGGTGCGACAGAGGTAATAGCTTCGGCTGCCATTCAATATCTTTTCAAGAATCGATAAATTATCCCTTAATGTACGAAATCTGAAATCACCATACCTTGTTGTAGTGCTTGATTTCGAAGATGAAGTGATCTACCATACCCTTCGCCATTGCTACTTGACCATCAACGAGCAGTCCTAAGGAGATAAAGTATGAATCCCAGTTGTACAACTGCATATCCGTTAGCCATGACTAATTATAACATGAAATACCCGACTAACCTCGTTGAATCTGGCACCGGGAACAATGAATGGGATCCCCTTCAGAGTCAATCCGCCCTTCCCATCATCAACATGTTCCATGGCAAGGGCAAGAATGCCTGGTTTGTTATTCAAGCTCTTGACAAATGCTGGATCGTCAGGTTTGGGCGGGAGGACCTGGACGTCCAAATTCAAATGCGGCTTCTCCTGAGCTACTCTCCTATAGTATTCCGCCATTTCGGGTTCACCGTGAGGAATGTAGATGCGCGGGTTCATACGCCCTGTACGGTTCTTCGGATCAGCGCAGATAATCTCCAAGCCGTCTCCGTCAATTCTGCGAGTCAACGAATGCCAGAACGAGAACTTAATCATGCGAGAAAGTCGATCGACAGGGTTCTCCGTCAGCCGTGCCTCGTCGAGAACAATGCGCTTCCGATTATGGTCCCTCGCGAGTGCCAGTTCCTGCAAGAGATTTGACAGCATGTAGGTGCCCTGGAAGAGTACGGAAACGGTGAGAGTATGCAACACGTCACTACGACGTCGGAACCTACCCGAATGTCAAAGCTCTTGAAACCATTGCTCGTAGCAGTGCCGAGGGCCAGAATCTTTGGGCCTGCGTCGGTGATGCTGATCTGGAAGTCACCGTCTGTGTCCTCCTGCTCGAGAATAACGCGAATGGTCTCTTCGACGTCAATGAGGTAACGGCGTGGTGCAGAGGGCTTCTCGTCATGAGACAAGCGTCGAGAACGAGAATGCAACTCTTCTTGGAACGCTGGTCGTCGGACAGGATTGAAGCCATGAAGATATGACTAAAGGACACGTAGATTAGTTCGCCTGAAACGTACAGCGCGCATTCAGCCTCTGCGGCTGACGCCACGGCTGCCGACGACAGTAGCGTCCAGTGCGCGCGTTGCGGCCAGCTCTTACAGAGAAAGCAATTCCTCTGGATATATGCCACTCACATTCGAATAAGTACGCGCACGACTAAAGTACTCTCCGCTGCCATAGTACGTCGCGGCATCATCATTGACATAGCCAGCCTTGTCATCTATAAAGGTCACGCCAGGTGGATGCTGCAAGCTCGGTGCCATTGCTCGTGTATATCGTGTATAGCGAGTGGCTTATCGTGAAGCGACAAAGCAGATAAAAGAGTGAGTGATGGTGGAGGTAAAGAGGAAGAAAGAGTATGGGGTATGACTCCGTGTAGGGCGGGTAAATAATGGTAGCCAGTTGGCAAAGTAAAGCGATTAAATCTTTTTAGGTAATCAGGATCGCCGCTTTATGGGCGTCCACTCCAAAAAGGTCAGGGGCTGCTCTTCATCATCGGATACTCTATCTCCCCTCCATTGCATGAAATTTTAATGACCTCGATCGACGGCAGGATATACAAGGTCGGCTTCAGACAAAAGTGTGGGGTCTTACGAAACAAATAATTCCAGTATCCTTTGCTGCAAAGTAGTGATGGATCTGGTATTCGCGGGGCGTGCTAACCATATCGGTTTCATACAGATATTATTTCATACTTTGTTTTGATTGGAAACGCTGAATAAGTAAGGTCACGGAAAATCCTTGATGGCCCTGTGGAGATATGTCGTCAAAGGTCCATAGAGCAGTTACGACCTGTGGCTCGAGATGTGCTAGAACTTCTTCCATGCCTACACGGGCATCCGGCGTATGCGGATACTGGTACATCGTCCAATGGAAACTCACGCCACAGCGTTAAATGCGACCTCAATGCGGGATGTACTTATTCCACCATCTCTTCCTGCTCAGGACTTATCGACTACACCTTTTCTTTCACCAGCCGTCATCTCCACAACACCAGCATCGAAGTGGCTTTCCGCAAATGCAGCGCGACTAGCCTCTGCAGCTACGAATGCTTCGCATTCCTTCCTACTTTTCCCAATGTCTACTTTGTATAACAGAATGGTGCTGATCATGCCTCTATAAAAAATAGGTCGTTTAAATATGATTAATGGGTACTATTCAAAAACTTACAATGTGAACAAAAAGGCGAATGGCATGTTATTGTTCCCTCCTGCGTCATCGATAATTGCAGACGACACGAATGGACCTATGAAGGCCGACGTTTTTCCAATCTCGTAGGTCGCCCAAATCTCGTCAACACACACGTTCTTAACTATATTTGGAAACACTCACTATTGAGAATAACGCGAAAAACAAGAACCTAATGCGCCGCATCATGATCAGTTGATGTAAAGCATAGTAAAAAGGCAGTTCGCGTATTCGTACATTTGCGAAAGAGGCGAAACCTCGCTAATCATTGTCTGACTATATGCATACCACGGACACACCATTAGGCCGTAATACGCCTGATACAGCCTATAATCATCTCTCAGTCTTGAATCGAATTGCCTTCGAGTCTAGAAAAGTACCGCACCAGACTTCCCAAATGTGCTTGAATCCGAATTTATTGGTATGAACACCAATCAAGCCCCAGATAGTCAAAAGCTGTACAAACAGAGTGATGACCAACAAGACATGTTAAAATCGCAAAGCTGCTTACAATAATCCAAATAACATTGAAGCTCAGCATTGCTTTGGTGGAAATCTTGTACCTTTTCTGGACAATCCAGAACAGACTATCACGATGCTTAATTCATGAACAGTACTCGTGCAGAGCAGCGTTTCACTTACTAGATTCCAAGTCCCTGAGCTACTATTCCGACAATCAGGAGGAGTGTTAGTTGAAGTGTTGAGTAGGACACGACGCTGTGTTCGTGACCGAATTGATGAGTATCAAGAAAACGCGGTAAATTAATCAGTCTCACCTATTCTGCAGAGTAGCAATGACAGTACTTGAAAAAATCACATTAATTTGAAACATGGGAGTGGCGAACATCTATGACTTACACAGTTGTATTTAAGACGTCTCCCATGATAAAATAGAAGATAAGGTATAAAAACGTTTGCTTGAGCCTCATGCATTCTAGCAGTGCAACATAGGTCTGGCGGAACCCTACAGTAAGAAGGGACGTTCCCGGAGGCAGTGTGAGTCCTGGCCGTCGCTTTTCAATAAAGAACCATGGTAAAGCGCAGAGTGCTGTGGGAAACGTTAACCATTAGTATTCAATAACCTAGGTACAGGTGTCTGTTTCAATTGTACATACCCCAAACGCCACCAGCGAATGCGATGAGCACGCTGAATGCCTTCGTATTGTTCTCCGTGCTTTCATCGGACTTGACGGCTTTGAGAATGCCGACCATGATTGCCAGTATGATGACTTCGCCTGCAGAAGAAATAGCAAAGGCTACATTTGAAATACGGTTCCGTTGCAGTGATTCGAATTGTGCATGTTCCTCTTGTCTAAATAAAATTTTGTTAAAAATGTAGAAAACAGTCGATCGAATTTATACCAACGATTTATGAGAGGTCTGCACTTCCTTGGCAGAAGCTTTTACTTCAGGAAGATCTCGCGCAAGACCAGGAAAAGCGGCAGTCCAGAACGTCAATGCACCCTAGAAAGGGATAATTAGAGTTGAGTTGAGTTGAGTTTGTGCGTATATAAGTGGCATAGTTACCTGGTAAGCAATCACTTGGCCGCGAAAATTAGTACTCTGCTCGAAGTCAATAGTCATTGACGTACTCACGACCAAGTATATACAGTGCTACTCCAGCCTTCCATTTTGACGCATCTTCAACACCTAGCCAAGCGAAGGACACTGCAACCGCGAGCACGGTGAAGAAGATTGTAATATTCGGTCTATACTAGTTTAGTGTACGACCAAGCAGATGGAACAAGCGACTCTGACCGCCATGATCCATAGTCAGCCCAAGCTCCGATTATCAAGAACAATACAGCTTGGATGGCGAAACTAGTTCCGTTCGTGATAAGTACAATCGAGTTCACTGTGAATATAAATTATTAGCGCAAAGATCAGAGAAATGCTGAGTAAATTACCATCCCGAGCTTTGCCCATAAATGGTAGCACACAACCGGTATCACTACCACAGGGCGCAGAAAACGGTGCCTGAGCAGGATCGTATCCTGCTAGGAACAGCAGATTTTGGAATTGGGAAGGGCCAAAATTGAACCCGGCGAGTCCGTTATTGCCCTTGCATACCGAACAAGAGAAGGAGGAACATACTTCTGTATCAAAAAAACAGTATGATTATTAGCAGCACTGGACTTACGATATAATACAAATAGAAAGCCCAGAGCTCCCAGCGTGTTGTTCTCCATTCGCTCAAGTTTGTTTCTGTAGAACGAATACTCGCAGACTTTGCATCGTCATCGGCAAGCTTGGCCCTTGGTTTGACTTCGTTATTCTCGGGCTCTAGAGATACCATAGTGATTGTGGTTGTAAAGAGGAGAGATAAGCATTATGAAATTGCGCATAGATAAAAAAATAAAGCCTCTCCAGCTCCTTGAATGACGGAGGCTTTTAGATGACTGCACAAAGTTCGCAATCATGATGTCGTCCCGAAATGGATACAATCTGACACATGGCTACATATTTTTGGGCGCGGCGCAGAGATAACCAATCCTGTTCAGTCTTTACTCGTTTACCGTTATACATAGAATTGCAATACAGTTGAAAATACCTTATTGCATCACATTATAATGCATAAATTGAATATTGCATAGCTTTCTACCTAATCCCAGCTCGGGATAAGGGAATTATGCACAAAAATAGTCTATTGCATATTGCATCAAGATTTGTGAGAAAATTATGCAAAATTCTGAGCATTTTGGGAAATTAGACTGCTTACTGTTGTGATTTTTGTACCCAGAAGCCTCACATATTGTTCTCTGACATACTTCAATACAAAAAGAATGTTTCTGATTGACATTTCATTACTTACAATGTCTTTGATGCTGCCACAAGACCAAGATAGGGCAGCAAAGATCTCTTCATGATATGTGGGGGAAAGTTATTTACATTGACTAGCTTTTTCTATCTTTTTGTTTCTACAGATTCTGACTGTATTTCCTTGTATTACAAACTATTCCTTGAGTTTTACAGTGATATACACATTTACTATACTTGTCATTGTCTTGGTTGTCTTTCTTGATGCTCTAAATATGTGCTTATTTTCTTGTCATAGTGTATATGTCTTCAAATAAATTGAAAAGTAATATCGAATGTTGGGTTCCTAATTAAGTAATGTTTTCGCACGGTTACCATAATGCATATTGCTCATATTGCATAGGTCTGAGGCTTCTCCCGACGTTATGCAATAAGATATTTTCAACTGTAATCGACGAACCTCGTTTTGTAGCAGTGAATACAAAGTATGTGCAATTAAACGAACAAGATCGACGGCGCGCTCAATTGCATTTTTGCTGTAATAACTTTCTCAATATATAGATGTAAAATTAAAATACGCCAATTGTATCATTATGTAATTAGCAATTTCCTAATGGGTGATCTCGGATTTGCTTTCCACTTCCAACGACGTGTTGACTGTGTTCATCCTCATTCATTATACAGGCCACCGCTGGTAGGCCTCCAGCGACAAATGTACCGCGCCCTGCCTCTCACTAGGCGCGGGACCCGCCATGCCGCTGCCTCGCTCAGAACCAAGCAGCAACGAAGTGTCCGTGTGAGTGTCTCGTTTCATCGCATCTTCTTCCTGTCTATCGACTTACCTCCAAGAAATTTCATGGTGCTTATAGCTGTTCTCAAAATCCCCGAAAGTTGCAGATGCATCTTCTAGTTCTTCGGCGTCGCCACCCAAACCAAAGAAACGCGGGTTTTTCAGGACGGTTGCTCTGTACTCCACAGGCTTCGTGCTCGTATTCTACGCAGCTAGTCCTGTCATTGCGGCGAACAATGAGAGGTACAATGTCTTCTTCTCCGAAAGTGTACCATTTGGAGAGAGAATACTTTCGGCTATGGAAGACCGAGGTATAGACGAGAAACTGCGTTTCAAACTACTCAAGACTGGAAGAGATAAAATGCAAAAGGTTTTTGATGACGTCTCCCGACGTGCTGGAAGCGGACCTCCCGCTGCCGAGAAGACAGAACAAATAAAAGGGGCTGTTGTTGACAAGGTTTCGTCCGTCTCCAAATCGCAGAATATGGAGAAGGCGAAACAGAAAGTTCGGGATGCGAAAGAACATGCTCAACATGTTGCGGAAGAGCTGAAGACGAGGACGGAGGAGAGTGTGTCGAAAGTCACGCAGAAGGTGTCGGAAGCGGTCGTGCCTGTTGGAAAAAAGCCTACAAGTACATCTGCTCGTCCCGCTTCGTTCTCTGAAGGCATCGAGGATCTTGTCCGTCGTGCCGAAGGTGCATTAGCTGGTAAATATGTAGACGGTCTTCCTGATGCTACAACTACCCCGGAACAGCCTGCTGGTTCCCCTCCAGATGTCCTGCAAGGTACTCCGAAGGATGTTTCGTCGGATAATGGCAAAATTATATATTCTGACCTTCCCATCGGATTTGAACCGCCTCCTGGATATTCTCGCCCGAAGCCTCTTTCTCCATCCTCGTCAAAATCTGAAGACGCGTCGAAGAAGGAAGAAGGCTTCCCTCTTGTCGCTCCGGCAGTGGCAGACATTGGCTCCTCCGAACCCGTAATTTCCGAGTTGGCGACTACTATCGACTCCTTAGCCGCTTTCGTCAAGGGGAACCCTAACGCAGCTTCTTCCGCGAAAGGTATCTTGGACACGGCGAAAGATGATTTGCAACAGCTCGCGGGACGAATTGAAGGAGTTCGCTCGGAAGAGCGTAGAAAACTTGAGGCTCAACTGGACGAACAAGCACGCGAATACAGCTTGAAGCTGCTTGAATTGGAGATGACCGCGCAGGATAAATTGGATGCTCAGGAGATCGAGTTCAAGGCATTCTACGAGGACGAGCGTAAGAAGCTGACTCGAGTGTACCGCGAGAAGCTGGAACACGAATTACGAACGCAAAGTGAGATCATCAACGAAAGGTACTTTCATCACTGTTCTTTCCAGTTCTTGCGCCAACTCATCCATGATCCGTGATAGGCTAAAAGCGGAAGTTATTGCTCAAGGTATCGAGATGCAACGCCGCTGGATCCGCGAGATCAAGGTTCGCGTGGAGCAGGAACGTGGCGGACGTCTCGCGAAGCTTGATGAACTTGCTACCAATCTCAAGCAATTGGAGCGAATAACACTGGACAATGCCGAATATCTCAATGAGAATTTGCGTTTACATGCGACCTGGGCTGCATTGCGTGCACTCGCAGCAGCTTCCGCTGACACGCCTGTGCGGCGGCCGTTCCGTGATGAGCTGCGTGCACTTCGTCATTCGTCAGGAGCGAAGGAAGATGAACTTGTTAGTAAAGTGCTCGACTCACTTGAGAAGACAGACGTTCCCGACGTTGGTGTCGAGCCTCTCGCAGACCTTACGACGTGGTTCACCACCAGCGTAGCTCCGCAAGTTCGACGAGTCGCTCTCGTGCCCGAGCATGATGCAGGCGTCCTATCATATCTTGCCTCGAACCTCATCTCGAGCTTCCGATTTGCTAGACACGGCCCTGTGGAAGGCAATGACGTGCTGAGCGTTCTCGCCAGAGCGGAACACTACATAAATGAGAAGGACTTGGACAGTGCGGCTCGTGAACTCAATCAACTAAAGGGAGCCCCGAAGGTTTTGCTTAGCGACTGGCTTGATGCAACACGCAAAAGATTAGAAGTGCTGCAGGCGTTAGAGGTTTGTGATCTCCCGAACTCCAAGAGATAATATCATTGTAGCTGATGATCAATTCGCCTTCACAGGTCGTGCAAACTCAAACCACATTAGCATCACTTCGTGTAGTATAGTATTTCTACTACTAATCCTGCAATCCAATTAAGATGGACTAGCATCTGCTTGCACGTAAGATAAATAAAATAAGTGAGATACCACAATGCCCGTATGTCGTAGACTATATGGGAAAAGTAACTAGAAACTATCCGAGCTATTCTCAGATGGAGCAACCGCGCCTCCCTCTCTAGGTTCCAAAGCACACCTACAAATGACCTGAGCTCGTCGAACAACAGTCTGGATCATATCTGATTTCCCATCAGAACCTGGAGCACCCTTGCTGACCTTGACTAAACCAGGGAAAACAGTTGCTCCCACAATATCCTGAAGACCACTTTCGCTCTTCAGACAGCGCTTAATGAGTTCGACCTGTCGCGGGTATAATATGCTACCGAGTTCAGGTACGAAGGCGCGGTAGAACGTATCAGCGCCGACTGACCCGGCGCCTGAACCATGTAACATGCGAGAGAAGTTGACAGCAGACTCGAGGAGGGATGCAACAGATGGATCGAGCTCCCCTGTCTCCTTTATAGTGAAAAGATCGGTCAACGCGGGCATCGTCTCCGCGAGTAACTGTCCAGACATCGCAGGTGAACATGCCTCCACAGCAGCAGAGAACGTCTGTCGTCGCCAAACACTCGCAACCGTCGGATCTCGTGCGAATAGGTGTTCGTGGATACGAGTGAGCTGAACGTTCGCTTCGTGTGAGTTGGTCACGATGAGACAGTTGACAACAGCTTCTGAAATTGTCTCTGCCATTGCGTGCCTTAGGAGACTTTGCAGGAGCATTGGAGGGGGCTCGCAGGGATCTGGTTCATGACCTCCGAGGATGTCCAGGAGTATAGTGTCTCGCAAGCCGCTTAGGGGTATTGGAGGTGAACGGATGACATCTGCTGCCCAGCGGTTGATGAGTTTCTCGAGTTTGGAAGCAGTGTTCTGGAATTTTTTAAGAAAAGAAAAGAAGTCAGAAAATCAATTCCACATGAGGCATGCTTTCTTGGATGGAAAAGGCACATACTTTTATAGACCAATCGTCAACGGAAGTTCCTCCTTGGTTGTTTGCGATTCTCGCGGGGGTATGGTGGTCTTCTCTGCCTTCAAGAGTCGCTATTCGAGATTGTAGCTGGGCGACCTGTTTTTCCTGCTCTTGTAGCTGTATCCGTTGCTGTTCGACCTTCTCGTGGGCTATACGCTATAAACGAGAATAAGAAACGGTTTTTTCTGACCGCGAGGTGGAAAAAGAGTACATACGAAGTTCGTGAGCACATAACGATGCTGATCACCACTAACGAAGTCTCCCTGCTGCGGTTGCACTTGGTACGCCATCTTGCGTCAAAAAAAGAATATTTAAAAAGACAGTTATGGTACAAATGAGGTGGTTGTGACGCTGTGGTAAATGAGAGATTTAGGTGTCATGTCTTTATAGCGTCAAATTTGACACTGCCCTGGGCGCGACGGGCAAGGCATCGGGTCGCTCGCGTACGCCTTGGATCAACGTTCATCTGCGAGAGGCTGTGTCTTTAGCTGATCTTGATCGCCGCAGACGCATCCGAGTTGACCACCCTTTCTAGTCGCTACCATTGAAATACTTCACAATATACGTATTCTAATTGCATATCGAACATGCAGAGCTGATCGCAAAAGTGCCACGTGTGAATGGTCATGCATTAATACATCATCAACAGCATAGTGTACATAAGAAGGTCGTCTACTTAAGTGCCTTTTTCAAAGTCTAAAGACGAATCTCTGATTATCAGCCTTCTGAGGCTAGTGGAAAAGATGGGCACGTTCTTACCTCTTCCATCACATCAATATCACTTGTATCCACTCGAGTGATCTGCCTTCCGAGTGCTTCTTCAATCATGTGCATATCTTCCCAAGTCTTCTTGTTGTGCACGAAATTGATCGATACTCCTTTCCGTCCAAATCGGCCCGTCCGTCCTAATTACCAAGCTTTAAGCATGCGACATGGCAAAAGAAAAGTAATTTACACATACCAATACGATGTAAATACGTCTCAACGTCAGGCGTTTCGAATCGATGATCATAAGTTGCGCTCTCCGACTTATCGGACATCATCGGCAAATCGTAATTCACCACAACGTTCACCTGGAGAATGTCGATTCCCCGAGCAATCACGTTCGTCGTGATCAACACCTTTTCGTGCCCTTCACGGAACCGGTCAATGATTTCGTCGCGCTGAGAGGCATCCTTTGCTCCGTGTAATGATGCGACCTTATGCCCTTCTGCTGTCATGCGTGTTGCGATGCGATCAGCCGTGCTACGATGCTATAGTACGCCGTTAGTTGATGGAAATGTGATCACAATGGAAGAGAAGGTACCAACTTTTGTGAAGATGATACTCTGCCCAACGGTAAGCAGGTTGTAAATTTGTACGAGAATTTCATATTTTGATTCTTCATCCTTGCAATCCATATAGAACTGCTTGATGCCCTCTACAGATAGTTCCTCCTTCTTAAGCTCGATCTTGTTCGCGTTAGACGCGAATTTATTCGCAAAGTTTCGTACTCGGTCTGGGAACGTTGCTGAGAAGAGGACGATTTGAGCTGTTCGTTCCCTCGACAGGAAGCTACTCAGCAGAAATCATCAAGCAGTGAAAGTCTTGATACAGAGTGGAACCTACTTCTTGATCTTCAGGCACTGTTCGCTCAGGTTCTCTTGATCCAGCATGTTATCCGCTTCATCCAGGACAAGCACTTTCACTGCCCTTGGATCGATGATCCGGCGCTTCAAGTAGTCGGACATGGTTCCTGGTGTCCCAACCACGATATGTGCAGTGAGAGGTTCCGTAACACGGGTCTCGGTTTTGATCGCATAATCAGTCTTCACTGGTGTATATTTGCCCATGGCATTCACAACCGCCATTATTTGTCGTGCAAGTTCCCGTGTTGGTGCAACACATAAAGCCTAATAGACGTCTCAGTTGATTCTGGCATTAATGCGCATAAGACATACCTGAGGCTTCGGTATGCTGAAATCCACCCTACTCAGCATGGTGAGCGTAAATGCAGCCGTCTTCCCTGTCCCTGACTGCGATTGGCCGATCAGGTTCTGCGGGCTTGTTTGAATGCCTATCAGTCGAGTCTAGCAACCAATTTTGAAGAACACTAACGGGTCTCTAAGGAGTAGAGGAAGTGCTCGTTCTTGGATTTTTGAAGGTTTTGAGAAATTCATGTCAAAAACTCCTTTCAAGAGATCGGGAGATCTATACATCTTCAATCAGTGCTGTATATTTGAGGTGAATGTTGCAATATACAATCCGAGTTCTTCAAAACTCTTCACACTGAACAAAGGCGAATTCGGGTCCATTTGTTGGTCAGCCAACGTGACCTTAACACAAACATGTCAAAGATATCCAAAATCCCGACTTCTACTGATGTTCTGACCTGGACATCGAAAGAGGATTTAATTAGATCCGTTCCTATTGAGTAAAACAGTTCAGTCTAAGTGCAATATGAGAGTAACATGGCTCGTACCAGGATCATTTTCCTTGGGAGCCTCAGATGCTGTTGCGGGGGTCGCGGGCTTGGCTTTAAACGTACAATGATCAGACATTTCCCTCGACTGGGTACGATTAAACAAAGTATACATACGTGGAACCGAAGATATAAATCCATCTGCATCCTTCTCCATGGTGTGCGTTGTTGTCAGGAGGATGGTGAACGATAGAGAGCAAGGTCAAAGTGTATGCTTCCTCACCTCAGCTTCAACAACAGGGACGCGTTATTTTTTGACGCGTCGTTCCTCATTCGGAGTACGTGTCTCACGCCGATCGACGCATTTGACCAACGAGCCTTTTCAATTTCATTCTCCATCCATTTCTTCTTCCCAATATCCAAAGCTACTGATGTAATACTAGGGCTAGGTTTCTTCTGAGACATTCAGTTTTCGATTATTAGAGAGATAAGAATGTTGTCTAGTCCATGCTGGTCGCCTGACTCCTTGGTTTACGATTGGCCGCCCGAAAGTTAGATGAACAAATTCCAGACGTCATGGTGGGTCGCATGTCGGGTTCAGAGGTTATAACGACCTCCGCATCAGTGAGACTTATTGAGGGGACCCTTTTCTACGTCCATCTGACGACCTCCTTGAACCACTTTCTGGTGAAATGGATACTGAAACAAAACAGGCCGCTTACCACACCGCACCATTTGATGCGGCGGGGACAGCCATGATGAGCTTCAAGCCCATTAACGCTATCCACCAGCACCTTTGTGCGTTTCATGTCTACGCGTAAGTGCATTTAATATACCCTCTTGCCCTAGTCGTCTCTGAGCTGATCTATCTGTAGACATGATCGAACTCGTCATGTTGAAGCACATCATTACTGTCCGTAAAGCCCTCTACTGATTACCTACTTGAGTGATGACCATGCAGAAGGCAAACACCTGACCCCTGAATTCCATCAATGCATCATATACGACTCGGATGATCCAAATGCGAAACTTATTGGGATCGAGTATATCGTGTCTGAAAAGGTAGTTTGGATTCCGTAGTCAGTTGCCATTGTTTAACCGTTTTCAAAGATTTTTGAATCGCTCCCCCAAGAAGAAAAGAAGTATTGGCATTCACACAAGTACGAAGTGAGCATGGAAGTCTCTCGTTTGTAGCAGTTATTCACGAAGATATCTGTTCAGATTGAAAGCGGCTTGCTACAATTACAGGTGCGTAGTCGAGGATTGTACAATTCTAGAGCATCACTTCGACTAATGCGTGTTGTCAAGGCTAAAGACCTCGTACCTGGTTGGCATCAAATCTACCCGTGCCTATCGATAACCCGTCTGACTGCGTAGCTCGTTTCATAGGCACTATCGTGGACCTTGCGGAACAGCCTGCAATGCTAGAGCTTCACAAAACTTACGGAAAGACGATTCACACGTGGGCAATTGACAAACACCCGGACCTTCCGCTGGGTCCCCCAAATTTAATGATGTCGTAAGTGTGTTTGTGCATGCTCCCGCCAAGCTCCATTCACCAATATTGGCATAGATATACCGATGACGGTCAACTGGATCCATCCTTGGTGAAGGACAGAGACGAGCGGTGTGGAATGTCAACAGAGGGGAAGAAACAATTACGGAAGGAGTACCTCCCGCCATATGAGACATCAAAGGACGCAGATTCTTGGGAGACTACTGGAAAGAGTATTGTGCTTGAGCCTATCGAGCAAGAAGTCAAGCGCGCATAGTCAAGCACGTAGACTGACTTTGTAGCGCTGTAGGTTTACATTGTATAGTAGTAATTCTTTTCTCGTATGAAAACCAGACACATGTTGTATAATCCCAACCCACATACCGGTATTTCCGACCTCGTGTAAAATGTTTGTGTCTGTATTTCTTTCCGTACTAGCGTTATTTCCCTTGTACTGTAATTGTACTCCAAATCCGCTAGAGAGAAGTGATCCAATAGCCAACACGGTGATTCTTTTGGCCCAAAGGATGAAATTAAATAGTCGTACTTTGTTCGGGAGGATCGGGAATCCACGATAACTTAACAAATTTTATCCACCCACTGTATCACAAGGCTTCCTTAGGCCCTGCTCGGTTGCACTGGTCGCGCGACCAGTGCCTGCCAAATTCGCAACCACCGGTTACACAACCAGTGGTTGCAAACCATCAACCATCAGACGTGCTCGGCTGCACGTCTGGTTTCATAGTTGTGTGACACTACTCGTCCCTTACTACACCTGTTACACTATGCCCTCTACATTTCCTTGTTACTACTTCTCTCTTGTATTGTATTCCCCACTTGTATTCTACTGGCAATTTAATAATCCAAGCTTTGAATGTCCAAACCAACTATAATAATATAATATATCTGTCATATATGCCTAATTATATGTGCATTTATGCACCTAAAGTCCTAACTTATGTTTCTATTTATTTATTTGTGTCTCAATTATATCTACACTGTGTAGTACTTATGTTAGGACACATAATTATATACTAATTTGAAAGGATAAATGATGAAAGATGAAGGGAAAGTAATGAGTCTATACACTATACTACTTGTGACCAAAGTGACAAGGTTGGCACTGGTGGTTGACGGTTGTACCGGAAATTGCCGGCCATCAACCACCAACCTGCGGTTGCGCGACCAGTGCAACCGAGCAGGGCCTTATCTTTCAGGTTTCAACCTTTCGTTAATTGTTATATGCGAGCTAAAATGCTACAATTTACATGATATCACTACATGATATCATTTATTGCAGAGGGACTACTGTAAGAGGACCTTTCAATGATGAAGTTGACACGGATTCGGAGCCGTCGAGTCTGCTGAGGGGCCACATTACTCAAATTTACTGAAAGCGAAGTCATGTGAAGTCACATGCTGGCACGTGCAAGTGCTAAAATTACCTTTCTGGCGCGTTTGTACGGTACTTAGCACTATATTTGTACGACCATGTCTGGTCAACCACTCCAGCTGATTGATTCATCCCCCCTGAAGCAGATGCTCTCCATCGGCAAGACTCGGAAGGTGTTATGACTCCGATAGTCGTGGATTCTCTGAAACACAAGAGTGATGTGACGGTAGTTTTGTTCTCGCTTCTTGAGCCATTTAGATGAATACCTCATTATTCTACTCAATGTTGGCGGAATATCATTCGTTCTGTTGGGCGGCCAGTTTGACTTTCGCAGAGTTGCTCTTTCCCATGAGGAAGGTTACAGGCTTCCTTGTACGAAGTATCTCGACGCGCGAACATCGCACTCGGGAACTGAACATAAACGTATATAAGAGGTCCACGTCGTTTAGCTATTCTGCAGAAACCTCGTCGTCCAAGTCTACAATTTTCCTTTGAAATGCACTCTAGAGCTGAATACTCTGAACACCACGCTGGTCAGTCGGCCATGTCAGGCTACAAGCCTATCAGTGGCATACACCAGCATCTTTGCGCGTTTCATGTCTATGCGTATGCGTATGTCTCTTCATCGCTGGCTTATCTTGCTGAAATGTTGCCTTGAAGACACGACCGCACGCGGCCTGTCGAAGCACATCATTTCTGTAAGTTGTGTTCAGTATAATAAATGCGTGAGGCTAACTTCCCCGCTCAGGCAAGCACCTAACCCCGGACATGCATCAATGCATAGTCTACGATTCGAATGACCAGAACGCAAGGCTCATTGGTATTGAGTACCTCATTACTGAGAAGGTAATTTGCTCCTTATACACTCGTACTTCCTCTTGCTTACTTGGCGGCATAAAAAAGGTATTCAACACGCTCCCTCAAGAAGAGAAGAGGTATTGGCATTCTCACAAGTACGAGGTATAATGTTACCCTCCTGTTTCGGTTGAGCTGCTAGATAACATGTTAATTGATTAGATCGAGAGTGGAATGTTGCAACTGATGGTAAGCTACATATTCCAGGAATGATTGGAAACCCGTTTGTCGCTGACCAAGCATACACGCAGCGTAACGACTTGCCTCCCGGTAAGAGTTTTATGCATCTAATCTATTGCAAGCCTAACTGAGTCTTGTAAACAGGCCCTGTCAATGACAAAGCAGAACAGTCAACAATGCTTGCACTTCACACGACATATGGAAAGACAATACACACGTGGGCCATAGACATCTATCCGGACTTGCCATTGGGCGCTCCGCAATTGATGATGTCGTATGTTTCTCTCCGAGTTTTTCCATTCTCGTTAAACTTTCCTCATTCTTCATCATCGATAGATATACAGGCGATGGACAGCTTGATCCGAAATGGCTCAAGGCTAGGGATGATAAGTACGGCATGCCGACAGAAGAAAAGAGGAAGCTCCGTAAAGGCTACTTGCCGCCATACGAGAAGGCACAAGGCTCTGATGCCTGGGAGACTACAGGAAAGGGCGTTATCTTTGACCCCGTTGAACAGACCGTCAAGTTCTGAACGGTGGATCGGAGTAATAATCGTCAAGGGATAGGATGACATGGAATATGGTAAATGGAAGGCTTAACAATATCAAATTTGTCTGTAGGAATCAACCCCCACTCAAACTTGTCAATAAAGATTCACGTAGAGCGTATGTCAGTATGCTAGCAATACACGATGATTGAAAGTAACAGGACTGAGATTGGAGTTTCATAATATCTGTTGTCAAGCACGAAGTCATTATATCCATCAATCAAAATAAAAATTTCATTGGTTGCTGCCGCTGAGATGAACATTGGAGTTCCTCTATCTATTATAGTTTATGTATCCCCTACGTGTGCCTCCCTGATGCAATGAGTGCTTCAATCTCGGGCTTAATGGACGCAAGGAAGTCTTTCGTTGTATGTGCAGGCTTCCAACCGAGCGCGAGAGAGCGATTGGGAACACAACGAGAGTTCGATCCCAGAAAAAGCGACTAAAAGAGAATTAAAACCAGTTCATTAATATGCCACAGTAAACATGATAGGTAACCATGGTATGAAATGGAATGACTTACGCCACCGAAATATTTGTCAATTTCTTCCTTAGTGAACGTCGTCGGCTCAGGGCTCTTGCCTCGTCCAAGTTCAACAAGAGCTTGGGCGATTGCCTTACCAACTTCGTATAAGTCGTGCTCGCCAGAAGAACCGAAGTAGAAACCCTCACGTCCGTGAGGGACACTGTTCACGTCCGCACGGATCTTATCGAACAGGGCAATGTACAAGTCGGCAACTAATTTGAGGATAGCAGAATATCCGTTACTTCCATGCACATAATGACGATTTGAAGCAATTGACGAACCATCATCAACGTGTACGTTTGGCCACTTATTCTTGCCCAGACCGACCATACCTCCCTGTCCGCGATCGATACTTGCGCGAATCAGCAAAGGTACCTGGATGGAGTGCGGGTTCTGAATACCCAATTCCGTAAATCCGTTCCTTGCTATGCCGTAGATTGTGGACGGGAGGATGATATAAGTCCTGACATAACCTAATAAAATGAAATGAAATCACAGATTAAATGAGACAATCACACTTTATGAGCTGCTCTTACTGACCTGCTTGGTCGGCCGAGGCAACTTCTATGTCGACACCCCGGCCAGATTGTGTCTTTGAATCGAGGGACTCAATATCTTCAACCTTAGAATCATCGTATATCTTCTCAGACGCATACATTCCGACCGCATTATCAGCAATTACACCAGTCCCCGACTATAATGGAACAATCAATGAGAGACGGAATTAACGACATAACCAGAGAATGGAATTGAGCGTACAGTATGAATATAAATTGGTACTTTCCCATTCTTCTCATAATACTTCTTCATGCCACGGAAAATAGCTTTCGCAGCTTTGAGATCGTCTTTGTCCGCCTAGGAAGTAAAAGTTAAGCTATTACGCTTTCCAGACTGACGAGACAAAGTACACGTACCGTGGTAATGACATAGTCGGTATCTTTAGCAAGTATTTCAATCTTGTCTGTATCCGAGTGACTTCCAACAATTGCTTCGACGCCAAACTTCTCTTTGAGGAGTTTCGCCTTTGCGGGATCACGGGTGAGCACTTTTAAATTGAAATTCTTCGCGTCCTTGTGGTTGACAAGGCGCCAAAGGACAGATCCACCAATATATCCTATTAAAACCTTAGTACCCGACAAGTTCACTATGAAAGCTAAAAGATACAAACCTGTCGCACCGGTGAGGAAAATTGTCTGCTTTCCGGACATCGTAGTACAATGTTAGAGACTTTGCAAGAGCAATGTGTGGTTGTGGAGTTCAGAACATCCCATTTATCCCGGTTATAACTGAGAGAAAGAGCTTAGAGACCGAGAATAGCTTAGAAATCCGCTTTTGCTTGATAATGTGTTGTGTCCGCTTGATACCGTTGATTTATCACCCGTATGCGGTATTCCTTCGAATTGGAAAAAAAATCTGAAATTCTTGCGCCCAGAAGTTAGCTCTTCCAAAAAACATACGTTTGATAACAGAAACTCAGAGAAATAGCGGGGATTAGATAAATTGTTAAGCGTCAGGGGAACGAGACATTGACTGGAAGCTCTGGATCCTTTTGTATTGGAACTAGACATAGAATCCAAGCTTATGCAACCGATTGAGTGAACACTGTATATGGTCAGCACAAACATATGCCATTTAAACGGAATGTTCCGGCTTTAAGACACCCTGTGATGGCCAGAAGGAAAGAGTTGGGGACACGCGATAGGCTTCCAGCGGAGTGAAAAGAGAAGTTCTCTCATCCACGGTCACCGTGAAACACCGTTATTGCTACTCGTTCAACTGTTTCATTCCTATCTCAGATAAAAGCCTGCCCGGTGTCAAATTCCTGCTCGGTGGGAAGAATCGTCATAAATGCTGCATCCGTCCTTATAAAGGCTTAGTTCTCAGTGAAAATGTACACAAAGAACGGGATGAGCACGGGGAAGCAACGGGCTTCGTGTGCTACATCGGAAGTACTATTGACGCCATAAACGATGTCAAATTGGGTATATTACCGGCATCGGCCCCTAAAAAGAAATGTCGGAGCTGCTCAGTGGTGGTAAGAGGAAGAGACTTGCTTGCACACGAGCCATTCAATCAACGGAACGTTCGTACCCGGTTCTGCTAATTGGAAACACTTGAACGGACGTCAGGCCTAGTAGTATATCATATGCCTCAATGCAGAATTATTCTGGATGGCAGCCGGTCTGGCGCCGAAATTGACAAAGCATCGCTAGCATCGCCATCAGAATAGCGCCGGCGTCCCTTCAAGACGAGTCATATTTCGTCCTGATGGGCCAGTGATGGCGCAAAACCAACAGGAAGGAACACCAATGCTCAACCCGAATTTCGTGTTTCCAATTCGCGATCTCGAGAGTGCTCGTGTCAAGTTGACACCATTCGACGTGCGTATCTCTTCGTTTCAATCGGCAGTGGTTATTAACTATGGACCATGTTGGGCGTTTTTGGGCTTCTTCGTTTCAACGGACCGCACGATCTGTAGCCTCTTTTGCACGGGGAGGAATATTTCCAGAAAAGCAAAGAAGCCCCAGAATTGTACAAATATTACACATCCGGTCCGTTCAACTCAAAAGAGGACTTCTTCGACGAATATGTCGAGGAAAGGATTCGGAAAGATCCAAATGCAATCCTATTCGCCATCTTGGATAAAACCAGTAAACGATTCGTTTCACGTGTCGAAGAACGACAAGATCAACTAATCTCGTTGCCAGAGGACACTCCACGTCTCGCAGGGACTATCGGTCTCTTGAACACCAAAGTAGTGAATCAGAGCACAGAGATGGGATTCGTTGTCGTCTTCCCCGAGTTCCAGAAAACGCACGTAACATCCAACGCGATCGGCCTCCTCCTACACTATTGCCTCGAACTTCCTGCCGAACATGCCAAAGGCGAACTCAAGTACGATCCAGGTCTCGGATTGCGACGCGTGCAATGGCAAGCACATGGGGAGAACGCTCAGTCCGTTCGTTCTGCGGAGCGCATGAGATTCCGAAAGGAGGGTTTGATTCGCTGGGACAGACCGATGAGAGAAGGGAAGATCGGCATGCACGTATCTCCGGAGCGTGCCGCCCTTCGCGCGGGCGTTGGAATACATTCCTGGATGTTATCGTTGTGCTGGGATGATTGGGAGCTTGATGCGGCTCGCGCGGCCGTGCAGCAACAGATGGATCGTAAATAAGCTGCCTTGTATTGTCGCTGGGAAAGACAGCAATTTTATTTTCAAATTCAGGACAAATCGTGGTCATGTGATGATGATAAGGAACAGCGATATTTCTGGGCACTAGTAGTATTACTGAAGGTGGAAGACCTTGTCAACTGGGTCTCTGTGACAAAATCTTGTGAATTCTTAAGATTTGTGAAAGATCCAATGAAGATCTGGATACGGTATTTGCCTTCAAACCTTCTGAGTGGAGCGTCTCAAATTCTGAATGGTGGACCCGAGATTCATTATAGAATAGGACAATATTAATGACACAATATAGGATAGTATAGATGAAAGGATGAATGCTACCAAATTCGTCTGCAGAGATTGATTCCCACTCAAACCTGTTGATCTTGGCTTCAGTGTGTATGACAGAACGCCAGAATTGGACACTGGAAAAGAAAACATTATAGGACCGAGATTTCCATTTTATCTTTCAAGAAGAATAAAACAGCAGAGCTGAGTCTGCACAGCACATGTAAAGTCTTGTTCTCCTAAATATTCCCCGCTGCTGCCATGAGTGCTTCAATCAATTTCTTGTTTTCTTCCTGTGTGTGCCTACCTGATGCGATAAGCTCCAAAATTTCTGGTTTAACCGATGCGAGTAAGTCCTTTGTTGTATGCACGGGCTTCCAACCGAGCGCGAGAGAGCGGTTGGGAACGCAACGTGAGTTCGAACCTAGGTAAGGTGACTAAAGATGAAATTAAAATTGTACATGGGATTATGTTAAACGAGATGTGCGACGCATTATAGAAATAAATGACGCACACCACCAAAATATTTATCAATTTCTTCCTTAGTAAACGTTGCCGGTTCAGCGCTCTTGCCTTGTCCAAGTTCAACAAGTGCCTGCGCGATTGCCTTACCAACTTCGTACAGGTCGTGCTCGCCTGAAGCACCGAAGTAGTAGCCTTCGCGTCCGTGAGGGACACTGTTTACATCTGCACGGATCTTATCGAATAGAACAATGTACAAGTCGGCAACTAATTGGAAGTAGCAAATCATTCGTTACTTCTATTTCATATAGTTAATTGGGATTTAATCGAGACGACTAACCACCATCAATGTGTACGTTTGGCCATTTATTCTTGCCCAGACCAACCATTCCTCCCTGTCCGCGATCGATACTTGCGCGAATTAACATGGGGACTTGCTGAGAGTGCGGGTTCTGAATACCCGCTTCCGTAAATCCGTTCTTCGCTATGCCGTAGATTGTAGACGGGAGAATGATGTAAGTCCTGACATATCCTAACAAAAATAAAGATGAAGTCAATGGTGAAATGGGGCAATCATAGTTTTTATGAACCGCTCTAACTAACCCGCTCTGTCAGCTGAAACCACTTCTATATCGATCTCACGATGCATCTGTGTCTTCGGATCGAGAGACTCGATATCTTCGACCTTGGAATCATCGTATATCTTCTCAGATGCATACATCCCAGCCGCATTGTCAGCAAGAACACCTGTCCCAGACTGCGAGAGAACAATCAATGAGAGACGAATTAAAACTACAGATCCGCGGGGTAGAGATGCACATACAGTATGGATATAGATCGGAACTTTCCCATTCTCCTCATGATATTTCTTCAGCCCACGAAGGGTAGCCTTCGCGGCTCCCAGATCATCTACGTCCGCCTAGTAAGCGAAATTAAGCACATGCATTTATGCCTCTACAGAGACAGAAGAGTGACATGCACGTACAGTAGCAATGACATAGTCTGCCTCTTGTGATAGTGTCTCAATCTTATCTAGATCTGAGTTGCTCCCAACAACTGCTTCGACTCCGAACTTCTCTTCGAGGAGTTTCGCTTTTGCAGGATCACGGGTAAGCACTTTAAAGTCGAAGTTCTTTGCATCCTTGTGGTTAAGGAGGCACCAAAGGACAGAACCACCAATATAGCCTAATTATCATGTTTTCGTTTCAGCTTGTAGGAAGCTCTTTGCAGAAACTTTGGGGCACAAACCTGTTGCGCCAGTGAGGAAGATTGTCTGCTTTCTAGACATCCCAGTACAGAGCAAGAAACTTTGCGAGGAAGAGCTGATACGTTGGGCTTTGGGACGTTCAAGATAAGGTCAAGGGACAAGGCTTAGAGACCGACCGCGAGCCTACCTTTATAAATGAGTCTGGTCTGGTTGGTGCCATCGATTCATCTGTCTCAGTCGGTGTCTCAAGTAACGTTCAATTACTTGTGCCTAGAGGGGTAGCATATTCCAATAAAAGTATTCGTTACAAAGACGGAGATAGAGGCTTCAGAGTCAAGATGTAAGTTTATGAGAGGAAGCAGAAGCTCTTGTATGTTGGTAATCGAATTTAGTTGCTTATGTAATATAAAGATTGTCATGCAGCTTAATATTATAATAATAAAAACGTTCATATCATCCATGACTGGTAAACATAGAAAAAGGCCAGTCAAAATATTTGCCAATGAAACTCTGGCAGTTCACCACATCCTATGTTCTACATACAATTTGTCTTCTGATATTTTTAATCTCCTACAACAATTGATTAAGAGCAAGGCCACTGTAAATGAAATTTGGTAGTAACTGGACCAAAAACAAATGTTATATGCATTTGAAATACTAGAAGTTAATATTTATTATTACAAAAGAGGTATATAACTAAATATAGCTAATTCCACACAATTTCGGTTATTCATTGGCCAAACTGCGCATTTCATTTATTGCTTCTGGCATGATGTACACATGAGTTCCTTAGTTACTACAGCTTCTCGTTTCCCTGCTTATGTCTCCCTATAAAAATGGCTACGTTAATAGTTCTTTCCTGTTTTCGTGCTATCTGCGCCTACCTGACGCAATGAGTGCCTCAATTTCTGGCTTAATCGACGCGAGGAAATCTTTCGTTGTATGTACCGGTTTCCAACCAAGTGCAAGCGATCGGTTAGGGATGCAACGTGAATTTGATCCTAGGTAAGGAGACTTGAAAGTTGAAAATATAACAAAACAAATGCATTAAGGTCAAACAGGATACACATCCATGCATGAGATGGAATGACTTACACCTCCGAAATATTTATCAATCTCTTCCTTAGTAAACGTTGTCGGCTCCGGGCTCTTGCCTCGTCCAAGTTCAACAAGGGCCTGAGCGACTGCCTTACCAACTTCGTACAGGTCGTGCTCGCCTGAAGCACCGAAATAGAAGCCCTCACGACCATGAGGGATACTGTTTACGTCCGCACGGATCTTATCGAACAGGACAATGTACAAGTCGGCAACTAATTTGAAGATAGCAAAATATCCGTTACTTCTATGCACATGAATGAGATTTGGTGCAAATAGCGAACCGTCATCAATATGTACGTTTGGCCATTTATTCTTGCCCAGACCGACCATACCTCCTTGTCCGCGATCGATACTTGCGCGAATCAGAGCAGGGACTTGGATCGAGTGTGGATTCTGAATTCCCGCCTCTGTAAGTCCATTCTTCGCTATCCCGTAGATTGTGCATGGGAGAATGATATAGGTCCTGACATAACCTAATGAAGAATGAGGTTTACATCCTGGAAAAAGATCACTTTTATGAATTTATCTGCACGACCTGCTTGATCGGCCGACACGACTTCTATGTCGACCTCACGGTGAATTTGCGTCTTTGGATCGAGAGACTCGATATCCTCGACCTTGGAGTCATCGTATATCTTCTCAGTTGCATACATTCCGGCAGCATTGTCGGCAAGAACACCCGTCCCGGACTGTAGGAGAACAAGCAATGAGAGGTGAGTTTGACATTGTAACGGAAGAGGTGCACATACAGTATGAATATAGATTGGTACCTTCCCGTTCTTCTCATGGTACTTCCTCATTCCACGAAGAGTGGCTTTCGCTGCGCCGAGATCGTCCACATCCGCCTAATAAGGTGTAAGTACACATGCCCGTCTATGATGACGAGGTAAAGTATACATACTGTAGTGATGACACAGTCCGCCTCATGTGCGAGTGTCTCAACCTTGTCAGCATCCGAGTGGCTTCCAACGACCGCCTCTACACCGAACTTTTCCTGAAGTAGTTTTGCCTTTGCTGGATCGCGGACGAGCACTTTAAAATGGAAGTTCTTCGCGTCCTTGTGGTTGAGGAGACGCCAGAGGACAGATCCACCAATGTAGCCTGGCAATCAGTTGCTTTAGCACATGTCAAGTTCATAGTAGAAGCTGAAATTATGCACCCGTCGCACCCGTGAGGAAAATGGTTTGCTTTCCAGACATCCTGGTACAGTGCTAGCAGTGTTGCAAGAGACAGACATGAGAACGTTCGTGATATAACTTGCTTTCTAATACAGCGGATTCAGTTGATGTCATTTTAATTCATCGGTCTCAGATGTGTTCCGTTCCGATCAGAAGCAACACTCGATTACTTGTGCCTGAAGAGCAGTATCTTCCAACAAACGGATTTGTAGAGAGAGCACAATCATGGCATTGGAGTCTGGATGTCATCAGATCAATGAAGCAGTCAAATCTGGAATCTGGGTCGTTACGTAAGCTGCCGAACGACTTCCCGCCGTGAACATTGTACAAAATGGTTTCCGGACCATGCATATAAGCATGCTAAGACTAGGAGTACTGAGTCACATTGTGGTAGAAATCGTTAAGGAGCAATGTCTAGGCATTAAGATGTGCGCCTTAATCTCAGGATTGAATCTACGAAGACACGAGAAATTAAAAACGACTTCCTCAACTAGGGATTCCGAGGTTCACCAGCATTACTACCTGTGCACTCATATCTGGACAAGACCTGACTGTCTAAATGAGAACAACCACTGTGTTTATTCTGTTTAACCTTACTCGCTCGCGAAACTCGAGTTCCGCGCCGCTGTGAACAAGCAAGCGGGAAAAGATACAATGAACGGGACGAGCAGGGAGAAGTAACGGACTCCGCGTGGTATATCGGAAAGACCACCGAAATTACGAAGGCAGTAGTACCGTTCGGCTGCCAGTTCCTTCTTCACTGTAAAGAGGAGCAACCAAAGCGGCTGATGTTGACATCGTTTCTAGTCCTGTGTGTCCAGGCTGTCGTATTTTCACCGAGTTCATGAGAATCCGCGCAGAACAATGGGTGCAGATCGTTAGGGAAAGGAAAGATTGGCTGCAGAAAGAAGATAACAATTTTTAAATTTAGGTCTTCTTTTGACCCTCTTAGAAGGTGATGAAATCGTGGTCTCTCAGTCATGTGATAAGCGTCGAGAGCGATGTTTAGTCGTACATGACCATGTTGTAAAAACGGATCTCCGTGTCTGGATATTGCAATTCTCAGACCATAGAGAGGAAAGGAAATGAGACACGCTTGATATCGGTAAGGCTCACCATTGCCATGAATTTAAATTTAGATATTTGAGTTTAGCCTTGCTAGAATAACACCAGAGTTGAATTTGTGCAACTCATCACGTCCATCGGTTAAACAATTATTTCGTTTATTGCTACTGAGGTTTAACTAGTTATGCACAATCATGTCTATAGACACGTTACAAATTCTTGCTCTCCTGTGTGTTCCCTTTTGCTGCAATGATTGCTTCAATCAATTTCTTGTTCTCTTCCTGTGTGTGTCTACCTGAAGCTATGAGTGCTTCAATTTCCGGCTTTATTAATGCGAGGAAATCTTTCGTTGTATGTGTGGGTTTCCAACCAAGTGTAAGCGAGCGGTTGGGAACACAACGTGAGTTTGACCCCAAATGAGCAGACTGGAAAATAAGAATAGAATTTTAATAAATCAACAAAGCATTATGTTGAACAAAATGCATGGCAATAGTAAGAAATGGAATGACTCACGCCACCGAAATACTTGTCAATTTCTTCCTTAGTGAACGTTGTAGGCTCAGAGCTCTTGCCTAGTCCAAGTTCAACAAGTGCCTGCGCGATTGCCTTGCCAACGTCGTACAAATCATGTTCGCCTGAAGCACCGAAGTAGAAGCCCTCGCGGCCATGAGGGACACTGTTTACGTCCGTGCGAATCTTATCGAATAGGACGATATACAAGTCGGCAACTAATTATAAGATAGTAACGATCCGTTACTTTTATGAAAGCAATTAAGAGAAACCTGATTGGCATGACTAACCGTCATCAATGTGCACGTCAGGCCATTTATTTTTGCCCAGGCCAACCATGCCTCCCTGACCGCGGTCGATACTTGCACGAATCAGTGCAGGAGCCTGAATGGAGTGTGGATTTTGAATGCCCGCCTCTGTAAGGCCGTTCTTCGCTATGCCATAGATTTCGGACGGGAGAATGATGTAGGTCCTGACATAACCTAACAAAACAAAGTCACTACAGGAAAAGTAATTATTATGCCTTAGTTAGGCTGACCTGCTTGATCAGTGGAAACGACTTCTATGTCGATCTCACGGTGTATTTGTGTCTTCGGATCGAGAGACTCGATATCCTCGACTTTGGAGTCATCGTATATCCTCTCAGTTGCATACATTCCAGCTGCGTTGTCGGTAAGAACTCCCGTCCCGGACTACAAGAGAACAATCAGCGAGAAGTAAACTTAGTGACACAGCAGTGGTGCGCATACAGTGTGGATATAGATTGGAACTTTCCCATTCTTGTCACAATACTTCTTCATCCCACGAAGAGTAGCTTTTGCAGCTCCGAGGTTGTCTGAATCCGCCTGGAAAGCTGAATTTAAGCAATTACAGTGTCTCTCTATAATTACGGAACGATGTTCACGTACCGTAGCGATGACATAGTCCGCCTGTTGCGCGAGTGACTCCACTTTGTCTGAATCCGAGTGGCTGCCAACAACTGCTTCCAGACCGAACTTTTCTTGAAGAAGTTTTGCCTTCGCAGGATCACGAACAAGCACCTTGATATCGAAGTTCTTCGCGTCCTTGTGGTTGAGAAGGCGCCAAAGGACGGATCCACCTATGTAACCTAGCAATCACATATACTTTAGCATCCGAGTTCAAACTGTAAGAACTAAAGTCTTCAGACCTGTTGCGCCAGTGAGGAAAATAACTTGCTTTGGGGACATGTCTGTACAGTGTTGGGAACTTGTCAAGGAAGTTGAGAGACTGAAGCTGAGAATGTTGCTTTCTAATGCATCTTTGGCGACTTAGGTCACTGAGTCACTAGTATGGGGTTCCGTCCAGTAACAATGTTCGATTACTCATGCCTGAAGAGTAATGTACTCCAACAGAAGTGCTCGCATAGAAAGAGAGCGCTGGGACGTCAGGAACTTGCGCCAAGCGTGAGGGAACCACATGTTTCAAATCTGGTCTGCAACTCGTTACATAATCAACTTGTCCTCGGTTCCCATGCAATGCACTGCTGCATAGGGCGGAGTAAACTGTACAGTGAATATATTATAACAAGTCTAAGTATAGAGAACCATGTTACGCTTCAACCCGTTACAAAGCAATGTACAGGCTCTGAGACATACCTTAACCTCCGGATCGAATCTACGAAGACACGCGAACGTGCTTCTGGCAAAGAAAAGAATGGCATCCTCACGTGGGGCTCTGTAGGGTCCAGATGGGAAAAACCTCCGCGTATAGTCGGTATGCACTTACGAAGTCTCAATTTCCGTATCTCAGTCGAAAAGTGAGTCAAAATGGATCCGACCAACGGGACGATAAGGGAGGACCAACGGCTTCGTGTGGTACATCGGAAAGACCTTCGGAATTACGAAGAGCGTCGCATTGTTCAGCTGCCAGTTCCTTCTTCACCGTAAGAAAGAGGGACTAAAACGGCTGCTGTCGACGTTGGACGGTAATATTGTTGCTGGTTCTGCACGTCCAGGCCCTTGCATTCTCACCGAGTTAGTATGAAGCCGCGCGAAAAGAGGAGCGCAGAGCGCTCAAGAAAGACGATGCGGTTGCCGTACTGTAACCGAGAAAACTGAAGACGGCCATAATTTTAAATTCAGGCAGACCGCGGTCATGTGATGATAAGCACGGCTGGTGTTTTCAAATACAGCAGTTGTAGGTGATCTCGTTATTGACCGACCGGATCTCCGCAACTAATCTTGTGATTCTCGGATCATGGGAGGTGGAAAATGAGATCCGGGTTGATATCCGTAGACTCACCTGCGTCATGAATGTGAGGTACCAGGCCATGGGAAGCCCAAGTTGCAGTGAACAGATGGATCAATAATTGAATGTGCACATTAAGGAATCGTCACAAAATTACGTGTATAAATTGCACCTTTCAAGAAGAACAACATAACAGACCCGGAACTACACGACCCATGTCATATCCACCAGTCAGCCAATTACTTCATTCATTGCTACTATGGTATTATACATTTGTATCTCCTAAAACGTTAGTAGTTCTTGTTTTCCTGATTGTTCACCCTTGCTGCCATGAGCGCTTCAATCAATTTCCTGTTTTCTTCCTGCGTGTGTTTACCTGCTGCAATGAGCGCTTCAATTTCTGGCTTAACCGAGGCAAGGAAGTCTTTCGTCGTATGTTTGGGTTTCCAACCAAGTGCAAGAGAGCGGTTGGCGACACAGCGCGAGTTTGATCCCATTACCGTGACAGCAGACTTCAGAAAGCGAAAAAAATGCACCAAGTCAAGCAAGATACATAATCATAGTTTAAAATAGAATGACTTACACCGCCGAAGTATTTATCGAGTTCCTCCTTAGTAAACGTAGTCGGCTCGGGGCTCTTGCCTCGTCCAAGCTCAACAAGGGCTTGGGCAACTGCTTTGCCGACTTCGTACAAATCGTGTTCGCCTGAAGCACCAAAGTAGAAGCCCTCGCGCCCATGAGGGACACTGTTCACGTCAGCACGGATCTTATCAAACAGGACAATGTACAGGTCGGCAACTAAGCATAAGATAGCGAATATTCGCTACTTCAATAGAAGCGATTAACATGAATTTAGTTGGAATGACTAACCATCGTCAATATGCACATTGGGCCACTTATTCTTGCCCAGACCAACCATACCTCCCTGTCCGCGGTCAATACTTGCACGAACCAGCACGGGAATCAGAATCGAGTGTGGGTTCTGAACGCCAGCTTCCGTAAGACCGTTCTTCGCTATGCCATAGACGTTGGATGGGAGGATGATGTAGGTCCTGGCATAACCTAGCAGAAATGACTTTAACAATGGGAAAGGTAATTTCTACGAGCCATTTGCTAACCTGCTTGATCGGCTGAAACAGCCTCCATGTCAATCTCACGATGTATTTGTGTCTTTGGATCTAGAGACTCGATATCCTCGACTTTGGAGTCATCGTATATCTTCTCGGATGCATACATTCCAGCTGCATTGTCGGAGAGAACACCCGTCCCAGACTACAAGGGAAAAATCAACGAGACGAACGTTTAACAACACAACGGCGATGTCCATACAGTGTGGATATAGATTGGAGCTTTCCCATTCTTCTTGTAATACTTCTTCATGCCGCGGAAAATAGCTTTCGCAGCTCCGAGGTTGTCTGCATCCGCCTGGAAAAGGAAGCAAAATCGAGCAATTACAAATTTTATCCAGAATAGGAATACGAAGCGCATGTACCGTAGCGATGATACAGTCCGCCTGTTCCGCGAGTGCCTCAATCTTGTCTGCATCCGAGTGACTTCCAACGATGGCTTCAACACCGAACTTCTCCTGAAGAAGTTTTGCCTTTGAAGGATCGCGAACGAGCAAGTTAATATTGAAGTTCTTCGCGTCCTTATGGTTGAGGAGACGCCAAAGGACGGATCCACCGATGTAGCCTTGCAATTACATTTACTTTAGCATACACTAGAATTCACCGTAAGAACTGATATTTACAAACCTGTTGCGCCAGTGAGGAAGATCGTCTGCTTTACGGACATCCTGGTATGATACTAGAGAGAGAAGTGTCAAGAGGAAGTTGGGACTTTTTTCGCTGAAAATGTTTGAAATTAAATCCTAGAGGAAAAGGGACATCAAGCTTTGCTTTCTAATACATCAGTACCAGTTAAGGTTATCGAGTCATCAGTGTTAGGTAGTTTCCGTATCGGAAACGATGTTCGATTATTGATGTTCAACGAGTAGTGCACTTCAGCAAACGCGTTTGTGTTGTGAGAGAGCAGTTCAGATGTCAGAGTCTTCGCGTAAGCATGAGCAGCCTTGCTTTGATTTGTAAGAATCCGAAGTTTCAAAACCTGGAATCCAAGTTGTTACATAATCAAAGGGGCACCTCTCTTGTTCTGAGTACTGTAAAGTGACAAGTTTCATTAGTGCATATAAACTGATATGACCAAATGTAGTGAGTTGCGTTGCCGTTAAGCCCATTAAGAAGCAAGGTCCAGACTTTAAGACGTACCTTAATCTCCGGATCGAATCTACGACGACATGCGAAGGTGCTTTCAGCAGTTAGATGAAAGAACAGCATCCTCACTTAGGACCCCGTAATTCACCGCCATTGCTACCTGACTCCTATCTGGGATAAGGCATAACTGTTTAGACGGGAAGAATCTCTATGTACACGCCGTACCTCCTTATGAGGCTTCAATTTCCGCGTCGCAGTGAACAAGCAAGCGAAAATGGATATAATGAACGGGACGAGCAGGGAGAAGCAACGGACTCCGTGTGGCACATCGGAAAGACCACCGGAATTACGAAGGCCGTCGTATGCTTCAGCTTCCGGTTCCTGCTTCTCCGCTGTAAAGACGAGAAACCAAAGCGGGTGTTGTTAACATCGTTTCTAGCTCCGTGCGTCCAGGCCTTTGTATTTTCACCGTGTTCCTGTGAAGCCGCGCGGAATGAGGAATGTAGAGCGTTCAAGAAAGAGGATCCTGGTGCCGTATGTATTGTAACCGCGGAAAGAAGACAACAATATAAGACTTCTATTGACGTCCTTGGAAGAGTTATGAAATTGTGGTCGCAGTCACTCGGATCGCGGAAATGTGATAAACACGGACGGCACGGACGATCTCAGTTACAGATATCCCTTGTTGTTAACCGGATCTCCGTGACTGGAATGCAGCGCTGGAGGCATACAACACACTTAAAGCGCTCAGAGCGGATTGATATCCGTAGAGCCTTCTGGTCGTCATGAATCTCAGTCGTAGATGGGCCTTGTTGTTAACCGGATCTCTGCGACTGTAATGCAGCGCTGGAAGCATGAGACAAACTCAAAGCTCTCAGAGCGGATTGATATCCGTACGAGTCTCCTCGGGTCGTCATGAACGAGAGGCAAGATTTATCACTAGATTAGATACAAGGCACAAGAGGCTGATCGCAAATCTAGGCCAAGATGTCGGACTTAACTGCAAGACAAACGTCATAACGGTGCTTGTGATGTTTCGATGGGGAATTGTGAAAAGAAGGCCTAGATGAGCTCATGTTGGGGATAACGGCGTTGCTGAGAGTGCTTCGCGAAGAGCGGATCAGGCTGAAAGTAAATGAAAGTGGTTGCGGAGTCCGTCACTGAGTCTAGCCAGAGTCAAAATCGCGGAGTCACGGTCGCGTACGGAGAACTGGGTGCTGATAAACGGGTATGAAATCGGGCTTACGGAGTGCGATAACAGCGGCGCCTTCGATCACCAGCTAATACTGACAAAGCAGGGTTATGGCTGCGTAGGCATGAGTAACAGAGATCGTACGACCCCGCTCTGCAAGTCATACAGGCTCGTTGCAAGCCTGTTTATAGAACGTTCGCGCTAGGACAATTGAGGCAAGAAACCGAAGGGGACATGTGGAGTGGACATCTTTGCATTTGTACGAAATGGACGAGACACCGAACTATGAAATGCGTCCTTTGCTCGACACGAGTTTAGCACTGGAGCTTCCGTGGAGCGACCTTGCGTCTCACCGCGGCTGCGTAGAGACCGCGGCGGTCGCCGAGCACACCAAAGAGGATTTTCGTATTCCGCCAGGGGTTCGGTGCACCTGCTAAAGATAGGATCCGACTTCCTAAGGGAGGAAAGTGCGGGGTCGATAGAGTTCATTTGAAGGCTGAAATGGACATGTGACACCGAGACTAAATTCAATATTCAATTGCGATGTAGACTGTATAAAGAGACCGCCCTTGGGAGCGACTTGTCCCTCCCACTCTCACTGTCCAAACGTTACTGCATTCCACATCATGTCTGATAGGATCAAGCACTCTCAGCCCATCTCTATTCCCAACAGCGGTGTCCACCACCACTCTCGCGCCAGATCTGCGTCCTACTCCGGCTCCTCTGATGACGACTCCAACTCTCCGCCGCTTCAGACTCCCACTTCCGCTGTTCCACCTCCGCGAGTTGGCACCGCTCAGTCTCCATCCACGTCCCCCATCTTGTCTTATTTCTTCCAGGCACCAAACAAGGTTGCATCTGTCATCCCTCAGAGTCCAACAGCAGGCTTTGGCTCCATTGGGCGTGGGTTCCCTGCCAAGCCTCAAGAGCAGCCAATTATGGAGGAAGACGAAGAGCATGAATCATCCATTGTTCGCCATGCCCGACGCATGAGCACATCTGCGGGTTGGGCACCTGCGGCACCGCGCTTCAATGCACCGACCACGGCAGAGCAGGTTGAGAGGGGCGCTGGTCTTCTACGTAGGCTCAGCTTGGGGAGCGCCTTCATCAGGGTACGTTTTAACTCGATTTGTAATATCGGTAGTAATTTGACTCAAAATTCTATTTATCCACATCAGCCTCAACCTCCCTCGCCTCCCCTGCAACACAGCGTCCCGTCCGTAGCTGCACCTGCGCCAGGATCTCCTCCCACTATGAAACAGCCACCATCACCCGGTCGCAAGAAGAGGCGTGCGTCGACTCTGGCAGTCCCTGGCGAAGCACGGCCACGCCGTTCCCCAAGCCCTATGGGTGAACGTATTCTCAAGGGTCACTTCGACGGTTTCAATTGACCCAAAAGTGTCCTCCCTGCAAAAGTGCGGGTACCTGGATATATGCATGATCTGCCCGCTCCATACCCATACCATGCTTCGTTTAATTAGCGCCGCGAGTCCGTGGTCGCCGTGGACTGTTTCAGTACCCGAGCAAGAGTCATCACTGCCAACCTTCTACCGTTCAATTATATGCACCTTGAACTTGATCGTGGGCTTGAAGCCTAATGATAATTCTTCACTGAACTTGCCATCAGTTCCACTTGCCCAAGCCTTATTTTGTTTCTTATATTTATTCACTTCGGTATCTATTTCCATTCTCATATTTCTTTCCCTCCACTGCCTCCACACCATGATCGTCACTTTATATCGATCCGAACTCGCCTCTCGAAAGCGCTGTATAAGTATCCTATTCCATTGGTCACCACTTTGCCATATTTTTTCCCCCAAGAAGTCATCTTTGTTCACCCGTAGTTCAGACAAGAATCAGAAAGACGTATATTGTGTATAACATGAATTTGTAACGAACAAACAAACAAACATGTCATTATGTACATCATTTGTTTCATGCCTGCTATATAGACCAGACGCAAAACCACTTTCATGTGCCTGCTCAATATGAATCCGTTGACCGAAGATCCCCACATCAAAATCACATTTATAACCCACAATGATCGCAGTTCATTCCTGAGATGAAAAGAAGGCTGACGAACTGCGTCAGGAGCCCCTATCCAACTGTCAACTGAATGCAAACCTTATTCATGGTTGAGTAGGAGGGTTAGAAGGAGCGAGACAACAGCACGTCGTGTGATCACATCTGCGTAACGCAATTGAATTAACGGTAATACTCCCTCTGTTCTTCATGCCTTATCCGCATTGCATATACATAAACCGCATTGTTTAGCGCATTGAATAACTTAAACTTCCCTTTAGCCGTCGGCACTTCTGGAGCAAGATTTTCTTGGCAAGACGGGGTCAAGTACAACGTATCAATTCAGTCGGATGAGCCTTTGGGCTTGGGGTCGACGTGTTGAATAGGACGAGGACGAGGAAGAACGGTGGCGGCAGTTACGCTCGGTATCACAACTTGGCAGTAGATGCTGTGCGATATCCCCTTTGCCTCCTACCCCTCACTAGAAACCGTTTCCTGAGCCCGTTTCCTCCGGATAGAAGTACCAGAGCACTAATGTTCCAATATACCAAGAACCCAAAAGAAGGAGGATTCATATACTTACATGTATTGTGACACACCAGGCCAGATCCGACAGTCTGGAAGATCGGGAATCGGTTGCCCGTCCGAGTGTTCTTCGAGAGAGAAAAGGTGCTCATCACATAAACGGGGCTTGTGAAGGCATCTAACGGCGAAGGTGTGTATATTCGTATCCGAAGATCCAAAGAAAGAATGGGGTGGAAGGAAAAGGAAGTCGAGGGAACGCGGCAGAAGGTTGCGGAACAGCATGATGGAAGGACTAAGAAGATGGCCTAGGATGATGTAGAAGATGGCGAACCCAGATCGAAGCAATAGGTACGTGTTGTCGATTGCCGGCAGTTTTGCTTCGTGTTGTTGAGGGTATGGTTGAGAAGCATGTGTATGCATTTAAATGGAGGTTAGAGGGCTGGGATGGAAGAAAGTTACGGTTATTACCGACAGCTTGGCTACCATTTGTTTGTTTGCTGCATGAGTGAATTTGACAGTAAACTTTGTTGACAAAGAAGAAATGAAGAGCCACTATTGCAAAGATCTCCGCGAGAGGACTAAAACGGCGAAAAATGTAACGGAAAGACGAAAAACCTAGGAATCCAAGAAGAGACGGGTTCAAGAACGTTTTGGAAGCGAGCAAGGAGCGATCCGCAGCACCTTCGTTTCGGCGAGCCGCGATCTAAATATGCTTCGACGGAAGATACCTAGTGTGAGTAGTATGAGTCTGTGGGAGTCTCTTGGCTATACACGTAGCTAAATTTTGAGTGAGAGCCTTGACTGCTTTTGCGCCGTGTTTAGCCTAGAGAGGTCTAGGATGGGATTCAGCGTTGCGTCACAGGAGAGTAGAAGGTCGTCAATATGGCGAGCCAAGAACTTGCGTGAGTTGGGCATGACGGTGAACATGCGGTCGGGTAACCGGGCTGCCATTGTGTGCGACGGTCGCCCTGCATGGCACTTCAAGGGTGTTCCCAAGCGAGAATCCCAAACTTTAATTGAGACTGGTGGGTTTACCTTAACTTTCTCTGGGTGTCTTTGAATTATGCGTCCGATCTGCTTCAGATGCTGAACATTGTCATAAAAGGATACATAAGGGCTTACTTATGGAGGATAGCAGAGTGTTAACCCGACTCACGGGACTTTCGGGGAGGCGCATGTATAAAACTCTTTGCAGAATTGCAAGATCTTGACAGTGGCGTGATACTAATCATGGTGGTTGAATATGTTAGTCGATATACTTGGATGTCCTCGATGCGGCCGTTGAGTCTGATGATGAAGCCAAAGTAGACTTCATTCAGGGCGCTTTTCAAGCAATAAATCTGAATGCAAATTCAACTGAGATGAGCAGATACAAGATCTTGTTTCTCTTCACGGATAACAGTCTGAGAGCAACAGGATAAATGGCTTTGACGTTTGACCAGTATATCCAGTTTGTCATGAAGGCTGTGTCTTCCGAGGTGCGGGTGCGAATTTCGGATTTACGCCTTCAATTGTCAGCAGAGGTATCGATGCACAGTGGCAGATTTGACCAGAGTGTGTTTGTTGAGAATTGAGCGAGGGGACCGTCCTCATTTACCAACGCCACGTGATCGAGACACGAGGCCATTCAATCTCCGCCTACTTGGCCTTCAAGTTTGTCGCGCAATTTTGGTGCTTTGAAGCCGCCGTTTATTAAAAATTTAACTCTTTCAAGTTCATATTTATCTCTCGCCATAAGATTAGATGCAGTTGTGTGACAAGAGGAGCTAAACATGACTGCTACTCACACCTCTCTGCCACACAACCTCAAAGCTGAAGATTATAAGCTCATTAGTGTCTCAATTTCGTTTAGAGAAATCCAACCACTGTATATGAAGGTAATTTGAAAAACGGAATAATAGGTGGATCATCCAGGCTGTTAAGCGATCGTGGCGCAGTATCATTTGCAATAATTTGTCGATTAATATTCTTTTTTTACTGCATTTATTAGATTTTTAAGTTTCAGCAGAAAATAAAAATTTAGATAAATTGGGTCGTGGCTTAGCGGCTTCCATTGGCGTTATGAATAATGACGAAATATTAATGCATTTGGTAGGTGATCAATAAGTTAGAAATTGCTGTAAGATGATGAAAAAATGTTTCGTCACCTGAGCGATTCGAACACTCGCGTGCAAAGCACAACCGCTAGCTCAAGAAATAGCAGGCGATCCCGTTAACCACTCCGGCAAAGTGACTATCATTATTTTTAGTGTTCAGGACAACTATAAAGAGAAATTAATAAAGCTGAGCCTCGGCTATTTCGTCCGTTCCATAAGGCTATGATTTTGCCGGACATGAACTCTCCCGCGTGCCGCGAACCGTGGGTTCTTTTTTATTCCTCTCACAATGATCTTTTTTTGCTTCCGACAACGCGGCAACGGCGCGATTCGGGCGTGCTTGCACTGCATTGCGCTTGACTTCTGAAACGTTTGACGGACACGGACCCTCACGTCAACTCGGACGACGGAACGATGGATCTTATCATCTTGACGATTGAGCGGCGATTGCACAAAGCTTATTCGCGGGCGAGTCTTGTCGTCTTGCGTTAGGTCCGACGATGATCAAGGACATCGGAGGCAGACAAATTGTGGGTTTTTTGTGTGCATTTGTGCCACTGTGACATCTCCATTCCTCACTGGACCGCGATCCTGATGACGAGAAGAGGAAGGTTCAATAGAACGTAACTGGCTTTTTGTCTCTCGTTTCGGTCTGCGAAGGGGATTCCTTAACTTGTTTCATGCCGATCTCCGCGTACGGTTATTACTCCTTGACAATTGCCTGTGCGTGCAATGCAGCGGCGAGCGAGTACGACTCATGCGGGTTAGTATAAATAGCAGACCTATAAAGGTCTGCCTGCTCGTACCGCCCATCTACTTTGCTCCTGCTCATCATGGAGTGCGCCACGATCCTGTCGCCAGCCATGGCACAGCCAACCTCGGCCTCATCGATGTTCCCTGTTGAAATCTGGCGAGAGATCATACGCCTTGCGACGCTCACGCCGAGGCCGACACGCTCCTGCGAACCCGGGCAGGCATCAAAAAGTGCGGTTCACTTCAACTGGCCCCATACGGCTTCTTGTGGCGTTATAGACGATGAACCGCCGAAGACGAAGCACTCCCTTGCCCTCACTTCCTATAGGTTTTGGCATATGACGAGCGAATTCCTCTACGAAACCGTGCACATTCGTCGTGCTGACCATGCGCGCGTCATTGCCACGAGCCCAAGCTTGCAAGATGCACTCGCGAAGTGGACGAAGAACCTTATTATTGCGCCAGTATTCGACTTGGCATTGTCCCATGCCGAATTCAGTCCGCTGGCCAGGCAGTTCGGAGAAGACATCCAATTGACTCTCGGATGTTGCAAGAAACTTAGGTCGCTTGTTATTCGTGCGGACGCGGTCTCAAAGCGGCTGGCTATGTACGAGGTGTGGATGAAGATTTGTCGTGCGGTCCCGCTGGGAGTGCAGCACTTGGATATTGATGATGATATTCATGCTCCGTCATTATGGGAGCCTCGTCATCTCCTAGAGACCCGATACGATGCGTTTCTACGATCCTTGCGCCTCACAGCCGTTCAAAACACCAGCGCTTACGACCTGCCGAACCTGTCGCATCTCGCTTTATACAGCTGGCCTATTGCAAGTAAATGGGCTATGCAGTCACTTACACATCTGTATATCACGTATTTCCCTAATTTACCTCGCACGAATACCTTCTGGACGTCTCCAAAGCCTACATTGGAGCTGTTGCATTTCGGTCACGGAACCGACTTGGGCAGTTTCCCCGACCTCTCTCGATTCTTGCGCAACACTACGCCTAACTTGCACACGCTCGAATATTATTATTATGGAGACTCCGAGATGTCCTGGGATCCTAGTGCACTGCCCGACTCGTTGAAGCGTGTCACCATCAAGACTTTCCATCACTGGCCTACTGGTTACAAACGTGGGCAGCTGGAAATGAATTTCTCGAACGACAACTCAGAACCTATCCTCCTGCCTGCTTCAGCAGAGCGGTGGAGTGCATTTGCCAGACATATTGCTGGATTCAATGTACGACCTACCATTCTCGTGCCTAAGGGCACCTCGCTCAGTTGCCTCGAGGCGGTAATCAGGCCGATCTTCGCGGAACGTGGCGCAGATGCCTGCTTTGCAGAATCACCCTAATCCGTTTCCTCACTTCCCACTTCATCTGACTCGTCTCAACGCCTTGATAACGACCCATCATGATGATCCACCCTCGTTTACAATACTATCATCCGCCCATATATACTTTTACGTCACGCTATAGTTGCATTTCGTTATTTATACACTTCGCCCGTATAGACTACATCGACTCGTAACATCGCCGACTACGCACTGGATTTGCTCTTATCCTCTTTGTACAATCAATACTAGCTTCGATTATTTTGACGTCTGACAGTCTGATCAATGTACGCCACATCCATCTTTTAGAAGCACTTCCTTGTTTTGATCTTCTACCATGCTCCCACCGGCGCTCCCTGCTGAACTATGGAGATGCATCATTCACTGGGCCACAGAAGAGTCTGCCTGTTTGCTCCCACCCAATGCCCAGGCTTCATTTGGCTGGCCGTATCATCCAACTTTTGATGCCTCGTTCTTTCGCTCTCTCGCCACAAAATGTAACCTGGCCCTCGTGTCCCGTCAATTCTCAGAGATCGGCTCGGAGTTCTTATACGAGACTCTGCATTTCAGAAGACCGACTCAACTGATACTCCTAGCTCAGCAATGCAAGTCAAATTCTGCCGTCGTCGACAAGTTGCAGTCTTGGACGAAGACGCTACATGTAACGCCTGTCTTTGACCCAGTCACAACTGAGGAAGATGTTGAGGAAATTGAAGAGTTTCTGCGATCTATGCTAGAAATTATACAGTTCTGTCCTCGACTACAGAGCGTTCTGGTACAAGCGGATAGCGTCACCCTCTTTCGGGAACCGACATACCAACCTTGGGTATTGATCCTCTCGCTTCTCCCATCAGGGTTACACCATCTTGCTGTCGAGAATTTCTTGCTAGGACCGGTCTCCTGGAATCCACCACTATTCAGCTCATGGGGCACAAGTTCAGTGCTCCGAACACTGCGTCTGGATGCGCATCACCCGCCTTTTGAACATCACTTCCCACACTTGACGCACCTCTGGTTATTCTCCTGGTCATCGGCGAGCCAGTGGGACATGCCTGCTCTAACCCATCTTTACATTGATTATTTTCCTGGAAACGAAACGACAGCAACCTTCTGGTTAGAGCCAAAACCTTGTCTCAAGCTCTTGCATTTCGGTGGCGACACGGATTTTGGGCTGTACTATCCTGATCTTCCTCAACGATTACAAGAATGTACGCCGAACCTCAAGAAACTAGAATATCACTGTTCTGGAGACCTTGACGTACGTTGGGACCCAAATTCCTTATCAAAATCAATCAAAGAGGTAACACTCAAGCTTGAAGATGGTGAATTCGGTGGCATACACCGGGATTCACCTTTATCGCGTGAAGATATTTTGTTGCACTATACTGCTGCTGGGTTCGAGATTTTACTGGAATTGTTGACTGAATTATGTCCATCGGGAGCGAGTAGGTGGATGAGGATTGAACGCCACTTGGAGAAGTATAGCCCTCATCCTGCGAAGTTGTGTGTGCTCCTGCCAAGACGTGCTGCTATTTTACTTCAAAATAATGAGGATCCGCCTCCTCTCATACAATCGTCTCGCATTCCGATCACGCCTCGGTAGCGAAAATAGGGCTTCCCTAACTCGTTTTATTTTTACTTTTGATTCGAGGTTACCATTCTGTCCATTCTTGCAATCAGTCTCAAAAAGCAAGAAAAGTGTCTCTTAGCTGATAAAGCGTGTAATTGTAAGACATTTTAATAGAGAAATATATTTAGTGCAACATGTTCGTTATTAGCATGTCCAATAATATGTACAAAAGGGCAAACATGCTGATTCCAGGTACAGTGAAGTGGAAAAAGGTCAGTCCACCCTTTAAGCTCACACAAAACATCAACGGTTTCTTTCATCGACGAGGGCGCAGTCTGAGGAGCAAATGGCCATCACTCATCATCCACAAGCTTTCCCTCCTTCGGCACGGATGCCGGCGTTGGTCCAGTTGACTTTTTCTGCGGTTTGCGTGCATAGTACTCGGCGATAATCTTGGGCGAAATGCGGTTGAGTTGCTCCTTCGGGAAGATACGCAGTAATGACCATGCGAGGTCCAATGACTCGAAGATCGTGCGAGATTCGTAGGCACCTTCATGAAGTCGTACTTCTAAGTAACTGCTTACAAAGATGGTAATGAGATGAGACGTACCTTGTCCTACGAATTGTTTCTCGAACTTGTCTAAGAACTCAAGAGCGAGTTTGTCTTCGCTTGATAGTGCTTCTTCACCGACGACGGCTTTCATCGACGCCGCATCACGGCCAATGGCGTATTTAGCATACTATAGGATAGGAATGTGTGAAAATAGGTAGAAGTCTGGATGCAAGAATAAAAGCTTACAAGCTGATTCGATACGTCACCGTGATCCTTACGCGTAAGCTTCTCTCCGATGGCACTCTTCATGAGACGCGACAAGGACGGCAGCACGTTAATTGGCGGATATACTTGTCTGTTGTGCAGCTGTCGGTCGACGAAAATTTGCCCCTCCGTAATGTAGCCAGTCAAGTCAGGAATCGGGTGAGTGATATCTATGAGGACAAACGAGATCAATTTCTGTTAGTGTGAAACCTACATCGATGCAGAGCGACATACCGTCGTTAGGCATGGTAAGGATGGGAATCTGGGTAATTGAGCCGTTACGTCCTTCCACACGCCCAGCACGTTCGTAAATAGTCGACAGGTCAGTGTACATGTAACCGGGATAACCACGACGGCCGGGCACTTCCTCACGCGCGGCAGAGACTTCACGAAGTGCATCGGCGTACGACGACATGTCAGTTAGGATAACAAGGACATGCTTCTCGAGTTGATATGCGTAGTATTCAGCCGTGGTGAGAGCGAGACGTGGCGTAATGATACGTTCGATAGTTGGATCGTTTGCGAGATTGAGGAAGAGTGTGACACGGTCAAGCGAACCGTTCTCCTCGAAGTCTTGTTTGAAGAATCGTGCAGTCTCCATGTTCACACCCATGGCGGCGAAGACAATACTGAAATTGTCTTCATGCCCATCATGCACGTCTTTGGTAGGTCGCTTGACAAGACCTGCTTGACGACAGATTTGTGCAGCGATCTACGTGAAGTTACGGTTGGGGTTATTCGCATGCGTTACAGAAGCAAGAAATGAAACGCACTTCGTTGTGTGGTAGACCAGCGGCTGAGAAGATGGGAATCTTCTGCCCTCGAGCAATGGAGTTCATCACATCGATAGTTGAGATACCTGTCTGGATCATTTCCTCGGGATAGATACGAGAGTATGGGTTGATAGGGGAGCCTAAACGCGAGGCATCAGTGAATATCGACGAATATGTCCGGCGCTAAGGGGCGAATGTAGGTCAAGACGCACCATTAATATCAAGGTAATCTTCAGCGAAGACTTTGGGACCATTGTCGATCGGATTACCGGACCCGTTGAATATACGACCCAACATGTCCTCCGCCACAGGCAACTTCATACTGCTACCAGTAAATTCGATGTGTGTCGACTTAACGTCGACACCAGACGTGCCCTCGAACACCTGCACGATGGCTTTCTTCCCTTGAACCTCGAGAACTTGCCCGCCACGTTTCGATCCATCCGGAAGGGTGAGCTCGACGATCTCATTGTACGACGGAAACTGGGGAGCAAGTTAGGAGTACAGTCCGTAACGGTACGGTTCCAATCTACCTTGACGTTGTCCAGCACAACTAAAGGTCTAAGAGCGCAAGTCAGACTTATAAATTAGCTATATACATCCAGAGCGCTCACCCATTGACGGCAGATACGGTTCTGTAGTCTGCAATGCATAGCAAGTTACACCACGTTAATTCAGATGGAGGTGTTAGAACGCACCTAGATGTGGCTTGACATTGTATTCCCTGGTCACGGCAGCTGCATTAATGGCAGCAAGCTCCTTATCACTGAGACGTGGGTCGGGTGCCATCGTCGTTTGTCGCGTAGAAGTAGAGGAGGCGGTTCAGCGAGCGCGACGCCGCAAGGTGTGGACGGTCAGATCGCCAAATCGGGATGTCCGTCAGTTCCTGGTGCCGCGTCTCCCTTTGCGACTTCTCTCATCAACTTGGGCGACTATTTATAAATACATCTTTCTGTCTTTATGCGAGGCGACGAGAGCAGCTCAGATATACATTCGCTATCTAGGATATTCTAGATTCAACAGACCCTGGGCTTAGCATTAGTTAACGCTGCTACTCTGTCGCAAATGACTGCTGATTTAGTTACTTATTCCTGCTAAAGAACATCAACCGCCCGAGGTTCTACGCTGCAACATATCTTGTTTGCACATACTTCTGAGAGTTTCTTGCTTCAGGGCGGCAGCCAGAGATTACTTTACACCCCAAAACGCTTTGGTACTAATTTGAAAACCCACGAATCGGTTTAAGCGGTTTCTAGAGGACCATGTCTTGGTGCTGTGATACAGTACTTTGCCACCGTTCCGAACAAGCTTCCCGTCTTCGCGCATTTTAACTGCATGTATTTACCCCAATCTTGGGGCGTATCGGATGCACCGTTGGCCTTCTTTTCTGGCCAATACTCAAGCATACTGAGCATCTGGATGCTCTTATCAACGCTACCCAGCAGCAGTCAAGCGCCAGACCATGCAAATGAATACACAACTCAACAAAGCTATCGCTGTCGGAATAAGCACATTGCGAAATTCCGAGGCTCTATAACCGATTTAAATCAAGCCTTCTTCAATGTTTGTCACCGTCAATTTGTGGCAGGCTAACACTCCATCTTCGACAGCATTAATCAGTTGAGTACATACTAGAACATCCTTGATTCGGCTGCACAAATAATCAATTCCAGGCATCTAGCATTGAGAAAGCAATCTTCGTTTCGGTGCAACGAGAAAAGCGGAGTGATTTGCCATACATATCGCAAGCAGGCTGTTCCATCAGCTGTTGTATCTACTCGGTGGATTCGACGGAGACATAGTTAGAGGCAGAGCTTCCGGGACCTGCATCCGTTGCGAACTCACTTCAACGGTGGCACCCTACAGTCCGGGAAATAATCGATTGTCCGTTAAATCACACAATAATTAAAGTTAATACAGTCGGGCGTCCGTGTTCGGGCACCTATTTGGAGACGCACTCATTGGTTCCGTGCAGTAAAACGCCGATGAACAGACAGAAGCACAGCATGTAAACAATTACTTGATCCTTGCATCGGACCGTCGGTCGCATTCAGGGACTAATTAGGATGGATGATTTCGGACCTTTCTGACGACTGAAATGACTGTGGTACACAGAAATCACCTCATACCTCATATTCTGATATTCTATTGGATGTGGGGAGAGTTACATTCCAGACGGATAAAGGCACGGAGGTCCGTAGCCAATAGGAAAGCGGACGAACGCGGAATCTTGCTGCACGAGACAACGTTCTCTAATACGATTTCTTCCGAGCAAACGTGTTTTTCACAAATCTGAGTGAGTATATGCAGATATTTTACGTCCAGAATTTCACTAGAAGAAAAGCGAGGGCTCAAACGAGGGCTACAGACCTGAAAAAAAAATGAATACATGTGTCATGAACGAAATATGTAATTTATTCATAAAAGGATTGTAGCAATATTGCAGGCACCAGTGGATGAATGGCGGCCTAAGATCTGCTCGGACAGATCCACTGAGCTAGAGGATCGACATCTACTTTAGCCTGGAACGCTGAACTGGTCAAGAAATTGCTCTTGTATTTGTTGCACATATCAACGTTACTGAAGACGCCCAGGAAAATTAAGACAAGATCGTGAGAGCTCGACGCTGTCTGTAGTCTCCTAAGAGTTCTGGCTTCTGGAAGAGAGAAAAAATAACGAAGGAAAAAGCAGGAGAAGTGTATAATTTCCAGAAAAGGAAGGCAGATCAGTGAATTAGCCGTAAAAGATTCTTTGGGGAGCCCCAAAGAGCTTTGGAGTTTAAAATACTTTCTGCACTTTCTTTCCCGACTAGCAACTGGTCCGGTGAGCACCCGCGTCTTTTTTTCCTCCATAGCTGTGCATCGCAGCACTGATACTACTTTTAATTGCTGCGCGACAGACTTCTCTGTCGAAGCGACCGTAGATTTATAGACCGACCACGAGGAGACAGAAAAACGCCATGGCTCCGAACGGTCACGCTGACCCTAAGAAATGGGTCCAACAGCGTCCTCTTATAATTCAGCTAGGGAACGTTAGAGTATGTCGTTTTAACTTTCAAATGACGCGTAGCCTTTCTGACTGACACGCGTTACTGCGCGTGCAAAGTTTTCTGTACCCGTAGATGCGAGTGGCAAAGAGTGGATTGCCGCCGAAGTTTTGCGCGAGGAGTTCTTGCACTCGCAGAAGGATATAGACGCGGTGGAAACCACCAGCGAACTAGAGAATGCCACTGAGGCAACCATCGAGCTTTTTGCTCGCTTCTTAGGATTTGTCGCAGACAACCTAAAAGTCGAGCAGAATTTTGCCGACGCGCGTTGCGCAGTGCTTGCCTCTGCGTTCGAGACCTTCACACATGCATATCTGTCGACCAGAGATGTGCATTCACTGACCGCGACCTTCGACACTGACGCACGCAAGACCGTACTTTCTTCATATTACCGCGCACTCGCCGCTCTCGAGGCCGAAAATGTAGCAGATGTTCCGCGGGGTCCGGCTTCGGCTCTTCTTACTGCGATTGAAAAAGGCGAGGCATCGGCGTTCGCTTTGTTTGGTGGGCAGGGCACCAATGAAGTTTATTTTGACGAACTCCAAGCACTTTACGACATCTATAAACCATACGTCGAACCCTTTATTACTGCACTCACTATTAATGTTCTGCAACCGCTTGCAACGTCATCGACGTCCTCGTTTTACGTATATGGTCTTGATGTTATTTCTTGGCTCTCTGGTGCTCTTCCGCGCCCACCAACCGAATATTTTGCTTCGGTTCCAGTGTCATTCCCACTCATTGGTCTTACTCAACTCACGCAGTACTTTGTTACTTGCCGTGTTGCAAACCTTACGCCAGGCGAACTTCGTGAACGTCTCCATGGTGCTACAGGCCATTCGCAAGGAATAGTCTCAGCCGTTTGTATTGCTGCCTCGGATGGCACTCAGAGCTTCGTCGAAAACGCTGCGAAAGCGTTGCGCTGGCTATTCTTCAGTGGCTTACGCGGACAGGAAGCATTCCCCGTGCTTGCCTTAGAGCCTGGAATTGTAAGCGATGCTATTGAAGGTGGTGAAGGCGCCCCGTCCCCTATGCTAAGTGTCTCTGGTCTTGCGCTTAAAGACCTTGAGCCGCACATTAGCACGACCAATAAACACCTTCCTGCGAACTCCCAGCTGTTCGTCTCGCTCCACAATGGACCGAAGACCTTCGTGATCACGGGGCCGGCGAAGGCGTTATACGGTCTCGTTACTAGTCTTAGGAAGGTTCGGGCTCCACCAGGTTCGGATCAGAGCAAAACGCCATTCTCTCAGCGGAAGCCAGTCTTTTCGGCACGCTTCCTCACAGTTGGTGTTCCTTACCACAGTGACTACTTGAAGGGAACGACCGACAAGGTTGTGGAGGATTTGAATGGAGAGGAACTCTGGACATCGACAGAAATCGCCATACCTGTCTACCATACGGAGAGCGGTGCGCATATATTCATCCATTTCTCCTTTTCCATGCTTAGCTTTACAATTCTCAGGTTCGGACTTGCGCAGTCTGACGACATCTGTCGTACGTTCGCTTTGCGATCAGATCTTCACGCAACCTATCCACTGGACTCTTGCAACGAACTTCCCAGAATCTGCAACGCATGCAATCGATTTTGGCCCTGGCGGTCTGAGTGGAATCGGTCCGCTCACCGCTCGAAACCTTGAAGGGCGCGGTGTTCGAGTCGTGGTCGTCGGTGAGAAAGGCAAGGGTGGTTCCGAGGTTTACGACTCGACTAGTGTAAAATACGAGCAGTGGTGGGCAAAGAAATGGGCACCTGCCCTCTTAAAGACCAGGTATTTTCCTTTATCTTCCCTTTTGATCTGAAAGCTCACAAGACTGAATTTGCAGTGATGGCAAGTTATATATCGACACGCCATTCTCTCGGCTTTTGGGTAAGCCACCGATTATGGTTGCTGGGATGACACCATCGACTGTGAAAGCCGGCTTTGTAAGCGCAGTTCTTCGCGCAGGTTACCACGTTGAACTTGCTGGAGGCGGTCATTATAATGCTAGTGCCTTGCGTGCAAAGGTTGCAGAGATTCAGGCGCAGATTCCTGAGGGCGTCGGGCTGACTCTTAATTCACTGTACATCAATCCGCGTCAATTTGGATTCCAGTTCCCGTTATGGCAGGAGATGCGTCGGGAAGGTCTTCCCGTTGAAGGTTTCTGCGTTGCTGCTGGCATTCCAACCACCGAGAAGGCAGCAGAGATTATTGGAGCTTTGAAGGCCGCCGGTATCAAACACGTTGCGTTCAAACCTGGTTCCATCGACGGAATCCGTCAAGTCGTCAATATCGCAGCCTCCAATCCAGGCTTCCCTATAATCATGCAATGGACTGGTGGACGTGCAGGAGGTCACCATTCTTGCGAGGATTTCCACCAACCTATTCTCGTGACATACGCTTCAATCCGTCAGCAACAAAATATCTGTTTGATTGCTGGTTCTGGTTTCGGTGGTGCGGATGACGTCTGGCCGTATCTTACTGGAGATTGGTCTGAGGATCTATTTGGCGTCCAGAAGATGCCTTTCGACGGATTCCTGTTTGCCTCGCGCGTCATGGTGGCAAAAGAAGCGCATACATCGTCAAGTGTAAAGGATCTCATTGTTAAAGCTTCTGGTGTATTGGACAGCCAATGGGAAGGCACGTACACGAAAGAAACAGGAGGAATTCTTACTGTACGGTCGGAACTTGGAGAACCCATCCATAAGATCGCTACTCGCGGTGTTAAGTTGTGGAAGGAGTTTGATGATACAGTCTTTAAACTGCCAAAAGAGAAACGTGCAGAGTGGCTTGCGCAGCATCGCGCAGAGGTCGTTGAGAAGTTGAACCGTGACTTTGCGAAGCCTTGGTTCGGATGGAAGAAGGATGGACGTGTTGCCTCAGACATTGGCGATATGACTTACGAAGAGTCGGTGTTGAGAATGGTGCGCTTGATGTATGTTGCACATGAGGGCCGATGGGTCGATATTTCGCTTCGTAACCTCACAGGAGACTGGCTTCGCCGAATCGAGGAGCGTTTCGCTGGTGTAAAAAAAGCGTCCATACTTCAGTCCTATTCATCCTTGGACGATCCTGCTACGTTCGTTGAAAGCTTCTTTGAGACCTACGCGGAAGCTACGCAGCAACTTCTGGCGGCTGAAGATAAAGCATATTTCTTGGCTATTGCCCAACGTCCGGGCCAAAAACCTGTGCCTTTCATTCCTGTGCTTGACGCGAACTTTGAGGTCTGGTTTAAGAAGGTAAGCATCTGTATTTGTTGAAGTACTATCCAATACTAAACAAACTTGACAGGACTCACTCTGGGCGGCAGAAGACATTGAAGCCGTGTTTGATCAAGACCCACAGCGCGTTTGCATTTTGCAAGGTCCAGTTGCTGTGAAGCACTCCAAGGTCAAGGATGAACCGATTGCAGATCTCCTAGGAAATATCACCTCCATGTTGTCGAACAAGCTCTTGGAAAGATATTACAGCGGTGACGAATCGAAGGTTCCTACCATTGCCTACCTTAGCAATGTTCCGACACGGAAGGTCGACGCCATTGGTGCAGAAAGTAAGACAACTGGAGACGAGACTATATACAGAATTGGTTCGATAGTGCCATCGACTGTGGAATGGCTTGAGGCGCTCTCTGGAACGGAACTATCATGGCTCCGCGCTCTTCTCAGGACACCCTTCGTCGTCCAAGGTACCTCGTATGTCGACAACCCAATCAGTCGGCTTTTCGCACCGCGTGCAAATCAGAAGGTCCTTGTCAAGTCCGCAGGCGACTCACCTGTATCAGTTACACTTTACGGTTCCGCGCGGTCGCATGGTATTCATGAACCAGACTTCAAAGCAGTCGAGGTCACCTACGATTCGGCAGCGAAGGCGATTAATGTCACCATGTTCGAGGATCGTCGTGACGTTGCAGTGCCGCTCAGGTTAATTTTCAACTACCGACCAGACATGGGCTTCGCACCTATCCATGAAGTCGTTGATGGACGGAACCAGCGCATTAAGGAGTTCTACTGGAAGTTATGGTTTGGTGACGAGAGCAGTCTTCCGGCCATCGACGTACACGAGACGTTCAAGGGACCAGAGGTCGAAATTACGTCTGAACATGTCGAGAAGTTCTGTTCCGTGGTTGGTAACGACGGGGAAGCATTCAAGACTGTCCGCAGTGAGGAGGTTCAAGCGCCGATGGACTTCGCCATTGTGACTGGATGGCAGGTGCGTAGTGTTGTTATTCCTCAGCTGCTTTATCGTGAACAAATTTTTTGCAGGCAATTATGAAAGCTATTTTCCCTGAATCAATCGACGGTGATCTATTGAAACTCGTTCACCTCTCTAATGGCTTCCGCATGCTGGCAGGCAGCAAACCGCTCAAGGTCGGCGATATTTGCCAAGCCGAGGCGCGGGTTGTCTCGGTCATTAATAATGATAGCGGAAAGGTGGTCAAAGTAAAAGGACACGTGCTTCGCGATGGAACGCCTGTCATCGAGGTTATCTCGTCCTTCCTTTACCGTGGTCGATTCGCCGACTTCGCTAACACGTTCGAGATCGTCGATGAGCCGGATTACGTCGTTAAATTGACGTCTGAATCAGCTGTTGGGGTATTGCAGTCAAAAGAGTGGTTCGAATGGGAAGATGACTCGAAGCCTCTCAAGGCTGGCACCTCCCTTATCTTCCGTTTGAAGTCCGAGGTCTCGTACAAAGACAAGACGCATTATTCTTCAGTATCGGTCTTTGGTGATATTTTCGTGCGCGATCCTCTTAAGAACCTAGTCAAAGTTGCTGCCGTAGACTTTTCCTCAGACGACTGCCAAGGCAATCCCGTCGTAGCTTATCTGAAGCGGCATGGAACCGAACCGAACGTAACGGCCCCACTGTCAAACAGTGGCTATAGCCTGACGAATGCCAACGTGCCTACCACGTTCTCCGCACCTCTTACGAATGAGCCATATTCCAAGGTCTCTGGCGACTTCAACCCGATCCATGTGAATCCTTATTTCTCGGATTTCGCGTCGCTACCTGGCACGATCACCCATGGTCTCTGGTCAAGTGCAGCAACACGTCGATATGTTGAGAATGTCGCTGCAAAGGGTCGTCCGGATCGTGTCCTCTCGTAAGTCTCGTACTCTAGATTCTTATATCTCATATGATCTAAAATCTGTCTTGCTAGTTATGATGTGGCCTTCATCGGTATGGTATTGCCCGGGGATGAGCTAAATGTTGATATCAAGCATGTTGGCATGAAAAACGGCAATATGGTTGTGAAGATCACGACGTCGAAATCATCTGGCGAGAAGGTCCTTGAAGGTTCCGCTGAGGTTGCACAGCCGACCACTGCATACGTGTTTACCGGACAGGGCTCGCAAGAGCCGGGCATGGGCATGGAACTTTACAACAATTCGCCAGCTGCTCGTGCCGTTTGGGATGGCGCTGATAAACACTTGCTCGCTGTTTATGGCTTCTCCATCGTTGACATTGTCAAGAACAATCCGAATGAGAAGACCATTCATTTCGGCGGTATCAAGGGCCAAGAGATCCGACAGCGTTACATGGACATGGCATACGACACCATGGACAAGGACGGCAGTATCAAAACCCTGCCTCTTTTTGCGGACATCAACAACCGTACTCCACAGTACACTTTCAGCCACCCATCTGGTCTGCTGTTTGCAACTCAGTTCGCGCAGATTGCTCTCGTCGTGACGGAAAAGGCGGCGTTCGAGGATATGCGCTCGAAAGGGCTCGTTCAACCAGACAGTGGCTTCGCCGGACACTCCCTCGGCGAGTACTCGGCACTCGCATCGATCGCTGATGTCCTTCCGATCTCCGCACTTGTGGATGTTGTATTCTACCGTGGTATCACGATGCAACGTGCGGTAGAGCGTGACGAGCACAACCGTTCAAATTACGCTATGTGCGCGGTAAATCCGAGTCGCATATCAAAGACCTTTAATGATGCAGCACTTCGTGAGGTGGTTGACTCAATCGCGCATCGGACGGAGCTGCTTTTGGAAATTGTCAATTACAACGTCGAGGTAAATCTTTATGGATGTCTACAGAACTTTGACTTATACGCATACAACAGGGCCAACAATATGTCTGCGCCGGAGAGTTAGTCGCGCTTCAGACGCTCACGAACGTCTTGAATTATCTGAAGGTAGAGAAAGTCGACATCGCGAAGGTATGCATCCTGCAGAGCTTTCTGAGCTTATTGCTCACGGACGGTATTTATTTAGCTTACTGAGAAGTTCACTGTCGACCAAGTGAAAGAAATGCTCGGGGAGATCATCAAGTCCTGCTTCCAGAAGGCTCAAGAACAGAAGGCAGCACAAGGACACATTAAGCTCGAGAGGGGCTTCGCTACCATTCCCCTTCCCGGTATCGATGTACCATTCCATTCCCGTTACCTGTGGGCTGGAGTCATGCCGTTCCGTGCATGTGAGTGCCAAGTTCCTTTCGTACTGGCTTTGAGCTCTCACACGCAATTCTAGATCTCTCGAAGAAGATCAACGTTGCGTTGATCAATCCGGATATGCTCATTGGCAAATATGTTCCTAATCTAGTTGCAAAACCATTTGAGGTTTCTCGCGAGTACGCCCAGATGATCTATGACCAGACATCTTCTCCGCGCCTAGACAAGATACTCAAAAACTGGGAAAGGGACAACTGGGCCGACGATGAGCATCGTCAGCGTCTCGCATACACGATTCTCGTCGAGCTACTAGCATACCAGTTCGCATCCCCCGTGCGTTGGATTGAAACGCAGGATGTCCTTTTCACGCATTTCAACTTCGAGCGTTTCATTGAAATCGGCCCGAGCCCCACGCTTACCGGTATGGCCGTTCGTACCCTCAAGGCGAAATACGAAACGCAGGACGACTCAATTAGTCACGCCCGTGCTATTCTTTGCCACTCAAAGAACACGAAGGAGATCTACTATGAGTTCGAAGACGAAGTCGCAGAAGCACTTGTGGAGCCATCCGAATCAGCCGCGCCTGCGGTCACCACAGCTCCTACTCTCGCAGCGGCGCCTGCCGCCGCTCCGGCACCATCTGCTGTGCCCGCGGCTAGTATCGCAGACGAGCCGCTAAAGGCTATCGATACGCTTCGCGTCATTATCGCCCAGAAGTTGAAGAAGAACATCGACGAAGTGTCATTGTCCAAGTCAATTAAGGACCTCGTCGGTGGTAAATCGACTTTACAAAACGAGATTCTTGGTGACCTACAGCTAGAGTTTACTTCTGCACCTGAGAAGGGTGAAGAGCTTCCCCTTGAAGAACTTGGTTCAGCAATGCAATCAGGTTATTCTGGTATGCCTGGTAAACACACTTCAGGCCTTATTTCTCGCCTTGTTGGAGGCAAGATGCCTGGTGGCTTTAACCTTTCTGCTGTCAAGGCGCATTTGTCAAAGGCATGGGGTTTGGGTCCTGCACGGGCAGACGGCGTATTGCTCCTTGGCCTGACCATGGAGCCAGCAAAGCGTCTAGGTTCCGAGGCGGAGGCGAAGGCTTGGTTGGATTCCATTGTCCCAATATATGCGGCACGTTCTGGCGTGACGCTCTCGCAAGGCGGTGGGGCTGCTGCTGGTGGAGGTGGAGGCGGCGCTGTAATCAATAGCGAGGAATTCTTGAAGTTTAAGGCGGACCAAGACAAGTTCGTTTCTCAGCAGATAGAGCTTTACATGCGTCACCTTGGTCGTGATTCACGTGCTGGGGAGATCGCTCACGACAAGGAAAAGGCGAATGCAGCGGAGTTGCAGGCACGCCTCGACTCTATCATCCGCGAACACGGAGATCTGTACCTTGATGGTATTCAACCAGCATTTGATCCACTCAAAGCCCGTCACTTCGATTCTTCTTGGAACTGGGTCCGTCAAGATGCATTGCTCATGTTCTACGACATCATCTTCGGCCGATTGACCGCTGTTGATCGTGAAATTACAGCAAGGTGCATACAAATTATAAACCGAGCTGATCCGAGCATGCTACGCTACATGCAGTATCATATTGACAAGGTCGATGCGAGTCGTGGGCCGACTTACAAACTCGCTCAGCAGCTCGGCCAGCAGCTTATTGACAACTGTAAGCAAGCTCTCAACAATGGCCCTCTGTACAAAGATGGTAAGCCGCCATTCTCCCTTCTCAGAAGTACATTAATGTTTCGCAAACACAGTAACTTTCCCAACTGCTCCACATACTGAGATCACTAAGCGTGGCGATATTGTCTACACCGAGGTTGTACGGGAGAACGTACGAAAGTTGGAGGCGTATGTCGAGGAGATGGCCAGTGGCGATTCGGTCCCTGGTACCTTCAACATGCAGAAAATTCAAGAGGACGTCCTCAGATTGTGGAACGTCGTGAAGTCTCAACCCGAGATTGGTGAAGAGCAGAAGAGCAAGATTAAGGCACTATACGATGGTGTCGTCCGGTCTCTGCGGAAAGGCTCCGAGGACAATCTCTCTGACACTCGTCGCGCTCCTCGTAGTCGTCGATCGTCTTCGCAATTCCTCCGCCCCGAAGTCCAGAACATTACCTCTATCACGGCCGACAAAATACCGCTACTTCATTTGAAACGTCGTGTTGGAACGACTTGGGAGTACAGCAGTAACTTGACTGGTGTTTATCTCGACGTTCTTGGCGAGATTGCGACATCCGGTACAACCTTCAAAGATAAGAACGCCCTGCTAACAGGCGTAGGAAAAGGTTCAATCGGTGTTGAGATCCTCAAAGGACTCCTTTCAGGTGGTGCTCATGTTGTAGTCACGACCTCGCGATACAGTCGTGCAACGGTTGAGTACTACCAGGACATTTATCAACGTTTCGGTAGCCGAGGCTCTGCTCTCACAGTCGTCCCCTTCAACCAGGGCTCGAAGCAGGATGTGGAGACCCTTGTTGACTACGTGTATGCAACGCTTGGTCTTGACCTTGATTACATACTTCCTTTCGCTGCTGTACCAGAGAACGGCCGTGAGATTGACGGCTTGGATGACAAGTCAGAGCTCGCACATCGTATTATGTTGGTGAACCTCTTGCGCTTACTTGGTGCAGTCAAGACGAAGAAGGCGAGCCGACACTTTGTGACGCGTCCCACGCAGGTTATCCTCCCGCTCTCCCCTAATCATGGTCTCTTCGGCAACGATGGGTTGTACTCCGAATCGAAGATTTCTTTAGAAACACTCTTCAATCGCTGGAATTCGGAGAGCTGGGGTGAATATCTCTGCTTAGCTGGTGCAGTCATTGGGTAAGTTTTTATGCTATAATCGCTTGATGCAGCAACTCATAACAAGATTAGGTGGACCCGCGGAACTGGCCTCATGGATGCAACGAATATGGTGGCCCACCAGGTCGAGTCTTATGGCGTCCGGACGTTCTCGGCGAAGGAGATGGCGTTCAATATCCTTGGTCTCATGCATCCTCTTCTATTTAGCATTACACAGGTTGAACCCATCTGGGCGGACCTTAATGGAGGCATGGACCGCCTGCCTGACTTAGCGGAAATCACGACGAATATCCGTTTGACACTTAATAAGCAAGCTGAGTTGAGGCGAGCCATTACACTCGACAACTCGGCCGATTTCACGACCATGAAGGGCGGTGAAGCAGAACGCGTACTCCAAACGGTTACTGTTACACCTCGGGCCAACTTCAAATTCGACTTCCCCACCCTCGAGTCGTCAGATGCCTTTGGTGAGATTTCCAAATTACGGGGACTCATTGATCTCGAGAAGGTGGTCGTTGTCACTGGTCACGGCGAAGTTGGCCCTTGGGGAAGCTCGCGTACGCGCTGGGAAATGGAGGCGAGGGGTCATTTCACTATCGAAGGATGCATCGAGATGGCTTGGATGATGGGTTACATCAAGCATTTCGATGGTAAGCTTCCAAACGGCTCCCTTTATGTCGGATGGGTCGATAGCAAGAGCGGGGAGCCTGTCGACGACAAGGATGTCCGTGGCAAGTACGAAAAGGACATTCTCGCTCATGCTGGTGTTCGTTTGATTGGTAAGCAATTTCCTTCGCGGAGAAAAGTAACGGTGCCTCACAAGACTACAGAACCCGAATTGCTCGATGGATATGACCCAAAGAAAAAGACTTTCAATCAAGAAATCGAACTTATCCATGACTTAGAACCGCTGGAGGTTTCGACGGAAGAGGCCGAGCGCTTCAAGCATGAGCATGGCGAGAAATGCGACATCTGGCTCGCTGAGGGCGACCAGTGGTTGGTGAAACTCAAGAAAGGAGCCCGCGTCTTTGTGCCGAAATCGATCGTGTTCAGCCGCACTGTTGGTGGTCAAATCCCGACTGGATGGCATGCTGGACGCTATGGTATCCCTCAAGATATCATTGACCAGGTCGATCGCTGTACACTTTGGGCGCTTGTTTCCACTGCAGATGCACTTAATATGTCCGGAATTACGGATCCCTACGAGCTGTACAAGCATATGCACCCTTCAGAAGTAGGTACATGTATTGGTGCCGGCATGGGCGGTGTAGAATCGCTTCGCAAGATGTTCCGTGATCGTCGAGACTCCATCGAGGTACAGAATGACGTCCTCCAAGAAACGTTCATCAATACAACCGCGGGTTGGATCAATTTGTTGCTTCTCTCGTCCAGTGGACCAATCAAAATTCCTGTCGGGGCGTGTGCTACTGCTCTGCAATCAGTTGAGATCGCTTGCGACACTCTGCTATCCGGTAAAGCGAAGGTTATGCTTGCTGGGGGTTATGATGACTTAAGCGAAGAGGGCTCGTTCGAATTCGCGCAGATGAAGGCGACAAGCAATGCTGAGACAGAGTTTGCCATGGGTCGCGAACCGACGGAGATGTCAAGGCCAACAACAACTACTCGTTCGGGCTTCATGGAGTCAATGGGCTCTGGTGTTCACGTTCTCATGACGGCCAAGACTGCTCTCGAACTAGGTTCCCCCATCCGAGCTGTGATAGGATTCACTTCGACCTCGACTGACAAAGCAGGCAGGTCCGTTCCTGCACCTGGCAGAGGCGCGCTCTCAATTGCCCGGGAGGTTTCTGCGAAGCATAGTTCACCGATCCTCGATATTGCCTATCGTTCGCGGCAACTCGCCTTCCGGAGAAAGCAGATCTCGCAGTGGCTCAGTAACGAACATGAACAACTCCGCGAGGAGGTCGAGCTACGCAAGACACAAGGCGAGCAGGTTGACGAGGAGTACATATCATCCCGAGTTGCTCAGATTGAAAGCGATGCTGCTCGTCAAGAGAAAGATGCATTAGCAGTGTATGGTATGCTTTCCGGGTCGGATCCTCACATCTCTCCACTTCGTCGTGCTCTGGCCGTCTTCGGTCTCACTCCAGACGACATCAACGTCCTGTCCATTCACGGAACGAGCACCAAGGCGAACGAAAAGAACGAAACTCAAATCTGGAATGATATATTCTCCACACTCGGCCGAACGCCAGGAAACGCCGTCCCAATAATGGCTCAGAAGAGCTTGTGCGGCCATTCTAAAGGTGGTTCAGCTGCATGGCAGCTTGCTGGATTAGTCCAGACAATTGCTACTGGTATTGTCCCTGGAAACCGGAATGCTGAGTAAGTGTGTCCCGGTACGCCTCAGGACCTCATTACTGAATATACGCTCGTTCTAGTAATGTCGATGCCGATTTCCGCAAGCACGAATATCTCATGTTCCCTTCGAAGACCATTCATACAGACGGGATTCGAGCTGGTGTTATGGTATGTATCTTGAAGTTAGTACCTGCGGTTATTCTGATCATGCTTTAGTCGTCCTTCGGCTTTGGGCAAGTGGGTGGAACGGTGCTTGTTATCCATCCCCGCCATCTTCTCGGAGCCGTCGACCCTGTACAGTACGAGGCTTACAGAATTCGCAACCGAGAACGCGCATTAGCTTGCTATAAAGCAATGACCTCAATGATGACTACAAACTCGCTGGTCAGGGTTAAGGACGCACCTCCATACTCAAGCGAGCTTGAAGTTCCTGTACTTCTCAACTCTGCAGCGCGAGCCATCTTGGATGAAAAGACGGGAAGCTATGCGTTCCCGAAGAAACTAAACACAAAAATTCAATTTGATAAGTCCAATGTTGAGGCTGCGGCGAAAGCACTGGCCATTGGCGAGGGTTCCATTGGCGTCGGTGTTGACCATGGTAAGCTCTACTTGAATATTCGTTGTCGCCGCGTACTGAAGTAGTATTTCTTCAGAACTGATCTCGGCTGTTCCTTCTTCCAACTTGACATTCGTCTCGCGGAACTTTACCGATGCCGAAATTGCGTACTGCCACTCTCAGCCAGCACCTGCGGCGTCCTTTGCCGCACGCTGGGCCGGGAAGGAAGCAGTGTTCAAATCACTCGGAGTTGCGTCAAAGGGAGCATCGGCCGTTATGAAAGACATCGAGATTCTTCCTGACTCCCTGGGTGTACCGTCGGTCACGCTCCACGGTGATGTGCTGGCCGCTGCAGAGAGTAAGGGAGTTGCGAAGGTACTCTTGAGTCTCAGCCACTCGGAGACCGTCGCGATTGCCTTTGCTCAAGCAGTCTCTTCTTAAACATTCTTTTGTGCAATGATTGTAGATTAGAGGGGTTTCTTTTCTTTCGCATGCATGACACGTCTTAGAGATTAATGCTTTATTATTTCATAATTGGGACTTTTTTCAATTCTGTATTCACGAACCAAACAATAGAGATTGAAACATCTTCTGCATACAACGTCTACGACGTACTTATACCAGGCCATAAAGGTTTGCTTCTTCGATATAGTCACCGATTCGTTGTGGAACCATAGCGCGCCATTGTTGGCTCCGCTCCACTCTCTGCCTTCGAACCTCCGTGGAACTCAGAGTCATCTCATAGTCGGTCAAAATTGTGAATGATACGCTTCCTGATACAACGAATGGCTGCGCAATCGACAATGTCTCTTGCATCTTCTTCTGGCTCTCTGAGATGGGTGTTTCTGCCTGTAACGGAGTCTGCCAGGAATTTATTCCATCTAGCTTTTCACCTCTCCAAGCACAGACAACTTCTGAACCGTCTCCATCTGGGGGCGGTGCAAAGAATTTGCGAAGTGCTATGTGCATTTCCTCAAGAGAGTTGCTATAATAACGGGGCGCGAGGAATCGTTCGAGAGTATCGAACCCCATTATGAACGACAGCTTTACTTGAGCGTGCCGCGTGTTTGTGGTTTCTCTTTCTGTACCTTGTGCTGTGGTGGAATCGAGTCCAGTAATACGATCTTGCAAAAATCGTCGAAGAGCGATGGACTTCTGCACGAAGGTGGGTTCGTCAATGATAGCAACTGCAACATTGCCTTCTGTCGGAGAAGGCGACATGCCATCAGAAGAGGAGCGAGAGGATGATGTATCTTCAAGTTCCTGTGCGAGAAGTACCATCATGTCCAGTCGCTGCTCATATGTTGCTTCTCCTGGTTTTGGTGCTGCCTTATCGGCGTTCCGTACAGAGAGCAGGAGCAGACGCGCATCATAGTCATGACGACTGCCATAGTTTGGTGGGCTTGAGGTATCCGACAGTTTTGGAGGTCTTGAACGTGCTAACGCGAGGTGAGCCAGTGTTGGAGGATTGAATGAAGAATCAAGCACAGATATTCGGAGGTCTACTGAGTATTCATAAGCACTTGAGTAGCTTCGCGACATTGGGCATCGGTCACCAAATAGGCTTACCAGTACTCCGTTCTATATTTGTGGAAGCAGTGGCAGTTGATCCAGAAGGACGCAGAGGCCAACGATCGTGCGAGCTATAGACGAGCCGCACCATTTCTCTACGTTGCTGGACGGAATGTATACATTGCGAGAGGTTGGAAGCCCTAAATGGCAGAAGCGCTCTGGACGAGGCCTCAGAGGCCATATTCAACATTCTCAGGGCTAGCAGTTTGAGTATTATGGATAAACGTTATTATGCGATTTGTGCATTGTGAGTGGAAGGATGCAGATTCGCTAAGTCTATTGGGGCGATGTTATGTTGATCACGTCGATCAATGGCACAGCCACTGACCATGATTCATCCTTGCAGGCCTTTGCGAACTCTCAATTTGATACCGCATCGCTTTGCAGTGACTATACCAACACACTTAGAATAGTGTGGCCTGCATGCCTTAATTTTTACTTCGTCCTAGTTCAGCCAAAATCACACAGTTGAATACAGCGGTCATACGAGAATTATCAAGCACAGTGCACACATGGGACACCCCACGTCAGAGACCCGTGTCAATTCACCGTAGTTTTCTTCCTGATTTCCTAACTCATCGGTACCGTCCATTCCTATTACTCACGGGATTCTTTTATCCTTACTGAGTCAGGAGTAACAATGGACAAAAGCAGATTTTAAGGAAAGGAACAGCACAGCAAGCCGCCGATCGCCTCGGTTCTTGATGATCTTCGCTCCGGTTAGCCATGTGCGCAAACTTCGAAGGAAGGGCAAAGGTCCTTTTGTCCTGTTCAAATTTGTCTCTTGCACAAGAACACGCAAGAAGCGGATGGTAGGTAATTAGCCCGAGAAGTCAGGGAAGTACGACAGGTTTGATAGCCGTCTATGATTTTTATCATTTGACGTCTGTACACAGATTCCAAGTCAAGCGCATGTACCCACAAAGTTCCGCGAGCTGTGATTACTCCGTTGTCCATCAATGAGGAACAGTCCTGGAATGGAGGAGGATTATGCGCAAGGACGGATGAACAATATTGAAGCTCTTTAATACCGAGGCATATTGTATGAAAATATGGAAGCAAATCATGAGCTTTTTATACTCCGTAAGGCGATGGCCAGTATTAATAGGTGACTTCAATTAATTGGCAGGAGCACTTGCAGGACAGTTGGAAAATTTTGGGGTGGCTCGGCAAAGTGGATGTACCTTAATATATACCAAATAGAGATGTAAATCTGTGCAACTCTCTGCAAGTTTCTGCAAGTGCTCGAACCCACTTGTTGGCACTTGCAGACGCGTCGGAGTTTGAAATAAAGAAATGTCTGACTACAACCCAACAAAAATCATGAGTAACGTGACATGGGCATTAAATGTCGATCTCTGCAAGTCCAGCTCTTCAATTTTGAGAGACTTGCATAACTCTTGGCATCTTAACTCTAAATTGCCGAAGCCCTTCTGCAAGTGTCTCTGCCAATTAATTGAAGTCGCCTATTATAATATTATTGTATTGTCTGAACAGACCGTTGCGAAAATGCGTCGGGAAGCGCAACAAGAATCTGAGATGAGCCTGGGAATGCGAGATATGCAACGTGCCCAATGGCCAACACACTGGCAATGTGTTCAGCAAGGCATGGACCACACTTTAAATCTTAGCACTGGAAAAGACCGCCAGTTCACCTCTGGATTGACAAAGAGCAAGCTACACAACTTTGCATTCCTCGTCAAAATGTCATGATGGTATCAGACCAAGCAGGCACAGCACAGGGGAAAGAAAACCACGTCGATCACCAGTAGTCGGAACACGCCTCCGAAGTTTAGGCTAATGACTCGATGGGGCAAGTCATTCCCACAATGGAATGCAAAATGGCCAAAGCAGCTGTGAACAATTAACTGTAATTCATTGATTCATCCCTCAGTCATGGCACCAATAAACTGTCTCTCTGTCGTATTTTCTTCCGCTCGTGCACTTTCTCTCCCTCGACGAGCTCAACTGCCCAGCTCAAAGCGTGGTCACAGCGAGAAAGACCCAGGGAAATAACCTTGTGCTTCCCTATCTCTAGATCTTCCGGACCAACCCCATTCCCGGACTGACCAGCTTATCCCAGACCATTTCAGTCTCACTTTTCACGCACTCGTGTCCCAGCCTGTACACGGTATCCACTACCCTCTCTTGCGTGCTTGGAACGTATCGGCCAGCAGACATCGTTGGTGGGAAGTGTGGTTCCTGACGGAGCATCCTCGCTGCGCATTGCCAGCGAGCGGCACCGTTGCTCGTTCTCACAAACTCAATCACGCGCTAGCTGAGCCCAAAGTGGGTTTGATACCATGCAGTCGTTCTCTGCGGACTTTACCGTATGTCAGCACTTGTCTTGCGACTTATCTCTGCATCTCATGTCCCTTGTATTGCAGGGTACAGACGGCGGCCCTCCGTCCACGGAGGCATACAAGAGAGCTGTATACAAGCAGCCTCCGAGGCACTTTGCAGTGGAGGTTCTATCCCCACAAAAGCATGGTATGTCTGACTTATGGCGTGCCTTGACCTGATAAGCGCTGATATCGCATCATAGGCAATGCATATAGCTATGGAATGCTCATTTCACCCATCCAGGATAGTCACGATCGGAGTTCCATCATTTCACGGCATTCGAACAACTCAAATGGCTCTTCTGGATCTAGCAATGGCTCACGAGTGGCCTCAACAATCTTTTCTACTCTCGATACGTCAACGACTGCACCCCTAACGACTGATTACGAAGTTTGGAGGCGGTGGGAGGACTGTCTATATTTTCAGGATCTCCTGGAAGTCGAGTACGGAAGAATGTCGCGAGAAAAGCGAGCTAGATTACACGCTGGAAAGGGTGTCAAGAAGAATGGCAAGTATGCACACGAGGATCCAATACGACGGCTACATCGCGCAGCATCGTTTGAGTCTCTTCCACCCGGCCCGGATCCAAACTTGATTGCCAAAGACGTTCACGAGGTCCTTCCGCGTCTAACGAAGAAAGGCACGCTATTTAGAGCGAGCAAAGAGACTATCGAACAGCGTGGAAGGGAGTTCAAGGCACTCATCGAGGCGCTACTCCGTGAAGGAGATGACGTGCCAATGTTAATTCAGGAACTGCGCCAGCTCCGGGTCGTCCGGGATTTCTTTGGCTTCTGGCGCCGAGATCAAGATCGTCTTCAGAAGCAATTTCCGAAAGGTCAGGACGGTGGCGACAAATTTTCCCTACATGGACGTTCAGAATCGCTGGGATCCCGCGCATCGAGTATCTTCAGCAGCGCAGGTGGGACGGGAATGTACTTTAGCGCGAGTAGTCTAACGTTGCAGTTGCCGGCATCATCGGTTGCACCTGAACAGTCGCCGACGCACAAAGGACCAAGGCGACCAGCATTTATGCAGAACGGAAAGGGAGCGATGCTGCCGGGACCACCCTCGAGCAGCGAGCTTGGTGCTGGCAAAGAACCTGCTTCACCTCGCCGGCGAGCGCAGTCTAGTGTTGACCATCCTTATCGACCCAGTGTGAGCCCTTCATCGAGCAGTGCATTAAATGCTTATCTCGGAAGACCACCTGCTTCGGCTCCACCTGGGATGACCTTTGCCATGGGCGTGGAGAACGGTTACAACTCGGACCCAGCAAGCATGCCGGGTTCCCCGTCGTCTCCCGGAGGTTATTGGTCCCAACCGTCACCCGGTTCACCACGTTCCATACGGACAGTGCGTTCTTCCCAGTCACAGTCGGATAGTCGCTCTAGCGATGTCTCCCTGTCCGGTGGTTTCAGCTTGCAAGAAAAGGCAATACATGAGGCTGGTAGCGGGCCGATTATCGTGAGTTTAGAGGAAGGTGAAACTCTACCGCTCGATGAGGATGACCACCTGTTCGGCACTCGAGAGCATGGGAATTTTGCTCCTCATGAGACTATTGAGACAAGACTCGGCCGGTTACATCGTTTGCAAGACTTGATTATCAAGGAGGAAGATGAGCGTGAAATCGATGATCAGCGAGATAATTGGCGCTACGACCAAGCACATTCAGATTACCATACGTCTGGGTCTAGTTCCGGTCATGGCTCAGGAAAATCTGTAGAGTTAGAGGACGAGCGTCATTCGCCTTCTCAGTCACGTCAAACCGCTGGACAAAGCATGAACCGCCTCGGCATGTTCTTCAGACCGCCCTCCTCTACCGAAAACGACATCACATCAAAATATGATAACCAGATTGATAACAATGCGGAACGCCCGAAGAGTCCTACATGGAGTACTCGCTCACAGACGCCTGTGTCATCAGCGCGAATTGCGGCTGCCCATGCGGATGCGCTGCGGGCATTGACGGGCGGACGCTCGTTGAGTCCGACGTCGTCGGCTAGGCATTTATCTCCATCTGAGGCGTCTTCGCGCTCCTCCGTTCTCACTACGACCTCAGGTTCTACCAATTCTGAACATGCGCGCTCGTTTGAGACGCAATCTATCGTAGATGACCGGCCTTATTCGTACCAGAGTTCGGTTACGTCCTGCGTAGATATTGACAGACATCTCACATCGTCTCCTGTTGTCCTCCACTCGCCTATTGAAGAACTCGACGACGACTGTGACTATTCGTCGGACCAAAGACAGAGTACTTCGACGACGCAGTGGCGATCACACGATTCTACAGCCAGTGTTCGGACGTTCATGACAGAAACCTCGATGGATATGATCATTCCGCCTCGCGAACAGCGTCCCATTTCTCCACGAGCAATGCATAACTTGGTTACCAATGGCGCTCCCTGGCCGCAACAACGCCCAACCTCTCCTGGTTATCCAGTCAGCATACGAGATTCAGGCATGACCATACCTTCAACTTCCGACTCCTTCGATTCCCGCTCCATCTCGTCCATCAGCCCTCCACCAACTGCCAGCTCCTACGCACCGTCTATAACCTCCACACTTTCAGAGGAATCAGGCGCTAACGCCGTCTCCATAAAAGTCGTCTGCGGCGAACACATCGTCGCATTCCGAATCGATCGCTCAAGCTCGCTCGTGGACGTACGGGACAAACTCCGTCGTAAACTTGCAGATCAACAGAACGTCCTTCTCATGGATCACTTTTCTCTCGCATATAAGCCACCTGGTCCTGGTCGTGTGCAGGAGCTGCGGAAGGCTTTTGCAACTGGCCGGGCACGTTCGAGCTCTGCATCGAGTGTAGGGAAGACGGATCTGAATTCGTTGAGGATCTTGTTTTCTCAGAGAGATTGGCTTGATGCTGTTGGGTCTTGTCCACCCGGATCGAAGGTTACGCTTCATGTTTTGAATCGATGAAAATATGTTTGTATCTTTTCTTGGATATCATTTCAGTATGTTTCGTGTATGCATTACCAAACTTTTCTCGTCGTACTATACCATACCACATCATTGTCCAACAATAATCCTTTCGACCTTCGAACGTCAATTTCTATCAGCTTGTTTACTTTTTCTACTTTTGCTGTAACCTCCGTATCTCCCCTTGTTGTTTTTTGAACGGGGAGGCTTGGCTTTTACTTTAGGAATACTTCGATCTTCACACTAGTGTTCAGTATTCTAATCACATGGACAGTTGACAATGAGTTAAGATTGGTGACCTGGAATTTGTGTTCTTGATTTTTATCTAAGTAAATGAACATTGTATTACGTAATGCAAGGAAGTATGTTTTTGCTCCGTCCGCACAGCCAGCTTCCTTATCTGGACCATTTCTGCATATACCGTTTCCGAGTTTTTCCCAAACCCGATACACATAACATGGACACCTTCAAATTCCTCCTTATAAGCTTCTTCTACATGCGTCAGGTCAAAAAGGCTCTTGCAAAATAACCCAAACCCGCTCTGCCCTCTTCTGTACGTATGCTCATCTCCCTTGCCTCCACACGGCGAAAATAGACCGTGTCACACACCCAGTTGTGAAGCAGTCCATGTGTAATGAGAATGATTTAAGGAGCAGGTGAGGAGGTGTAAAATGGGGATGATCACTGGCAGGAGATAGAAAAGATGCAACTGTCTTTTGCTTCACTGTAAAATCTAACACTTTTCGTTGGGCATGACGCATCCCTGGCTGCACCAAATTAACACGCACTATGACTTAGCACATAAATACCCCGCTACCCAAATGTGACTGCCAACACTGAGCCTTCCCGGATTCTGCCTGTACCTATATACCTCCAACCTTTACACAATCGTGACTTCCTACTTTCAAGTTCATCTGAGGAATTCTGTAAGTGTTTCCATCGAACCATCCGATTCACTACGATCCTCTGTGCCCACACAAGCAATCATCAGCATCCAAACAAAGAGGTCTAAAAGTAGCTGGCGCACCTTGTGCTCATGTCCCTTGCACCGGGTATGATGGCGAGCCCTTCGTCTGGTTGATCAGAGCTCTCTGTCCGGTTGCTCTGTTCCCGCGGGGATGAGTAGTCCGATTCGTTACGGCAGAATGTTGACACTGTAGGAGCCGACCTGAAGTTTATCTCTGTGGTCGGAGCTGAGACTTCGGAAGTAACTTGTCTGCGGTCGATTTGCTGAAGTTGCAAGAGAAGTCGATTGCTTAAAGTGGAACAGAGAACTGCTTGCAGGCTATTATCTGATGTTTAGTGTCGCTATTACAATTATGAACCGTAGCGTCATACCATATGAAAATCACGTTCAAAGGGCCCCGTTTTCAGTAGCGTCAGCATAAAGCCACAAAAAGCTCGATTGTATTATTCACCTCTGCGTAAAGTAGCAGCATCATGTTTGCAAATCCCATGCCTGCAATTATGCTGTTAGCCTGGGCTGTTTAAATGCTAAAACTTAAATAGAATAAGAATAAACAAATGCTTTCTGATGGAGACTCACATATGATGCATATAAAGTACCAGGCTCCTAAGTGTATGCATCAGAAACAGCTTTGATGGATTCAGAGATGACGGACCTCCTGTTAGTATTTCCTTTAGAATACCGAATGATCCCACGCCGTGATCTGTGTTTGCTTGGTTAATACGAATAGCAAACAATCCACAAAGTTTTTACAGTAGCTGAAGGACCTTGCCAGCAGAAGTCCAAACACGACTTGTTGGACGATGAATAGAAGTAATATGTGCATTAGCCATCTGAAGAGGAACGGCAGAATGCATTGAGACCCCACCTGTCGCCTCGAAAACAAGAATTAGGTATGCTAGCCAAACCTTCCGACCAGAAAATAACATTATACACCCAGAATGGAACAGACGGGTGGGGGGAGCTAACGCGTCAGGTCAATCGCATTGTCTACTGATGGGAAGCAAAGGTTTACTGCTAGTAGACAAAGCAAATGATACAATACACTGCCTAAATATCATGTACCCCGTCCATAGACTTACCCATAATATACTGCTCAAGATGTATGTATGTATGAGGGAGTGCTATAATGTCGAGTGTCAATGCACGTACACGTATAGCCATTATACGGCCTGCTCCAGACTCTAGAGAGCCTTCTGTCTGTTGCTGCAGGACGAACATCGAGTCGTGTAGTGTTGCTGTGAACTGACAAGGGGGAACCAATTTTAGAGACAGGATTGGATTCGGTCCGATTCAGTTGAGTGTGGACACGTTTATATGTTAGACAACAACTGACCGTAATGCACTAATCGGATCAAGCAAATCGTCTACAGCATATGCACGTCTGTGCTTTGCACGGTGAAATATTGTGCATTTACCGTGTGTTGTAAAGTCTACTTGATGGTATAGATTCAGACACCTTTTAGGAAATTGATAACACGGTATGAAGACAAGACCTTAAGCTTGTGATTTCAGGCCAGTATCACTTGATGGCTGGCTGTAACTATGCAAAAGAATCAAAATTCGATCCGGAAGTATTCAGATCTGTCTAACTTGTGTTGTGTGTACAGATGACATTGTCATGCAGTCCGGCCACTGTGCTAAGTGTTAACCAAGTGTTGATTGGACCACCTCCTACTGACTGTTCGGTTGATGAACGACAGGCCTCTATTGCAAAGCCATTATAGCAATCTGTGAGTGGAGAAGATAAACATTCATATATATTGCTGGTACAGATGAATGTACACGTACGACGTACTTCGGCTACGTGTTTAAAATCACGAAAGCCTTCCTAGTGCCCATGCCTAGAATAATTTTACCGATTGTTTGAACAATCTCACAGGCAGCCGCAACCAACAGTGAAATTCCTATGATGCAGGGTCGGCCTGTTAAGATTTCCCATTATAACTCCATCATTGAGGCGAGATGCTGTTCGCAAAGAAAGAGTCAATGAATACTTAGACAGCAGGATCGGCAATTCACTGTCAGACGTGAGAATTTTATGTATTATGTAATTTTACACGGCCTGACACTTACACTAAGGCACTTTAAGAAATTAGACCACACAGCAGATAATTCATCATACATATGAGAAAAATTGCATATAAATAAAATTACAGTGCTTGCTGTGTTGTCTACAATGTAATGTGGACTAAGCAGTATGAACAGGCATCTTTGACTGGAGATGCATGTATGCTGATAGTCTCGACTCTCCAGTGTGGGTGAGAGCAAACACTCATTTTGTCAAAAGCCATAATCAGATTAATCTTTGTGGCTGTCTTCTGTTTACACACTTCAGAAATAACAAATTTAAATATTTGACCTGGTGGCTCAGAACTCAGCATGGGCTTTTATAGACACTTAGGTATGTGTGTTTCTGTAGAAAATCTTGTTTGAGATATGAGAGAGGCTGGCAGTTTCATGATTGATAGTGTTTTACAAACTGCTTTGAATACAGTGCTTACAGTGATGTGCAAGAATTCTGTTACCCCCATTAGGACCCATAAATCGTGTAAAACGCACCATTTTCTATTCTGCGGATTGATTCGTAGATCTTCAGCCGCCAGAGCAAGACACAGCAGCTTGATGGACATCACGATAAAAATATGATATCGGTAATTAAGGATATGGCGAACACGCATTGAGGGTCTCGCTAACAGCTGTCGAGTAACATGCTTCTATATATCCAGTCCAACTTGAAATCGTGAGACTTGTTCACAAGGACACTGAGATAGTAGACTCAGAGCAAAATGTTACAATGAAGGTAACACTTTAAGCATACTATAAGACTAATGAAGATTACTGTACTCCATCATCACGAACCATCCTCCATTTGCATGTCTGTGATTTCTATACGTGGAGGCGGACGGAGTGCTGTCGGCGCACCAGGTGATAACGGCGCTCTCGTCCAATCAGGTAAATGGAAGCCCGGTCGTTTCGCAGGTATTGAACTTGAAAGTCCTTGTGCCAACTCGAGTCCGTCATCGTCGTCGAGTTCTTCGTCCATTGCTTCTGCTTCGTCCCATTTTTCGCGTGAGATCTCAGCGCCACCGATTTTCAGTGCGCTGAGGGATACGTAGAATTTTTCTGTATGTGAGTTTATTAGGTAAAAGGGGTTGTGGAATGGAACGTACCCCGCTAAGGAACCTCCAATCCATGGAAGCATCGCTGGCGTGAAAGCAGGCGCCTTCCCAGCTGCATTCGTTGTCGTCGTTGTCGTATCATCCGAATTCGGCCTCGGCGGGGAAGGGTTATTCAAAACGGCAATATACGGCGCAAGAGGGCGGAGCGGAGCATAAGGGTCATATGGAGGCGGAGCGGGTCGACCAGCCCGTGTCGGACTCCGCTCGGGTGGTCGTCGAGTGAGTAAACGGACAAGTTCATTTTGCAGGCGCGGGATGAACCCGGGTAGCATGGCTGTTCCGCCGACTACGAGGATTGACCCGGCGAGTGTGCGACGTAAGTCCACGGGAACGCGGAGTAAGGCGTCGAGGAGGACTTCTGCGACGCTCCCTTCATCGACGTCGCCACCTTCGAAAAGGACCTCGGCTGCGCGTTCACGCACCCAGCCTGGAATACGGAGTGTACCTTGACCAGTACCTGTATTTTGTGCAGGAGGAGGGTCGACACGGACGAGTAGGTCAGTCGCTGTGGAATAGCGACTGTACATTGTTGATATTGCTTGGAGATGCCGTTCACCTGATGCACGGTCAAAGTTCACCGCAGCAGCGACACCAAAACTAGACCCTGTCCCAGCTCGACTCAAAGCGTGCGTGAGTGCTGTGACGCCCGAAGGCGAGGTAACAGAAGACAGCCGACTTGACGGTGGAGAAGCAGGTGTGTTTATCCCAGACTCCAACTCCAATTGGCTTGAATCACTAGGTGGAATCTCCGGCTCCGTTGACCCACTGTCATCTGCAAACGACGAGACCGGAGCATGTGCGTCCGAGTCGAGCATTTCACCCACAAAGCAACATCGCGCTTTTATGTCCTCCATAACGGCATCCGTCAACACTTCCTCAGGTACGCGCAGTGAACGGCTTGCAACCGGAATGTTGGCTGCTCCGCCGAGGGTGGTCAATGGTGGGATGTACGTTGCGAACATGAGTAATAAGGCGCGTAGGTGAGATGTGAATCGGCCGCCTGCTAGAGGCGTTGTTTTGAGTTGGGGATACAAGGGGCGGGATGCGAATATCTGGATCGCATGTTTTATAAGAAGTCAGCAAGTGAATGGCCTGGACGTCTTTTTCCTTACCGGAAGGACTGTGGTTTCAAGGTACCCGCAGTCAAGAACTAGACCAGTCATTCTTCCAACGGCTAGTAACGCTAACATGTGGCTTGAGGCGAATGAGATGAAGGGAACCTAAGGTATGGCTAAGATAGATGCTCTGAGCAACAATGAAATGCTATGAACCTGTAAGTTGTCAAATAACACACTGGCCATCATGTCTTTGATATACAAGGGGAGTAACGGATGCTCGACAATAATAACTTTTCGGGATTTAGGGTCTGTCAATAGGATCCTTCAGAACATAAATCAGATATCGTCACGGCAATAGTAAAATGACACTCACTCATGAAATATTTTCCTCAGTCTGTCCTGCAGCTTGATTTTAAGCATTCTACCTTCCTCCTCCTGCTCTGCACCACCATGATCTCGCGCTAAACCCCACAAAGCCGTGCGTTCACCAGACTCTGCAAAGAATACATCTCGAGGTCTTCCTTCACCACTGAATCCAACCTTCCATACACGCGAGCCTGGATCGAGAATAATACGATCTTCGGTACCGTAGAGTGAATGGCGGCGTGTCGTCGTGTAATGTGGCGACGATTGGAGGACGTTCACCGCCGAGACCGCAAGTCGGTTTCCGACCGGCGTCGTGGGGTCTGTAGCACCCTTTGAACGAGGCGTTGCCACTGGGTTCGACATTGGGTACGTGAAGCTGGCGTGCCGCAGCTGCTGGTGACACGCTGAATGGGAGCTTTAGCAGCTTACGTATGAAAATATGCTTTTTTGACGCGTCGCGACGCGTCTCGCTGCTCCGCGTAGACTCTCACTTTATCATACCTAAGACGCACAATCGTTCCTCTCCGCCTACATGATCATTCCGATAAATATCTCAGCAGCCACTTCGGACGAATCAAGCACAAAGTTCCCTCCTCAGCTTGCCAAACTCGGTACAGACGAGGTGATCATAATCGAACTGCAAGGCTCTTTCCATGTTGAGGGTGACCAATCTGGTCACCTCGCTGCACGACTGAAGTTAGAGAACGTAAGTAACAAAACATCTTCCTTCAGGTTTCAAATCTTATGCCGCGTTTCTCTTGTAGGAAGCCAAGCCAACGTTACTCATAGGCCACAATCTTCTCGAAGGCAAGGTCGTCAACCTTTCCAAACCACTGGCAGTGTTATATCGGAAGGACCGCAAAGACGACTCTATGGACATCGACCAAGATCCTCTGTCCGGAGAACGGAAAGTGCAGCGAGCATGCGAATATGACATGCTAGCTGTGGTGAAGCGAAAAGTCTTATTCTCCAAGCGACCAATGCCCGTAGTGAACGTATCGTCTGTCCCGACAGATAACAGTACAAAGAGCGCGGTTTAATTGCCTACGTACTCGTAGTATTTAACACTGGTTATTTTGTAGATATATGCAGATTACAGTTTGTATGGTTGGCTGTTCTGTTCTGTTTTAAATCCATGTATGCTGTGGTGGATGGCAAACTAACACGTGCAGAATCCAGTGGCTGTTAGCTACAGCTGAGAAGTGCTGTACTGTTTGAATCACGTTCTGTAGTCCTAGCTTGCCTCAGCAGAGATTAGTGTCTCCAGCTGGTAGTTTATGGCAAGGCATACTATTGAGTAGGTTAAAAATAAAAATAGTAAACTGATTGTGTGAGTGAGTAGAATTAATGCTTCTTAAGTGTACTACATATACTATCTAAAACTTAATTCCATTAATCCTCTTGTAGCAGATGTTCAGAGTTTAAATTTTGCTGTATAATTTATTTAATCACAGGAATATGTTAAACCTTTTACAGTAACAAGAGATTGATCAATTCCTCTCCTGAGCTTTATCTGTACTGTCATCCACCAGTTCTTGAACCATTACTACTCCTTGAACCACCCCTGTCATTCTACAGCCACAACACCTTTTTTTATAGTAGAAAAAATGGATTAAGTCTTGAAATAGTATAATATTAGTACTATAAGTTATGAAATAAAATTATACATTATTAATAGAGATATACACAAAAAACTATAAAAAGTGTTAAGAACTACACCTTTTGGAAATTTTTATTATTTAAAAGATTCATTAATATAATCACTAGTGCTAACTAGCACTGTACAAGTTTTTATGTGAAAATAATGAGTGGAACATGAGATACAAAATCAGCAATGTTCAAATTGTAAGTAAAATTGTTAATAACTCTCAAGTTCAGTAAACTATTAATTACAGTAATACTATACAACATACATTATTTTAACTATAATTATAATCATAAGTAATAATACTATATATATACTATTGAAAATATTGATAGGGATGAGGGGAATGGCTCTAGGGAAGGATCACAAATATTGTGGGAAAATAGTTCAAGGAGTGGTAGGACCCATATGCTTAATTTCTCCTTCATTTCTTAATCTTTTTTACTTAAATTTTTTATACTTTATACTTGAGTAGATATATTTAATTATAGTAATTTTTTTTTGTAAAAAAATTTATGTGTTGTTGTGTAAATTAAAAGACAAAATGTGCTGGTTCAAGGGACTGGTGGATGACAGTAGCTCTTAGTGCAAAGAAGAAAATTTTATTTTTTTTAGATCCCAGTGGACGACACGCGAATCGAACACGTGACCTTGCGCATGCGAAGCGCACGCTCTACCAACTGAGCTAGACGCCCTACGACAGAGGGATTTTCATGTAAAATAGATCGGAATAAATGATATTGCAATAAATCGATACTATAATAAAGTCTGATTCAGCCGTGATGCTATGCAGCAAGTATTTCAAATTGAGCTACATATTCCGCTATATGTGCCTATCTCTTAATGAGTAACACATCATGACGTTTATCAGAAGACGTGGAAATTTCTTTCTTCAAGACAAACAAGAAAACCTCAGCGATCACATGACCGAGATTTTGTCCACAAACACATCTTTCGAAGTTTCGTCGTCCGTCCACCAGCTTGGGTGGTCAAAACACCTAGGTCATGCCTTTCTTGGACTGTACGTTTTGTTAAAAGAACCAGCAACTAAGAATTCTCACTGATACCCATCTTTGACAGTGCTTCCTCAGACCCCTGGCTTGCTGCCTAAGTGGCAGCTGTTCGTGTCGACTGTAGCTCTGTACAACACTGTGCAATGTTTCTGCACTTCAAAACTCACGCGGAGGGTGTATAACAATGCTCCCGTAGGCATGTAAGGGAGTGCTATCCTACGATTATATGCTGACCGTCTTGGCGTCTTGTTTCATAGTGACGGACCTGCAAGTACGGACGTTTGGTGTTTGGACAATTACCTCCGCAGTCGTTCGATTTTACGCGGCGTACCATATCACGGAGAAAGCGTATGTTCTCTTGGTTTCCTAGCTAGGCGGAGCAAAGCAAAAACTAACGGGCCGTTTTGTGCGATTTGTAGCGTGTATGATCTAGCTTTGTTCACATACCTGATCGCCTTTGGACACTTTTCTTCGGAACTGCTGATCTTCCGTACAGCGAAGATTAATCCCGGAATCATGAGCACTTTCGTCTTTGCTTGTGAGTCTCCTTTTCCCTTTTCATTCTTTTCATGCGTGGTCGGTCGTGTGATCAAATGTTGACACGTTCGCGAATAGCTTTGTCTCTCGTATGGATGTTGGTCCAATACGATTATTATGTCGGACCACCCGCCTATACTCCGTGATAGGAATTGCATTAGTACACCTATATCTACATGTTCTTGGATTATACTGTGTCTTCACCTGTGTTTTGTCGACACATCTGCCTAATACCCAAACGATCGTCTTGACTCAGAGTAAATGATAAATATGCTTTGTCAATACATGACAGGCCGACGCTTGAACGAGGTATCGATGCCAGTATCGTTGAGGCATGTGGAGGACCAGCTTACTCGTTGAAGTGTTGAGATATACTATCTAGTGAGGCTGCCACCTTATATGATATGACCGACAGCTTTCTTTGCATTCAGCACTACTAATAAGAGACAATGACTAGATGTTATTCTAAGAACCTGCTGTTCGGTTAAACTAGACAACCTCATAGCACAGAATTTCAGAGACTTAGGCCAGTTACTGCCTGTCCCTGTCTCCTACTGCCTCTCTATTCTCCGAGTTTCGCAAGATACTATTTATAAGCACTTTTTCATGTCACGAACGTCCTAGCCTCCCCTATCAAAATGTCCAAGACTCTGTTTGCAGTAATCCTTTCTTCTTGTCTCACTGGTATTGCATCACCAGTTTCCGAGGTTCTCGTCAGGTCAAGATCATATAAGTTGTTTTCCTGCTGTCTTGCATTAGTGTTCTGTATTTCAAGTGTCATCCTGTGTCGCCGAAATACTAGAGAACGCTAAATCAGAGACAAGGAGTCTTAATGGATATAGAAATGTACTATGCCATACACTCTTTAGCAAGCTCAAAGACAATTGCATAGTCAGTTGGACTGAGAGACTGGTTCTGCCTCAGTTGATTCATCCGAGATGTGATATCGTTAAGTGGCATTGTTGAGAACTATTCCCTCTGACTCGGAAGCACCAGTCGGTTTGGTCAATGCTTGATAAGGGGGCGAGAGTAGACAGTAAGCAAAAAAGATGCTTTTTTATATTATGCAAAGAGGTACAATGCATGTATGGAGTTCTTGGATTTGGCAGCAAAGTGGCAGCCATATGTAGTATAGTTAGATGCATGTTTCTAATCATATTGCAGTCTATGCACACACAACTTCTAGCCCACCATGTTGTCTTAGCCTAGGTCTATATAATTCCACCATCAATTCAAAATTTCTGTGATAAGCAGAGTACAGTTCTGGTTTTACAAGCACATGAGTCATGACTCAAATATTTTTGTGGGATTTATGAAAGTTGATGAAAACGTTATCAAACATTTATACACCTGGGAAAGCAAGAGGAAGCAAATCTAGCCCACAGACAGTATTTTCAATCCTGCTAAAGCAGCTCGATTTGCTTTCAAACTCATGTGTCCCTTCAAAATTTATTTCATACTATTACAGAGAGCAGCCTAGCATGCATTTGCTTTTCCACATTTTTTCTCTGTTCTGGAACACTTTTACAATCTCTTACTGATGGCTGCTACCTTGCATGATATCAATAACAACCTTAGTATAATTCAGCAACTACTGTATGGAACAAATATTGAACAGTATTCTAAGCACCTGTAGTATGGGGCAATCTATTAACCTCATCAAGCAAAATGTCAAAGACTTCAGTAAGTAGCTTCCTGTCTGCTTGTCTTACAACCTCCCCAGTCTCTGAACCTCTCCTCAGTGCCAGATTGTACAAATCATTACCTTCTGTTTGTTTGTCAACAACACAATGTACTCATAGAACAATGCTGTGTTCTGAAAATACTAGAAAGGACAAACCAAGGGTGGGTTATTATAATTATTTCGAATTGGTTGCAGCAAATTGGGATACATCATACAATTTCGAGCCCTTCTAAAGGTAGCTTCATTGCCTGCAGTATTGACAGATGGTTTCTGAACCATTTTATTAAGCTAAGAAGGGTTTCATTCACCAAGTAGAGTCTGAGTCATAAGTGTGCTTCTGACTGTGTTGCTACACAAGAGTGCAAGAGTAGGTTATATGCAACAGTGTATGCATAGAGACAGTATGCATATACCCTACTTATTATACAAAAGGGTACTGTACTTTACAGTCTGGTTGTGATTGCAGTCTATCATGGTTAAATGTACATAGGTGCAATTCGAGGAGCAATGGCATCAACCACTGAATGAGTTTGATGGCACAGTAGGTAACTATATGTAGCCTATGGGTGTGTATGAAATAATGCGAATCAAGAAGGAGGAAGGCTGCATGATAGACCTATGTAGTTTGTTCCGTCTGCTATGCTGTCCAAATCAGATACTAATAGTCTAATACTATTCGTATACCTGTACGATAACATATAAAAACGAAAGTACATGCGTACGCATATATCACCACTCGCAGAAAAAGAACCACGTATGCTAGTAAGGGGCATTGGGTATGTTGAATATAGCAAGACGGGATAAAAGTAAGAGATAAAAGATAAGAGATAAGAGATAAGAGTACAAGGTATCATATAATACGATACGATACGATACGATACGATATATCGGAGGAAAACGAGTGAAAGATGATAAGTATAAGGAATGAAGAACATAGTAATGATAGTGATAGGAACGTGATGGTGATGGTACAACCATACCATACTGTAGATCATAGTACATAGAATGTAGTACATACTAGTTAAAGTCCGGAGATGGATGCGGTGAAAGGGTACAAATACAGGGAAGGCGAATGCATAATAAGTTATGTCAAGCCGTGCCGAGATACTAAGGAAATGAGAGAATGACGAGAACGATGAGATGGGATGAGAACGGGGGAACAAGGGAACGAATGAATATAAAAATCAAGTCAGGAAATCAAAAAAGAATCGCTCCTGCGTTTTTGTGCCACCAGGCAGTAATATAAGGAAAGGGTGTGTGAGGTAAAAGAATGTCGGGATCCCGGAAACATACATATGCAGAGATGTAGGTAGAGATGCACGTATAACTTTCGGTGATTATTGGAAATTGGAATGGAATCACGGTACGTTAATCGTCGAGTCGAACGATTCGTCGCCTTCTTCGTCATCTTCTTCCTCCACAACAGGGAATCGTCCTCGGGAACGTTTCACGTCAATGACTTTCTCGTTTCCGTTCGTTCTCACCTTAGAAGTCGGCTGCTCGGAAGAGGACTTGAAACCCAAACTCTCGGAACAGATACCAGCCCCAGCACGTCTCCTCTGACGCTTCTTCCTCAACCTCACAAGACTCCTCCGTCTCCTCGTCATCCACGCATCCTCATCATCCATACTACCCCTTCTCATCCCACCACTCCCACCTCCTCCTCCACCACTCATCACACTACCCATCCTCCTCACACGTCTCGCCCCCGCAGTACGCACCCCACTCGCCTCCACCACATCCAAAATTGGCGCATGCGCACGCGTAGTTCGCATCCTATGCGCATACACACACGTACTCGCCCCCGGACCGAGTATGAATTCCCCTCCAAGCTGCGTCGTATCACCCCCGCGCTCAAACAACGGAAGGCGCTTCGCACCTTGTAAAGTCCGTTTCAAGCTCCCCAGAGCCCCACCACGCGAAGCGATGTAGTGGCCCCGTTCGGCGGCGGACCCGCGATCTGTTGAGCGGAGGTTCATCCCCAGCGCTCTGTACACCGAAAGTGTTGGATCGGTGAAGATTGGGAAGGTTGTACCCGTGAGTTCTATAACATTAGATGAATGGATGGTGTCAATCGAGATGAGTTACCATTCTGATTTGAGAAACAAGTAAGAAAGGTCGAGACTGACCTCTGTAAGGTGTGATCAATGTTGGCGACCCCATCCCAACGATCACAATCTTCAACCCCGCCTTCTCCAAAGCTTCCACATCAACTTCGGATGCAATGGATCGGATGTAGTCCTGGCAAGCAGACGCCCTATAATTTAAGTTAGCGATCGCAACAACAAGTAAGGTACATAGAAGCCAAAGGGAATGGAAAAAATGAAAAAAAATATACATACCTAAAATGTCTGATAAAAATAACCACTGTCCTGTCCTTCTCCCAAACATCACCAAACCGCACGCGTACACCACTCTCCGAAATAACAGATAGAGACGAAGCCAACAAAAGTTGTTTCGCAGTCGGCAACGCAAACTCATCAAACTCGAGATTCGTTCCTTCCATTGACGACATCGCATTCATCTTCCTCTCATTCTCATCAGCGATAGTAGCAGTAGCTTCAAATAGATCGACCTTCGTACGAAGCAACGATCGCGAACTGAAACTGAATAGCTTGTTCTTCCGGGGTGCTGCTGGTAGAGGAGGTGAGATACCAGCATCGAGATCCGCGCCTGGCGGAGGACGCGATTCCGGCGCAGTTGCATATCCATCTACCTCCCGTTCGGGTGGAGGTGTGCGTGAAGCAGCAACTGAGGGCTGAGGAGACGCGCCTATGAGTGATTTCGTTGTCTTGTGTGTTTCGAAGCCTCCCATTGGTAGTGTCACATCCGACATACTTGCCATAGACGTCGCGGGGAACGGAATAGTAGGAGGAGCGTTGTCGATGTCCGTGGAGGGCTTTGCATCTGAAGTCGGGCTAGGAGGTAACGAGGGAAGCTCCTTCGCGTCCAGACTCTCCTTGCGTCGTGGCAGAGGTGGCAAGACACTATGCGTACTCCGCTTCGTGAGTAACTTCTTAACAAAACTATGCGCAGACGGCGTAGGGCTCTTCGGCGGGAGCGGAATGTCCTTCTCATCCGGAGACGCCGACGACGACATCATCGCCGGATCCAAGAGCGAAGAAGACGAGGACGAAGTCCCGCTTACGTCTGGCGTCAAAGGTGGCGTATACATGTAGCTGAGCGTAGATGCCTTCCGGGGAATATAGTGACTCTTCGTGGGTTGCGCCCTTCGTCCCTTTTCAGGTAGATGTGCGGACGAGGCTGCGCGGAATAGCATGGAGATACGGGTATATCGACGGTGATGATCCTGATGTAATGATGATGCCTGTCCTGCAGAGGCATCTTTTGTTTTGTTGTTGTTACTGGAAACAGCGTCAGCGTCAACACCAGTAGTAACGCCCTTAATCGCAGTCGAGCTCGAACGCGTCGTGAGCTTTGCCAACGCATCCTCGCGCTCGACAGCTTTCTTCCTGTTGTCTATTTCAGGCGTCTCAGCTGCAGGCGACGCGTCGCTCCTGGCAGGTGATTCTAACGGTCCAGGCAGCGCGACTGTGAGCGTGTATCGACGTGTAATCTCTGATGGGAATGCCTTGGCGCTGAGCGGAGGAAGATCAAATGGGGCAGTGCCTCCCGTTGCCTCCTGATGTAGATCCGTCGTCGCACACTGGAGTGTACAACTGAGACTACGGCTCCGCCGCCGCAATTCTGTCAGCGATGCGAACGGGTCGTCGAGGTCAAACGGTGGGTAACGGCTCTGGGGTGAGTCGCCGAGCTCGAGATCGAGCAGCGTGCATGACGGTGGTGGTTTCCGCTTGTGCTGGCTCACGCGCTTCTCAGCTATCGGCGTCGCTGTCGTCGCCGCCATCGTTGTGGCGTTCGCAGGCATCGTGGTTATTTCGTAATGTCGAGGCCAAACAAGTGGACAAATACCGAGCGGAACAGATAGATGGCTCGGAAGGTCGTCAAAAGAGGACACCAGGTCAGAGCGAGACAGACAGACAGCCAGACAGACGGTCGACGTCTTTATATCAGCGGAGGCTCAAGGCTCAAGTGAGGCAGGGCAGGAGCCGAAGGCAATTGCAAGCGCGCAACAGGTCCGTCGTTAGTTGGAGAGCGAACTCGGGAGTGCGAAAAAGAAGGACAAGAGAAGACAACGTGTTCGCCACCGCGAGCGCGAACAAATTTAGGGAGCGGCGGAGGGAGGGAGCGTGGTGACGCAAAGTAGTACCAACCCCAGGATTAGTGTAGTGCAGCAATAGCAGCAGCAAGTAGCAGGCAACGAACGAGCGAATGAACGAACGGAAGGAGGCTAGGTTGGATTCTTTCCTCACTGCCAGTCCCCGAGTGTCCTAGTCTTTATTGTTTCGAAAAAGTTCAACCATATCAACTCAACTTGTTTTGGGCCTTTAGGCCAAGGGGAGCCAAGTCCCGACAGGACATCTCACGCATCTGCTCAACGTTCAATCAGCCGACCCGACGCTTGATAGCCTGCGGTCGACGCCGTCACATTCCCTTGATATTTCCGAGCGGCGAGAACACAACAGGTCATAAGGAGGAACATCATCCGGCCGTCCGCCAGCAAACACATAGAGGTTTCTGATTCCAGTAGCACAAAACGAGGGTCGCCCTTTCGGAGAAAAATGCTGTTGGCACGTTGATAACCACGAGGTCCCTCGGTCCCTTAACAGCCTCGACCAGATTAGATTTTTTTCTCATCCACGAGCGACAAAGTTGATACCAGAAGGAAACAATGAAAGTGTGAGATGATGTGCACGAGGGAAACGCGTTGTAGAAACGTGAAAAGAGCTGATTGCCTGTCCGGCATTTTGCGGTTCATCTTGAGCTCTCCTCCCAGTTCTCTGCAAACACCATTCCAACATCGAATATTATCGGAATAACATACCAGATGGATAGGAGCCTTTCAACTTGTCTAAATACATCCGAACGGAGTAAGAAACCCAATCTTGATAAATTTCCATCTACAGTAGATCCCCTGAACAAACAAACCACAACGTCATCTACCGATAAATTGTGCCTTTCCCCCAACAGGATTCCCGACAGATCGATGAAATAAGAAATACTTGCGGTAACTATGCAGAAGGCCTTTGCTGTGTACATATGCGGATTGTGTGACCAGATATAAAGGAGTGCAGAATGATTTGATGCCTTGTATAAAACATTGACGGCCGTTTACCTAGTTGCCCTGCTCAATTCTTGTATCTGAAGAATATTTACCTCGGCAGAAGGAATGTTAGGGAGGGTAGATCTAGGGTCTACTTCCATTTTGAGTAGGATCTCCGTGCGTGCCTTAGAAACAGCAGACACACCTTGAGGAGGTGTATTTCGTGTATTTTGCACGTCGGAGAATGAAACTAAGAGAACGGCTGGTCCGGCAGCCTTACATAGATCTAAGACATGAGTGTAGGTATAGATAATTGTTAGAATAATTGAGACACACATGAAAACATGCTCTACTACCACCATCTAGCCAAGTTACAGCATATTCTGAAAATATTTGGTCTACTTGTCCTGTTAGATGCTGAAACTGATGAAGAGGCTTGGGAAGGTCTATTTTCATTTTAATTGCATATCAACTTCGACCACGAAGTGGGCCAAGAGGCCCATATACAGCTGTCAAATCTGATGATTATATGTATAAACTGTTACACCATTATTCTACTAGGTGGTTTAAGTCTCATCTCAGGTATGTAGTTAACATATAAAATATTGGTCTGTAGGCTCCATGTTGACAGTGAGACACAAGAAAATAGAGCAGAAATGTGCATTTTTCTTCAAAATCTCTATATTAGGTCTGCTTACTCTATTTACACTTTTGATTGTCCGATGGAATGATGGATCTGCGCTACTTAAGGTGCTCATTTCTTAGCTGTATTTCTCTCCCTGTATTTACCAGTTTCTACTCTCTTCCGACTCCCGGTGACGTGCCGGGAAACAAAATACAGAGCATCAAAAACAAGAATTGAGCACAGCTAATTTCTCGGCCTATTTGAAATACACATATACGGAATTTCGACGGACTGCGCGTTAAGCTCAGACATATGCGTGCAGTCCAATGACATGAA